CTAGTAAAGTTATAGCTGAACAAAATATAAGCATCATCGATTCATAAGAAACAGGAGCATTCCTTATGGCAGTTTACCATTGGAGAGATTTTGCCAATAGTTGCTACGACTGGCATACGGATTGGTAACCGCAGCTCATAGTGATATTTTAAGAAGAACGCTGCTACCCATCCCTCAACTATAAAATTCCTTTCGTCGCCTCTTACGACACCCACGGGTAAGGAAGGAATGACTCATTGCATGCCGGGACCATACAGAACAAACATGAGGGGAGAAAGGGATTGTTAGTAATGGAGACTGAGAATCTAAAGCTAGCAATATACCCAACCAGGTCGACCTCCACTCGGTTCCCCCTGGAAACTATTATGGTTAATTCCTGATGAATTCATCATGATGGGCTAACTAGCCTGTTTTCATTCTCACTGGTGCTCCGCCAGCGTATCCCGTTAGCGCAGGCGGGGCGCTACTATACCATTTTCACCCATCAAAAAAAAAAGCACAAACATGAACGAAACATACTAATGACTAATTCTAAGAGCATTTATTATTACCATAAACTAATCTAATAATGTTCGCATGCTGCAGTAGCATCTATTAGTGTCTTTAAGATGATTTCACAGCAGAGCCTGAACCCTTAAAAAAGGCGCTTTAAAACATATCTTAGCGAATGTAAATGTACCCTAAAACATATCTTTGCGAATCTTCGCTCACATCTTGGAATGGACACCCAACAATTTTAGATTGGGCGCGGAGCCTCCCCATCCCCCTTTAAATATGCCTATGGTGATAGCTGAATTGATCCTCATTACGTTTTAGCTGCTGCATGTTGCTGCAGCACTGATTTTCAGTGGAGCCACAACTCGAAATAAAAGATACTATGATACTGAACAGGATGTATTCAGCATACTGATTATTGTATAATGTATACGATATCAAAATCTTTTCATCGACTGACAGTTTATTTACCATTCCAGGTGTCATAAAAAATATAATTGAAATTTACTTTTTTTCTATGCCTCGGATGTGGCAAACAAGCTTACATACTATCTGATGGTGAACGATTACTGTAGCCTATGGACGTTTGCAACACTAGGGGTGTCATGCGTGCGTTACCGACCCTGAAGAAACCTTAATATAGCCTTTTTGAAGAACCCTATACTGTAGTCTCTATAGAAAACCTCGGCAGGGGGCTGAGCGTTCACGGGAGAAAATTCCTTTGAAACCATACTTTACATGACCATTTAGGTTTAAGCGTATGAGGATGAATTCCCTATTGATGAAGAGCATATATATATATATATATATATATATATATATATATATATATATATATATATATATATATATATATATATATATATATATATATATATATATATATATATATATTTACACTCGAACTGGTCAGCACTGTGTGAAGTTGAATTGAACTTGCTTTACTCCTTCCTGTAAAATACAGTATCGCCATTTCTATTCAATAAATAGGTATGTAGTTGCTTTTAAGATAAGAATATATTTTATTTAAAACAAGAATGAAAATCGTGATTGTAATTTATTATGGTTATACATACAATAAAAGAAACCCCTGCACAAATAAGCTTGGCAGAATTGAATATTATGGAAATAGCGATGTTATGTCGGTTTCAAATTTTAACTTTTTGTTTACACTTAAATTCTTTCTTTATTCAGATAAATTGTCCTCGAAATTAATTACGTGTCCACGAAATATATAAACCATCATTTATTATTATTAAACGAATAAAAAAAGGAGATTTTTAATTTACCTGTTTTACTTTTTGTGTTCACGCGATATCTTCAATTATTCTAAACCAAATATTTTTGCATAGCAAAATTCTGCTTACAGATAGAATTTTATTATTTGCAATTAATTCTAATCATGTAAATTATATCAGGAGAAGAATATATATTACTATTATCAGGAGAAATAGAAATGAACATTTTGAAATAGGTATTACAACAAAAAACGACATAACAAAGAAGGCCCTGAAATTTTCATTCCATTTTTGTACCCCTATAACGAGTGTTATAATAAAATTAATGTAGCGTTGCTCGCGACCAAATGACGTTTGAACGACAAAATGGTTGTAGGACGTCGATAGCGTTGAATGTTTGATACGCTAGGCGCCATTGCGACACGATGGCTAACGTACCACATACCAAATACATTTTCCAAATAACAAGACCTTTCTACCAAGAACCTACAATCCCCTTGATTCGTTCTCTTCGTGCTAGACTGGGAGGGCATGGTAGCTCTAATTCTATTGGCTTAGAACACGCGTACAGTGCATTAAATATTTAACGTTAGCCTAGTTTTCATACCTACTATCCTCATCAAATATCTACTATTCACATTTAATTTTATACATTTAAATTGCCTAAAAATGTTTTATTTAGAAATAGAAATTTGTTTCTAAGGCCTATGTATATATTACAGAATGGTCCTTATATTTTCGTTAAAATACCATTATAATTTTGCTATATATTATTTATTCTAATTATTATATGCATTATTACATACATAAATACTTAAATAAGTAGATTTTTGATATACTTTCCATGTCATTATTATCATTAAATTGTCAACATGGCGTCTTTGTCATTTAAAGTTGAATCAAAAGATTCAAATACAATACCTGTACCAAATATAAAGTATTATACTTTACAGAAACCGGTAATTTTCACCATCGTACAACCCGCCACAAACTAAAGTTGCATCCCAACCATCTAAATGAGTGGTGGTCCTCCACCGTACGTTTTTCTAAGTACTTTCTTTCACGTACAACTACTTTTTGGAATCAATTTCCAACAGCAGTATTTCCGAACCGATACGACATCATAACCTTAGAATAGATAATCATAACATAAGAAAAGAGCATGTTTTTTTTAAAAGGCCGGCAGCACATCTACAATGTCTCTGGTGTTACAAGAATTCATGGGTGGCAGTTGTCACTTACCATCAGGTGAACCGCATGCTCGTTTGCTCCTGTGTTATAAAAAAAACCGCTCCGCACAAAGAATATACCTAATATTTACCTTAATTCTTGTAATATAAATATCCCTGCCAGATATATAGACTAATAGTCTGGTATAGTATTATAATATCTTTGGCGTAGTAATAACCACATCAAATAGTTTCACTTACGAGTACTTATTAATCTGTGGCTACATTTTGTAATGTAATCCTAATAAACGATATATTTAAAAAAGGATTTTTTTTACAACACAGGGCAAACGAGCATGCGGCTGACCTAATGGTAAGTGACTTGCGCCGCCCATGATCACTCACAACACCAACAGCATTGCAGGTGGTCTACCGGCCTTTTAATTGGATTACGTCCAAAGGATCAGCAGACTGAATTGGCACTAGAATAACCACAGAATCAATAGGGAGGTTAATCTCTGAGTGGCAGGTGACGCATTATAAGGCAACTTTTACTAGACTGCAGTTTATAGCGCTCTGGAGTGGCGAAATAGTTTTATTGCATTGAATTGGAGTAAACAGTGCGGACTCCTGAAAACTTTTTTTCTCGCCGTCGTCATTAAAGTGTCGTTAGGTATCGAACATTTTGCGTAGGGACGGCGATGGCGGCTTTTGCGTCAATCTAAAGAGTTGCAGGACACCGTCCACACTTAGCTCAGTAAAATGTATCAGACGAAAAATCCTGTTTTGTGTCTACAAGACATGCTCAGGGGAGCCACAGATAAGCTAAGACCGGTCCTGCGTTAAAATCTTAATTCCAACAACGGTAATCAATTTATAATAAATATATAAGCACATTGCTTAACATCAAATGTCGAAGTTGAAACAGACATGTAAACAAAGTAATTTGTATGGTTAAATATTATAAGGAAATTGTATTGTTTCAATAGCGCAGCTACAAGTAGAATTTTTGTTATGATTTATTTTGTTTTGGCTACTTTTCATCTACTACTCTTCTAGAGTTAGTCATTAAATTCTAAGTCAAGAAATAAAAACGATTTCATGTGCAAAAACGACACTTAATGTGCCTAGTTGCTTAGATATGCATATACCTAATCAAAATGAGTTCAAAACCACTGTTGTATAAATATATTCATTTAACAACAATTATTAATGTACCTACCCACAACACTGTAATGCTTTTAGAAATGAACATTGCAAACTATGTCCAGTCTTGATGTTATGGATCTGCAGATAAAATATCTTAATAACAAAATACTAATGTAAAATTTATTTTGGAAAAATGTTCAGTTTCCCTTATAAATATACCTAAAAAGATTGTTAATATATTTTTTTCTGTATATTTTTAAATGCCGGCTCGGCATGGAATGGGTCACGCTTTTCTTTTGAATGGGTGTCGTAAGACGCGACTAAAGGAACATATTGGTCGAAAAATGGGCAACACTGTTACTCTTAAAACATTACCAAAATCTAACTACGGTTGCCAATCCACCAGCCAAGCGTGGCAACTTCTGGAAAAACACCTCAATAAGGGGAAGCCTATGTTCAGCCAGTGGACAGTTAACGGCTAATATAATAATATAATAAATATTTTTTAAACGGGTTATTTTATCTAAATAAGCACAGCTTTTTTAATGTAATAATATATAAATACTGGTAGTGCTTACTTTGTTACGTAGTAACATTATTAATAATTATGTATGATTAATAAAGTACAAAAGCATCTCCTTACATTTTACACTTAATATATGATGTATATGTTATTTATTTGTCTAGATACAAAACATTAAGCTTATAGCTATTAAAAGGGAATCTGATTAACATTTGTATTATGCAGATGATGAAATTGCATTCCAAGTAGGCGGTAGAATTATAAATAATGCTCATTTTTGAATAAAATGCTATAAGCATAAGTAAGCTAAGTTTACTTGAATAAAAATACTCTTCATCTTATTTTCAAAATCATATTCTGCATACCAACAAATATAGATACCACTTTAGAAAATAAACAACAAATAGTGTAAATAAAATACATTAATACCACTTACTCTTTATTACCTCACCATATTGAGATCTTAAAAATAATAAAAAAAAATGAAAAGATGTTTTCTAATGATGGACCATAAAAAAGCTGAAATTAAAAAATAAAAATCAATTTGATTCCAGGAATCTAGCATTAATAATATTAGTCGAATACTTAGTTTTAGCCTTATAGGATAGGTACTTCAATAAAAATCATCTTTTAAATTTTTTTTTTTATTAAAATCTGTCTACTTTTGTCTTATAGATCTTGGCATTAGACTTCACTTACTGTCTACAATGCCATGTAGCAGTTACAACTGTAATATTTACTCAAAATAATAGATGACATTATAAAAATATTTACGCCATGATGAGAAACAAAATTCCATTTTCCATAAAGAAAAAAACATACAAATAATTTTATACAAACACAAAAAAAATACCTATGTAAAAACTATCTCCTACAAATAAACGACAAATGTCCAACTGTGTAGTACAAACAAATAACAAACATGGCTTTACCCTTGTAAATACTGAATTCTTGGTAACATACGTCAACACAATCATTCTATTAAATTACAACAAAAATATATTAATAGAGTTTAATACATACCATTTAAATATTGACTATATAAACATACATAAAAGAGTAGCTACCACAGGAGAAACAAATATATTTTTTCCAATACATTCGATAGTTTTGTTTCAGTACTAGCTTCTATATATTAGTAATCATTGTTAACCTTTTTAAAAAAAAAATATAAAAATATAATGGAACAATTTTATATTCTTCAAAATGATCATTCAATTTAAATGGAAACAGTTAGGACAAGGATTTTAAACTTTAATCATAGAATGAGATTCTTATTAATATGTCACAATAATTTTTAGTGACAGATTTGTGTAAATTTTTTTCTATAATTAAGTCATTTTAGAGTCTAGCAATATCTGTAAAAAGGTGACAAGTTTTGCAATATGAGACAACCTAAAGCAGAGGAATAAACAAAAATCTAAGAAAGTTCATATAAATGCTTATTCATGTAAGATGAGAATATTTTTTTTTTATCAAATTGACCTGCCAATAGTATAGAACACTCAGGATACATTTCTAATTATTGTAAAAATATTATTGTATGAATTATTTAAATGTTCATGAATTTGTTACTTTTGGGTATCAAATAATTTGGTAAAAGCCATAATAACATAACAACAAATAAATATCCACTCAAAGTGAATTAATCACAGGTAAGCAATAAAACTAGAATGCTACCATCCTACCATGCAATCCATGGCGGTTGATTCATTCTACTAATAGGCACATGTGTCATATTAATTGGCAAGTTGACTATTGCGTAACTTTTCCGTAGGCGTCTCAATGTCCGCAATATGGTGGCACCACTCCGTCCAAGTAAGAAAGCGGCGGGTATATTCACATCTAACTCCATTCTGAAAACCATAACAATGAATTATGAATAGCTGGTCATGTAGCTTGTATTCCTATTTTCTAAAGGGCACAAATTACTACAAAACACAAGGATTTAAGCCTAATTCATAATGCTTTAGTAATACAGTAGTTGGTGAGTTAATTTAGTTGCTAAGTTCTATTCTATTTAAGTAGAGTTCACCAGACTTTGTTCAAAAATCATTTACTTGAGCATCTCTGTCTTATTCATGTTTCTACCGTGAAGCAGTTGTGTTTGCATGGCTGTGTTTTGGTTAAAGGGTGGGATATGACAGTGAATTTACAGGATACAGAGGAATAACACCTGAGTCCTAGTACAATTTTTATAACACATTAATACAGAATATAAATTTGTTTATTACCTCTTAGCGCCTTAACAACTTAACCAATCACTATGAAATTTAGTATAGGTACTACTATGAGATGGAGAGGGACATAGCAACTTTTTATCCTAGTGATTGAACATATCCTAATAATGAGAATTAAATCATCTACAAAAGCTAGAAATAATCAAACTCGTAATATGTACATATAAATAGAGTAGCCCTCAAAATAGTTAATAACTTTAATTCTTAATTACATATTTAGACTTGCTCTTAAATTGGAAAGCTGAAGTAAAAGCAGTAGAAGACATTGTAAGCTCCCGTGTAAATCATAACAATAATTCTATGATGATGTTTAAGAGTCATAATACTCACTGACATTGTAACGGTTTTTAGCATATTGTATTTAAGCATGACACCAAAAACAGCCAGACAAGATTCCAATTACAAAAAAAAATATAAACAATACATACTTATCATCCACCATTTCAATAAGATGGTCCAGTGATTCATCCCATTTATCCACTGACTCAGTGATAATCATTGCTCTAGCACCAGCCTGCTGAGCTTTAGCTGTCTTGAATACAAAAGAACATTCACTGGAAAAAAAAATAAGCAAAAAAAACTCAAAATATTATGTAACTTATGAATGAATGAAAACATTTTATTGTTATTATATATATACCAGGATTCAATTACAGATTATATAGTATAGGTTCTTGCAAATTGTAAAACAAGTCCAGCAATCCCAATTTGGAGACATTTATAGGCAACATAAATGATTGTAATTCATTATGATAGTATATGAAACTGAAGATAATGATCATGATTTTTCATAATAAATTCCACCTTTTGTACATTTTATTCCGCAATAAAATAAATAAATAAATGATGTATAATAATTATTAAAATTATATTAGAAATAAATAACAAGTATTGTTTCACGATACTTAGAATGGAAAACAAGCTGACGGACCATCTAATGAAAAGTGGTAACTATCGCTTATAAACATGAACAGCATCATGAATATCACTCCTCATGCATTGCCTTTCCTGAGGGTTTTGATGTTATACCTCCATACCCTGTAATTTCACTGCTATATCCCACCATTGAAACCAAAAGACAAATTTCATGGTAGAGTAGTCTCCCTCTGATAAAGGAAATTTTATTGCAAAAGCCTTTTCTAAATAAAAAAAAAAAATTTATATAATTGTCTCTATTTTAAACATGACCCATAACATACCCTCTTTCCGATAGTGCTATATGTCCTACAATGTCCTCATGATTAATAATGTCTGAACAGCTATCTAAAGGCACTGTAGGAACCAAACGAGCCCTCTCAAATTGTAGACTTCCATTCTGAAATCAAAATTTATGTAACAATATAACAAATAAAGATAATTATGAAAGTTAAAGGATGCAAATATGTAAGAATAGTCCTTTGGATTCATGCTCTCTGCCCACCCTATAAAGCACCTGCCTTATAATCTATTATGTTCAATGACAACTGATTGTTTTAATAATTATTTATAGTAGTGTCATGTATAAGAAACATGGACCAGAGATAGAAATACATCCAAATCACCAATATAATTTTATAAGAAAATAATATGATAAAAATTATCTTGGTTATGTTACTATTGATATAGCTAAGTATAAATGTGTATTATAAATTACATGGTCATCATATACAATCATGTTTGATAAAACAAATAATAAATCAAATCAACACTCACAAAGGGTGCACCAAAATCTTTGGCCGGTCTAATGCGGTATGAATATCTTAGTTCAGGTGGGTCTAAGATTTCAAAAAAAACATCTCCTGCTATCGCATCGGCTGTAGATGATCCATCACTAAAATGTAGGTCATTAGCTGGAAAAAAAAAGAGTACAAATTAACTTTAGTTTCCTAAACTCGAAAAATTGCAATTATTTGGGGGGAAAAGGGATTGTTAGTAAAGTGGACTACCAGCCCTATTGCTAGCAATACAACCTGTCAGGCCGACCTTCACGTGGTACCTCCTGAAAACCATCATGCTGGGTGCAGGATGGGCTAATTGACCTGCCTTTTCATTTTCATCTATCAACCCCCACTGGTGCCCCGCCAGCGTATACCATTAGTGCAGGCGGAGTTACCATTCCATTATCATCCATTAAAATAAGAATTATAATTGTATAATTTAACTTGAATGTGACAATTACCTCCAGGAGACACTACTGCTGCAAATATAATTAATATTAGACTAAAGTATAAAGGAACTAAAGAAGCTGTATTTTTTGATGACTTATATATTATAAGTTTCATTTTCCCCGCAAGGTAAGAACAAATATTAATCAGAATTATTCATTATTCAAAAATATATTTCACTGATTGAATTAAAATCAAAATCACAACAATTCGTGACACTGACACTTCACAACACAGATTAGAAAACATCAAAGAGTCTTCAAACGAAGCACAATTTGACATATTATTACTGTAGATCGGGGTGAATAGGAACAATTTTAAACTTCGCTTTTATTTTTTCTAATTATTCTATCTGTACATTTAATAATTCAGTATACAATTCAAGATCATGATTTTTTTTAATTTAGTTTTATATTATTAACTAAATAACCTGATTTTCTTGAAATTTTCCAAAATATATTTAGTTTCCATTCATTCCTATATTGGGGTAAATAATAAAACGAAAGAGGAGGTTACATCATAAAAAGAATCATAAAACCTGCTCCAATGTTTAATTTTCTATTGAAGTAGCTGACAATTATAATTGTTTAAGCTTAACATCATATTACATTCTTTAAGCCAATGTTCAGTTAAGCCTAGGATATCAATATTATATTTTTCTAAAAAAAGTAGAATAATTAATTCGTTTCCAGGAAACATACTACATATGTCCTAAACAAGTATTATTACTATTAGTATTACTACTAACTACATTACTAATCATAAGTCATGTATATTATAAGCTAGCAATCTAGCTTCTAAATTTGTTTTGCTTCTTAAAGAGAGAAAATTTATCTCCAGTCAAAGTTTATAACAAATTTGTTACTATCAAAAAGTAAAAAGTCATTATGATAACATGTCATATTATAAATTAAAGTATTAATATTATAAATGAACTTATTTTAATCATAGTCAGGGATCGGGAGTAGAGACAAACACATAATATTATTATTGCTATACTCAGCACAGCAATATTTAAATAAACAATTTTGTTATATGAGATTTTTTAAACCTATAAATTTCCCGATGCCATTACTAGAATGTTATATTTATCATACTTGTCATTAGCAACTTTTTTAAAATGCTATGAAATAAAAAATTGAGTATGCAATGAAACACAAGGAACAATTATGTATAACATGTGATAGATTATCTGATATCACATTGCCTAGATCTTGACTGAGTTCATCAGAATACATTTTAGTCTTTCTCACTAGTACATGCTGAACTATATTGTTACCTTTTGCATAAATAATCATTCACCTAAATAGTGTTTTTTTTTTTTTAACGGGTGAGAATGGAATGATAACCCCGCTGTACAGGCTGGGCTTTTATTATGAGTGATATTTTTTTTTTATACTACTTAGAATGGCAAACAAACTGACGGTCCACCTGATGTAAAGTGGTAACCGTCGCCTATAGACATTAGCAGTACCATGGACATAACAGAGTATACTGTTTAGCCCATGATACCCCGCATACATTACCATTCCTGAGGACTCAGATGTTATTCCTCTGTACCCTGTAAATTCACGCCATATCCCACCCTTCAAATCGAAACACAACCAAGCAAACACAACTGCTTCACGGTAGAAACACGAATGGGACAGAGGTACCCATGCAATCGATTTTTGTACAGTCTACCTCTGGTAAATAATGGATTGGAAACCCCACCCGCGCTATTGGTATAAACCAGCGGAGCACTAGTGAAGGATAATAGGTGAGGATGAAGCAGGTCAGTTAGCCCATCGTTACGAATTCAGTAAGAATTGTTCACTATGGTTTCCAGGGGGAACCACGTGGAAGTCACATTGCTAACAATGGAGCTGCCAAACTCCATTGTTAACAATCCCTTTTCCTCTATGTGCAGGCTGGGCTGGGCTAGCAAGGCATCAGGGGGGAAAGGATTGTTAGTAATGAGGTCAACCTCATTACTAACACTAGTAATCAGGTCAACCTCCATGTGGTTCCCTTTGGAAACCATCGTGACTAATTTATCGTTGAATTCATCACGATGGGCTAACTGACCAGTCTTTTCATCCTCACCAATCATTTCTCTCTGGTGCCTCACCAGTATATACCGAGAGCGCAGACGGGATTAAAATTCCATTATCATCCAATAAAAAAGCAAGGCACCAGTGAGAGATGATAGATGAGGATGAAAAGAGGTCAGTTAGTCCATCATGACAAATTCCACAATAATTAATCATGATAGTTTCCAGGAGGAAACAAAAGTGTTCCAGGAGGGAAAAAAAAAAGTTTCGTGGAAGTCAAATTAACAATCCATTTTCCCCCAAACAAGTGCTTGGTTTTTTTTAATATATTATAATGGAATGATAACCCCGCCGGCGCCTGTAATGTGACAACTAATGATATATCGACAAAGTTAACAGACAACAAAGAATTTTGTAATCAGATCAAAGGTATCATTACTAAATCGACAGCTCTTTGTATTCATGTTTACTTTCACGTAGGAAACTACCATATTTGACATTCGTCAAGTAATATATTGACTTTGGATATTTGTCTAATGTTCATTAAGATACCGATATTACTCGTAGAAAATATATATTGACTTTGGATACTTGTTTAATGATCATTAAGATACCAATACTAGAAAACATATTGACTTTGGACACTTGTCTAATGATCATTAAGATACCAATACTAGAAAACATATTGACTTTGGATACTTGTCTAATGATCATTAAGATACCAATACTAGAAAACATATTGACTTTGGACACTTGTCTAATGATCATTAAGATACTAATACTAGAAAATATATTGACTTTGGACACTTGTCTAATGATCATTAAGATACCAATACTAGAAAATATATTGACTTTGGACACTTGTCTAATGATCATTAAGATACCAATACTAGAAAATATATTGACTTTGGACACTTGTCTAATGATCATTAAGATACCAATACTAGAAAACATATTGACTTTGGACACTTGTCTAATGATCATTAAGATACCAATACTGGAAATATCTCACATTTATTGTTGTAATGTATTGATTTATCATTATCCTTATTATCCTATTAGACTCTCCATCCCGGAGTGAGTCAGTCCTTTTTAATCGTTCCGAGTAGCTTACGAGAGTTGTTACTCGTAGTCACTATATCAGTCGTAGGTTTGAATTGTGCTATATATATTACCTATACATATATACATATAAGTGTCTAACGAATATACTTAAAAAACTTGTTATCTTGTTTCTCAAGTGACCCGCCCATTACACGCCACGGGACACCAGTGACGAATAATAGGTAAGGATGAAAAGGTAGGTCAGTTTTTTTTTTGACGGGTGAAAATGGAATGGTAACCCCGCCTGCGCTAACGGGATACGCTAGTGGAGCACCAGTGAAGGGTGAGAGATGAGAATGAAAACAGGCCAGTTAGCTCATCATGATGAATTCATCAGGAATTAACCATGATAGTTTCCAGGGGGAACCGAGAGGAGGTTGACCTGGTTGGGTATATTGCTAGCAATGGGATTCTCAGTCTCCATTACTAACAATCCCTTTCCCCCCAAGGTAGGTCAGTTAGCCTATCGTAATGAATTCACTTATAATTGAACGTGATGGTTTCTAATGGGAACCACGAGGAAGTCAACCTAACAGGATGAATTACTAGTAATGGCACTATTAATCCCTGTGCTTGGTTTTTTATTGAATGATAATGAAATGGTCACCCCGCCTGCGATAACTGTATACACTGGCGTGGGACCCGTGAGGGGTGATAAGTGAGAATAAAAAAGCACGAAAGTTTCCAGGAGGAACCGCGTGGAGGTTGATCTGATAGGGTAGGGTAGGATGGAACTAACCTCCCTATTACTAACAATTCCTTACCCCCCCCCCCCCCCTCACTTCTGCTTGGTTTTTTATTAATGAGTGGTGATGGAATAGTAATCCCGCCTGCGCTAACGGTATACACTGACGGGCTACCAGTCGGTGATGATAGGTGAGGATGAAAAGACAGATCAGTTAGCCCGTCGTGTGGAATTCAGCATGATGGTTACCAGGGGGGACCATGTAGAGGTCGACCTGGTTGGGTATATTGCTAGCAATGAGGCCCTTAGTCTCCATTATTAACGATAAAATAGTGCTTGGTTTTTTTGCATGGGTGAAAATGGAATGGTAACCTCGCCTGCGCTCACGGGATAAACTGGCGGAGCATCAGTGAAGGGTGATCGATGAGAATGAAAACAGGTCAGATAGCCCATCATGATGAATTCATAAGGAATTAACCATGATAGTTTGCAGGAAGAACAGCGAGAAGGTCGACCTGGCTGAGTATATTGCTGACAATGGGATTCTTAGTCTTCATTACGCCATCCAACTCCATCCCTTCCCTCCAATAGTGCTTGGTTTTTTTTTATTGGTGATAATGGAATGGTAACCCCACCCAGGCTATTGGTATACACCGGCGGGACACCAGTACGTTTTTTTAATGGACAATAATGGAACGGTAACCCCACCTACGGTATCGGTATACACCGACGGGGCACCAGTGAGGAATGATAAATTAAAATGAAAAAGCAGGTCAGTTAGCCCATCGTGATAAATACACCTGGAATTCAACATGATGGTTTCCAGGGGGGACATGGAGGTCGACCTGTCAGGGTATATTGTTAGCAATAGGACTGATAGTCCACATTACTTACAACCCCCCCCCCCCCTCCCAGGACACCAGTGAAGAATGATAGATGATGATAAAGCAGGTCAGTTAGCCTATCGTGACGAATTCAACAAGAATTGTTCATGATGCTTTCCCAGAAAAACCTAATAGGGCATATTGCTAGCAATGGGGTTGTCAAACTCCATTGCCAACAATCCCTTTCCCACCCAAAAGTGCTTGGTAAGTTCGCGACGACTGTATAATGGAATTCCCCTTTTTAGAATCTGATTTTAAAATCGTATTTAGTCATATAGCAGATAATCCGAACCATTAACTAAATTTTTCTAACATATTCTATTCTAAACCTCGATGGGACGAATAATATTATTCCACATCATTGTAGTGTATGTCTATGGGCGTGGAAATAACCTGTCTGCATAGCGAAAATTGTAAGGCGTTTCGTTACACGAGATACATTTGTACCAATAATTTTAATGAATTATTATTCTTAAATTTATATTATTAAATTAAAGATAGCCTACAATTGAGCAAAATTTAAGAAAAAATATGTTATTTTTATAGGATAAAATGAAAAGGTATACTTTTCCTTTGTATTTTTGTTAACATTTTATTAAGATTCCACAATACATAAAACGGAACAACAAATGCCAATTTTTAGTGTTACCATCTATGAATTGTTAACAAAAATTTTAGGACATTTGTCTTCCATGTCTAATTGGTTACATAGTTATAAAACAGAAATCTAAACTATATTTGTTCTATATAAACTTATTATATATTTTTCAATATGACAAAAAACAGTACGTTATTCATCTGATAATTCATTTTAATTCAAATCAAAATATTTATTATGAACAGATTAGTCTGCATTAGTTGTAGTGGGTATAAACTAAGCTAAAGATCAGTTGATCATGCACTGCAAGGTTTATATTTTTGTCATTACTGCTTCAGAAAAATTGTGCAGTTTTATGATTACTGTCACTAAATTCCAGCGTAGTGTGTGCGTTTCATCTAAGTAAATTGTAATATTAAAAAAATATTGGATTGAGAATGGGAACTGCCTTCTTTTTACAAAGTTATGAAATTACTGTGAATGTACTACTTTGTTTATTTATTTTGTCTCAAATAAAGAAGGTTCAGAATCCTAAAAACTACTTGCGTGGCTCCGCAGTTGGCCCGTTCGAAAAATGATTACTGGAGTTATAGATTTTCAAAAAGGATTATTAATTCGGTTCTAATTTAATTCTAAATCGTGTCTTTTGCATATCACTACTGCACCAAATACCTATGTATCTGCACTGTTGAATTGTCGACCATTAATCGGGTAAACTAATCTGGCAGTGGCAACCCGCTACCCAGAATATAAATATGAGATAAACAAAAAATCTTGACCATTGCCGGTTTTGTTATCTTTTGTATAATGACATTGAAATTCTCAGCCGTGATCACCTTTCTTTAATCTTTTGTTTCTTCCATTTATATTGCATTCAGTTATTTCAGTAAATATGAAGAGTTACGTCCTCCAATTCAGTGAATTTTTGTGAATTGTTGTCTGGAGAACTTGAAAAATAATAAAATTTGTAGCAGTAAGTGCTAAAAGTACCTATAATTAAATTATTTTAAGTTTATTTATTTATTTAAGTATTTAGTCTAAATTTAAATTATTAATCTTTTATAGTTAATTACATAATTCTATTTATAGATACATGTATTTAGTGTACATTACATGTTGGTGCAAGTATTTATTATATTGTGAAATTGAGTTGTTTTCTGTTTGTAACATTTTTATACATTGTTAAATTTTTGATTTTATTGGTTTTTGTTTATGAAATGATTTATATACAGCTAATTGTTTTATAGACAATCCTCATTATGTGAAACATACATTTCACAGCTAATTGAGTTTTCAATAATTGAGAGGTGATACTTTATAACATAAGAGAATACCATACGCAACCTGATAACTAGGTGCGTCTGTATAAATTCAAAACATAAATTTATGGGATATAGAACTGCTTATTTTTCATTAAAATTTTTAGGAAATAGCTTTTTAGTATGTTAAGTTATATATAGAAATTCCATACATTACATGTTCCTAGACCTATAAGTTTCAACTATATGTCAGTCAGTTCAGTCATACCAAGATAGAATGAAATAATTTCAGTTGTGATAAAAACCATCTATAATATTCTATTTATTATTATACTATTATTTTTTTAAACAGGGAACTCATCAATTACGGTGATATTAGAAATGGCGACAAATAACAAAGAACAGTCCATACAACCTAGACTTTACCAATCACAATTGGAAGAGATTGCCATAAGAAAGAATACTATTATACATTTACCTACAGGTAAGCCCCCTTTTACTACTTATTGACTATAATAGTTTATAGTATTGTTTAAATTTTATAATAAATACCAATTTATTATAAAATTTGACTGATATTGATAAAATTGTATAGGAAAATGTCCCTAAATATCTTTTATACCTAATATATTCTGCTTTATTTTATTTTTTTAATAAATAAATAAAAATGCTTATTTATTTATACTTGAACAAAGTTTTATTACTTATAACTACTACAAATAGTTAAAATATCATATAGTACTGTTATGCTTACACAAAAAAGAAGGTTATGCCAGTTCTGACTTAATAACTTAATAATTGTATCTTTAAAAACAAATGCTTTGTGTAGACATGTATTACAGTGTATTCTGTGATGTTCCTGGTGTAGTTCATGCCTCCATATAAGCATTACTATTTTCCATCAGTTGGGTCATCAGCTTGTTGTCATTCCAAGTATCATAAAATAAAATCTTAGTGTAATTGTAGTATTGCTAATAATAGTAATTTGGCTTTTTTTTAATAGGTTCTGGAAAAACTTTAATTGCTTGTCGATTAATCAATAGATTCAGAGATGGGCTTCAAAAACCTTGGGGAAAAGGCGGAAAGAGGACTTTTTTTCTAGTTAATACTGTTCCTCTTGTGGAACAACAGGTAAATTAATAATAACTATTAATAAGTATTTATACTATAAACACACCCATCCCTATACCTACCTAGTTTTTTTTTTGTTTTTTTATGGGTGATAATGGAATGGTAACCCCACCCACACTATCGGTATACACCGGCGGGCACCAGTGAAAGATGATAGGTGAGGATGAAGCAGGCCAGTTAGCCCATCGTGGCGAATTCAACAAGAATTGTTCACGATGGTTTCCAGGGGGAACCACGTGGAGGTCGACCTGATAGGGCATATTGCTAGCAATGGGGTTGTGAAACTCCATTGCTAACAACCCCTTCCCCCCCTACCTACTCAGTTGGCCCTCGATTAAGAGTGATTGTTGCACATTCCTAGATTTTATATATATATGTATATTTAACACACACGGGGCCAATATGATTAGATATCTATTGATTCATGTGCATAAAAAAAATTATAAATTACACATAGGGTATGCAAAATAAGTAGAGCTCATAAGTATGTGGTATCAAGCCCCTAATCTAAGTCTAAATCAATCTTTCTCCCTTTGTGTTCTGAGGTTTTAGATTATACCTACCTATTCTATCCTTTATCATCGCACTTTACCTGATCATTTAGGTATTATGAGGTCCCCCTCACTCTGAGGTTGATTCTTATTCATCTGTACTATTTTTTTTATTACATTCCTATTCAAACGAATCGTTTATATGACTGTTTTTATTCAAAGTAGTTACTAGGGGAAATCATGCTAAAGTTACCGTTTAGCAATATTATTTTATTATGAAGAGTTTCATAAGTGCACATTATATTTTATTGTAATAAGTACCAGAGGGCCTACCATGAAATATTTTCCGAAATTTCGGGGACGAACGAAACAGAAATTTGATGTTAAAATTACATAATACGTGCCATTTAAAATTATTAAAAACGTTAAAATATCGTTCCTCTGGTCTATAAGGATAGGATTTATGATAAACGAAATGTTAAGCTCCATTTACTGGGTCGATTTCGGTATGAACAAAAACACGAAATTGAGCCTGAAAATTCGGAATTTCATTTCATGGTAGACCACCAGTTTGTCTTATTACACGTAAAGTACAATAAACAAGAAGAATTACACGTAACTTAACTGATAGTTATTACATTAAAATATCAAGTATGATCAATACGGATTATGGTAGTTATGTATGTAGGTACAAAAAATTTCTTTCACTTCAAAACATGTCCGAACGCGATACATGAAACGATGAATCATGAAGTCGCATATCTAAACACTCCATTCATTAATAAAAGACGCAGATAATGATTATCGCTACTTACATGCGTTTTTTTAATTTGCGATAATAGGAATGGTTACCCCACCCGCGCTAACGGTATACGCTAGCGGGGCACCAGTGAGGGATGATAGGTGAGAATGAAAAGTCAGGTCAGTTAGCCCATCGTGATAAATATACCTGGAATTCACCACGATGGTTTCTGGGGGAGGGGACCATGTGGAGGTTGAACTGACAGGGTATATTGTTAGCAATGCGATTGGTAGTCCGCATTACAAACAGTACCCCCCCCCCCCCCCCCCCCTTCCGCTACTTAATGATAATATGTAATAAGTACTAGCTTTTAACTTTACTTTTTTTTATATTGGTTACGTCGTTAAGGCACTATAAGGTGGAAAAGGGTTTGTTAGTAACGGAGCCATTGTTACCCTGTCAGGTCACCCTCCACGCGGTTCCCCCCGGAACTAAGTCGGTTGTTTCTTGAATTCATCACAATGGGCTAACTGACTTGATTTCACCCTCACTTATCACATCTCACTGGTACCACGCCAGCATATACAGACAGAACGGGCGGGGCTTCCATTCTATTTTCACCCCCATTAACGATCAGTTATCGCTAATTATGATTTTGAGTAATCATAATTAGCGATAACTGATATGATATGATAAACTATACAAAATCCATTTTACTATAGAAAAATGGATTTTGTATAGAAATTGCATTTATAATATGAAAGAATAAACTTCAAATTAGGTATTCATCATGATCTTTCTGTTACTATTATTTAAAAAATAAATATTATTATAAAAACACAAAGACTATGTATTCGGGGAATAAAAGACTAGATTACGGCAGTTGGACCACAATAAAAAGTAGCCTTTTTCCTACTTCATCTCAAGTGATATGTGTATGCTAAATTTCTTGACTATGGGTCGCCGCTCGGCTGCTCTCCATCGCTGATGAAGTCGCGGCTAGAAACTAGTCTTATATAGTTTTTTATTATTTTATTTTTCAGAAGTTAGTTATTACAAAAATGTGCGATGTAGAGGGCGTGGGTGCATACAGCAGCGAAAACAAAGTCGACTATTGGGACAAAAGCAAATGGGATAAAGAATTATCAAAACATCAGGTTATAAACATTAATATGAAATTATTAAAGAATTAAATGTATAAGTTATCTAAGTGTACTTAATATAATTAAATTCCATTCTACAAAAAAACCTACTTTAATTGTGGCAAAAGCAATTATTTTGATTTAAAAACTAAACTACTAGACTGATTTTGACAAAATTTTTAAATCAATTTACAACTGATGGAGTTAGAAAGTAATAAACATTAAAAAAAAATAGAACTAAATTGAAAAAACTCCCTTTTTAAAGTTGCTTGAAAATATGTTTACATAAGCATTCTATGAAATAACAATTTTGGTAATATAGTGCTTTACCATACTGCCTCACTTTGCGATGATTGCAAGATACATCTCTGCAAACTTAATACAGATATTTGTAGTCAGTTTGTTGGTATTGGACAGTAAAATTACGGAACTACAGAGGGGTAAAACTATAGTTTTCAGAAATTGCAACCATGAGCGTCTGGTGTATTCTGTAATATCCAATGTGCTAGGTATTTATATCTATAGGCGATGGTCACCGCATTCCACCAATGGGATGTCAGCTTGTTCGCCATTTTTTTTTTTATTAAGTTTCATAAAAAAATGTCCATTCTCAATCGGGTGCCTTTGTTTGTGTCTCAATTGATATTCCATTTTCTACAATAAATACGTTTTAGGTGATAGTGATGACGTCTCAAATATTGCTTGATATGCTCACACATGGATACATCAGAGTAGAGGATATAAACTTAATAATATTCGACGAGTGTCACCATGCTGTTGTGGACCATCCAATGAGGTTGATAATGAAGCATTTTGAGACCTGTTCAGTGACACAACAACCTAGAGTACTCGGTACGTTATCAATTCCATAACTGAATAAAACTTGACTCATTCATATACTTCCGGTAGGTAACTGCAAAATAATGTTGATACCTAATATCCTTTATTTAGAATATTATAATTAGATGACCTCTTTCCTGTGGGTTACATATATATTAGCATATAACCTACCTTTGTACTAAATATTAATTAAATCTGTTCAGTTCTTTAAACTTAATTGTGTAATAATAATTTTTACAAATTTTTCATTTATACCATTATTATTTATTGCAAGTTTACAATAAATAGTATATTATTATTATTATTTGAGTAAATGGTGTTTTAGGATTAACAGCGACACTTCTTAATGCGAATGTGACTATTCAAAAAGTTACAACCACGTTACAAGATTTGGAGACAACATTTCATGCTACAATTGCAACGGTTAATGAACTAGGAGAAGTTTTAAAGTAAGTACCTATATCATCATTATTTCAGCCAATTATTGTTCAGGACGGAACACAGGCCACTCATGAGGACAAAATTCATTCGGTTTTAATGGTGAGATATGCCTGTGAAACAGGGGATTTTAGATAGTAATATCTTAGTCCTCTAAAATGGCAACGCATGAGGGGTATCCTTGGGCTGTTCATGTCTATAGACGACAATTACTACAGCTAAACAGCAAGCTTGATTGCTATTCCATATTGCATAACAAAAACAATTTCTTACAGATATTCTACGAATCCATTTGAACTACAACAGACTTATAGAAATCCAATGCCAACAGCAGCATCGCAAGAAGCAGTACGATTATTGACAGAATTGGAAGGTATTGTAATGGATGTGAAATTGCCATCAACTGTAGGTAAACAGCTAGTACCATTGGAATATGGACAACAGGACATCACAACCGATCCAAAAAAGGTATGTGTCATTTTATCAGTTTAGATTTCATGCCGATCGATGAAAGTTACTAGTTTTAGAAGCCACTTGTTTTTATATTTCGCCATAAATGAGTGTCACATTCACGTTCATCAGAGTCACATTCATTCTCTAAATCTATCTTTTAACCCGTGCAGCGATCGGCTCTAGGCTAGATCGCTATAACCACTGCGTCACCGATTTTTTAAATTACCAAATTTCGACTAGAGGTTATGGATAAATGGGTTTATTACCTACATAAATTAATAACCTACATAAATTTAAAAACGACGCTGCAAATTAGAGTTATACAACAGACGCCGTTGCATTAGCGTGCGGTACCACATTTATTTCAGTACAGCGTATGATGCATAAACGCCGAGGGGTTAATGTAATATTTTAATTGATAATTGCCCGAAATTACTGTTTTGTGGACCATCATAAACTAAATTTATAATAAGTAATTTTGATTTAAATCTATTAGAAAGGGTCTTGTCGTGTATCCTTATAAAATCTGCACTGGCGTTTTGTTGACATTAATGCCTTGCTAGTTGTTGAAAATAACTTTTGACCAATTATTAGACCTCTAATTTTATCCGTTTTTGGAAAATTGGGCTTGTAACCCCAAACTTTAAAATTATTTTTCTATGATAGATATTTGAATAAAACTAAAGCGACATAGAAGCTCCTAACTTAACCTAATTTTACAAATAATTATGAAGTCGCAAAAAAGGGGCGGTTTTAAGTGGTTATTTCTTGAAGTACACCGACTAAAATAAAATACATATATTCAAGATATATATAACTATAATACGTAACAATTGTATAGATGCGTGATGGGTGGAATTATTTAAAAAAAAATTAAGAAATTTTTGTAGAAAAATAATTTTAAAGTTTAGGGTTGCAACCCCCATACTCTAAAAAACTGATAAAGTTAGGAGTTTGATAATTAGTTAAAAATTATTTTTTTACAATTAGCAATATATTAAAAGGTACCAGTGTCAACAAAGATGCCAGTGCTGATTTCATAAGAAAACATGGCGACACCCTTTACCCCCTTATTTATAAAAACTAACCTCCTACAAATCTATTACAGTGTTTTGACACTTTTATTCAAATTGGAAATTTAGCACAAAAGAAAGAGACACAGTAGAACACTCTACAAAAAACAGTTCAATAGCTAAAATAGGTTGATGAGAGATTTGACGTTTGATAGAGGACTTAGTTTATTTTTCTCTCTTAGAATAAAGAATTCACCGTGACATCAGATTGAAATCTTAGAGACGGGCTTATGAAAATTGTGTTTCAGAATTGATTTCAATGTAAAACTATTTTCACACTTGCAAATATTTTGAGCAGTATAAAAGATACTGCTTGAACCGCCATAATTACGTGCCTTTTTTATGCAACTTACAATGGTAAATAGACTAAAGTGGTCTCCGAAATCCTTATAAAAATGATTGACAACATTCTCAAGTTTTTAGAAAAAATTAGCTTAATATTGTCTATAAATGGTTTGTTTTCATTCTTAAATTTTTATGATTTTAACTTTCAGATTGTCAAAGCAGTTAAGAATATGATTATCTCAATGATAAAATTTATCAACGAAATGGGAGTTTACGGCGGTGCTATAAGTATTCTAGCTTATGTCATACTTTTAGAGCGGCTAAAGCGCAAATCTTTGTCTAAAGAAGAGGAGCTTTTGTACCAATTCACAATAACACAGTGTACTCAGTAAGTATTTTGTTAATAATACTTATTTATTTACTTAAACTTTATTGACTAGTAAAATATGGTACAAAAGGCGCACTTAATGCTATACTGATTACTATATTTACACGCATACATGCACACACTCGCACACAAGCGCACACACGCACATGCACGCTCACGCACACGCACAAACACACACACGTCACACGCACACGCACACATATACATAAAGGATTATTTTAAAAGCTATTGAAAAAAATTTGTAACTAGTAAAATCGATTACCAGTGAAAAATGCTCATCTGTAATTTAATTTCAATTCCAGATAGGACTGAATAGTACTCCAAACTATTATAAAGGTATTAATTAAGATATAAAAAAAATGTATAAGTTGTATTTATTTTTCCACAGTGCAAGAGCAATTTTATTAAAATCGATGGAAAATGAGAAAGGATATGACAAAATCATAAAACATTCATCCGAAAAAGTGATACAGTTGTTGAATATATTGAGAGAATACAACCCTGAAACATTTAACAAGACTGGAGGTAATTTCGTTAATAATGTAAATTTACTGTCATATAGCAAATATATCTATAAGTTTTAAGTTGACCTTACCTTTATTATTTATGACATAGACTTAACATGGTATTGAAGGGTTCTTAAAAATAAAAGTTTTCCATTATATTGAACGTTTAAAGAATGGGATATCGTCGTGACGATACGTCGGGATATCGTACAGCATACTCCTCAGGAATGAAATTGAGTAAAATGAATTAAAATTATAGTTTATATTTTTTATTTTCCAATATAATTCCTCTCAAGGGAAATACACTTCACATCGTGAGTAAAAAGCTTTTATGTCTGAAAAAAAAATATTCTCGCTATCGTCTAAAAATCTTTCTCTTCGTAACTCCTTTTTTAAAGTTGTAAAGAGGAAAAAGTCACTGGGGGCTAGGTCTGGACTATAGGGTGGGGTGGTTAATTTCTATGAATCCCGTATCTTTTGAGGCATCTTTTGTAGACAAATAAAATATACTCCTTCTTCCTTTTAAAAAAAACTATTAAAAATGCTATTGCTACTGCAGGTATTGGTTTCTTGCCATTCGAATTCTTATAAAAAAATCAAAATAATAAAAGCAATCAATCAATCAATCATCTTTATTCATATACATCTGTTACAGATTCTTATGATACGTCAATTTATAATTATAATAATTACTATATAAAATAATATTAATTAAAAAAAAATATACAATAATTACATTTACAATACAATTCACATTAATACAATATGCAAATCCATGCAGTTTTGTCATTTAGATAATCATTTAATTTATAATATGCTTTTGTACAGAGAGTCCTTTTTATATATATCTTAAATTTTCTTTCATTTAAATGTAAAACGTCATCTGGAAGTTTATTATAAAAACGTATACAGTTCCAAAAATAATCCATGCAAAATGTACTGACTTCTTTAAGGCGATAACAAGGAACATTCAATTTATTTTTATTTCTTGTATTGAAATTATGTGTGTTACTGTTCTTTTTAAAAAGATTTATATTTTTACGTACATACATAATGTTTTTGTATATATATTGCGAGGGAACAGTAAGTATACCTGTTTGCTTAAAATATTCTCTAAGAGATTCACGAGAAGGCAAATTAAATATTGACCGAACCGCTCCGTTTTGCAGTACAAAGATTGTATCGATGTCAGCGACCCTCCCCCATAATATAATGCCATATGACATGATACTGTGAAAGTAACTAAAATATACAAGTTTAGCTGTTCTTGTATCAGTTAATTGTCGGATTTTTCTAATAGCATAAGCAGCTGAACTCAGCCTGCTGGCCAATTCAAATATATGGGAGCCCCATTGCAACTTATAATCAACTACTATGCGAAGCATTTTTTATATCCGACTTTTAATATACAAGTAGAAAGTAAATTGGTAAAAGATATTTTAAACTTAAAATGTTTATTTCAGTTTTATTAAAAGTCAACAAATCAAAGAAGTTTTTATCAGGTATAATATTTACGCAACAAAGATTTATGGCGAAGATTATTTTTAATTTATTGAAAGATGTCAAGGAAGCAAATCCTGAGGAATTCGGGTATCTGAAGCATGATTTTGTTGTCGGTTTTAATGTGAACCCTTTCAATAACACCAGAGAGCAGCATTATTTAAAGAAATCTAGTGAAATAGCCCTATTGAAATTCAGTAAACAGTAAGTATAATAAATCATTGTAATAATTCTTAGTATAATACTTCATAGGTAACTAGTGATATTTTCTGGCTTCGCACGTTTGCAAATTGTTCAAAATTTGGTCCATGAGGGGGGAGGGGGCATAGTATCAGAAAAGAATCCCACCAAAATCAAATTCCTCTTTTGTACTTTGGGGGAAACAGTAGATCACAAGGGGGATCTTAATCCCCGGTGCTTTATTACCGCTGTAATAAGGTTTAATGAAATTAATTGTTCCTATAGATACAAAAGATAGGTAGTTAATTGTAGGCAAAGCGTAATACATAAATGTGCAGCCGCCTTATTCGCGCGGTACATGCGCTCCCTCATCGCCGTGGCGTAAGTACAAAGCTGCTAATTACAAATGCGATTATCTATAACGTACTCTTCCGTCTTACACCGCTTATTAAAAAAAATTCCCACTATTTTGTAACTATTGGTTCACTTAATTTTTCTTTATTTTTTTGAAAAGGCGTGATTTCCCCTAACGTCAGAATCCGTTTGATCCATGACTTAAAGGACTTCCTCTATAATAGATATATTGCAATTGATTGAATGTGTACCTCATAATATTTTAAAATTTCAGAGAACTTAATTGTTTAATCTCGACAAGCGTTATAGAAGAAGGCCTGGATGTGCCGCAATGTTCATTAGTAGTGCGGTATGATCAACCACTCGAATACAGATCCTATATACAAAGTAAAGGTGAGATAAGACTCTTTATGTAAGTATTTACTCCTAGATTTTTGTATTAGTTTATTAGAAACAATATTTTAGTTGGAAGAATTTGTTCTTTAGTAGAAAGGTAAGTGCCATAATAACAAAAAACAACAGTCTTCTGTTGTTTTTGGAAAATGTGGAATTAATTTTTTAATTTTATTAGTGAATACAGTATATGAAAAGCCGGTCAAGTGCGAGTCGGACTTGTGCAATGAGGGTTCCATACACAATCATCAAGTTTTTTTTTTTGTGAAATAACTACAAATTTACGATTTTCGGATTTTTCCTTTATTACTTTATTTACATGACATTACTTCTTGCCAAATTTCAAGATTCTAGGTCAACGGGAAGTACCCTATAGGTTTTAATTCCCTTTGTAAATGTCAAATACTGAATTGATACCGCATATTAAATTGAGAAAAGTACTATACAAACTTTGGCCACAACAGGCATTGATGGACTCACGTATGCACGTTCGTCGATCAATACCTCAGTTGCTGGCCGCTGCAGTAATGTACTATATATATGGTTCTCCCGATTGGTTTAAAATATTGTTATCTCCTGAGACAGAAAATTCAGCAATTCGTACAAATTATTTTTATTTAGATGTTAATAACTGCTAACAATGTTTTTTATATTTCAGGCCGTGCACGTAGCTGTGAATCTAGTTATGTCATACTAATCGATGAAGCGAATAAAGCTAAATTTTATAATCAGTACAATAATTTCCTAAAAATAGAACAATACATTCAGGGTGTTAGTATAATTTTAATATTTATTTATTATACGTTTAGTGATGGCAATTTCTTTTATAAGTAATATTTTAATAATTTTATAAAGATAAGTTCACTTTACAACCAACTTAAAAAATAAAATAGAAAATGAACGAAAATTCTATTAGAATTATAAAATAATGTAAAATACAGATTCGGTGAGATTAACAATCTTTTTGTCCCGTTGCAATAGAAGTACAGTAAAGCTATTTCTGACGAGTTAAACCACCTTGTGGCAACACGTCAGTTCATCGATGTATCCTCTATAGCGCGACTAGGTAGCCGCCTATAGCTATGTATCTTAGTATTTGAAAGAAGCAAATTATTAAGGATTCTATATTGAAGATAAAGATGTTGGATGGATAAAAATCTAATGACCCTTTTAATCTTTATTCAAGCTGTGTGATTGTGTGTGATCTGATTAGCTCAAACATAATTACTTACATAATTATTTCTAGTCCTTCTAAGTTGGGGGGGAATGGGATTGTTAGTAATGTAGACTAAGAATCCCATTGCTAGCAATATATCCAACCAGGTCGACCTCCTTGCGGTTCCCCCTGGAAACTATCATGATTAATTCCTGATGAATTCATCATGATGGGCTAACTGGCCTATTTTCATCCTCATCGATCACTCTTCACTGGTGCCCCGCCAGCGTATCCCATTAGCGCAGGCGGGGTTACCACTCCATTTTCATCCAATAAAAAAAAAGTCCTTCTAACTAAGAGTATACGCACGCGTAATACCTCTGGTATTGCAGGTGTTCATAGGCTACGGTAACCACTTACCATCAGGTGGGCAGTATGCTTGTTTGCCACCTCAGTGGTATAAAAAAAAATATTGAAACAGTAGTTTGACGAAATAAAGAAATTATAGATCAGTGACCTATTAATTTCAGGTATTGGTAGGTAAAACTGATGAACGCGCCGCACCAACTGAACAAGACCTACAAGACCTTTATGACGAGGACGACATACCGCCTTATATCACTGAATATGGCAGTAAGTTGTTTTAATATTTATTTATTTATTTATTATATTTCAGCGACACCATTATGCCATGCGTGTGTTATTGACAGAAATTATTTACATTATCGCATTTGATTTGATTTTCAAAGAGGGATTACCCAATGCATTCATCTTGATTGACACCATAAAGTATTATTATGTAGTTTCTACTTCCAGTCAATGTCGTTAATAAAATTATTAGTTTGATACTATTAAAAATATTATTATAAATCTGTTTAGATCGCCTCTCCGCTGTGTCAGCTATAAGCCTGCTCAACAGATACTGCTCGGTGTTGCCACACGATCAGTTTACAGTCATAACACCCATGTGGATTCAGGAGAAAAAGATAGTTAATCAGAACACTGTTTTACGATCAATCATCATAATAATGCCGATAGAGTGCCCCGTCAAGGAGAAAATAATGGTAATTTATTTTTATAGGATGTATCCTGCCAGACAGATTAGATAGGCAGACAGATCTACGCCTGCATCTTACTTGAAAGGCAGAGAGATACACAATAGACCATCATAACACGTCTCATGTATATACTTTGAGTTTGGAGACTTTCTAAATAGATATATAGATGAAATAGAGAGTGTATTAAAATATTTATTAATTTAATAATGGACAATTTTATCCATAGGTAGGCATTAGCTGTAGCATGTAACATATGTCTAATATTATATATTAGATAAATAGATAAACAATGAGTGAGTCTTTTGTGTATTTTTTTTAATGCTTAACTGAAATTGCTTCTAATAAAAATAGCTAATTTTTTAATGTTTTCATCTTTTAACTTTCTTAAAGGGGTTTCTGAATTTATAGCAGCAAATTTACATTCAATTTACATATTAATTTGCAAGTGTATAATGATGCAATATACAAAAATGATCCATAATATATATAAAGAGTACTTCTATTATTTGTAAATTTCTTATATAATTTCCTTATTTTAAGTGGGCGTATTAAATTTGTCTACTACATTCAATTATACTTCATTACAAAAGTTAATCCTCAGTGTATCGCTCAAAATTGTTTATAATATGTGATTTAATACAAAACTAATGTTTTAGGGCAGCCCAATGGCTAATTTGAAATCAGCAAAACGATCGGCTGCATTGAATGCATGTATACGGTTGCATCAAGAAGGCGAGTTAGATCCGTACACGCTGTTACCGCGCTCCTATGGGTAAGTGTAATAATTTGTCTTTTAGGAATAATAACTAAATGAATAATACTTATTTAAAATTATTATAAAGATTTATTTTTATTAAAAGATATGTATTTTATTTTTACCTTTCTGGAAACCTTTATCCCGGAGTTAAGTCATCTTAAAACTCATGTTAGTTCATTAAGGTGACCATTAACTCGAGCCATTAACGCGAGTAATTTATCAGCTTTTAATAATTGCAAGAAATGATTTTTTTTTACGTTTTATAATATCTATAGGGTAGTAGAATTTGAACATCCCGATATAAAGGGATGTTTTCTAAATTGGCCGTGGGACCACGATGAAGACGAAGGCCAGGAGAATTTAGCTAAAGCGGGAACTAAAAAAAGAATGCGCAAACATTGTAAAGTGGTAAGTTATCAATCTATTGAATTTCTTATAATTTACTATACTTACTTACGATACTTCAGATTGCAGTATGATTTTTATTATTAATTAATAAGCGAGTTGATTAATGAATAAAATCTTAATTCTCTAGAGTAGCAAAGCACAAGAAGTACCATGTATTCAATTTACTCCATCTTGTTGTTCATGCCAATAGGCAATGGTTACAACTTTCCTTTGTTAGTTTATATAAAAAAAAATTACATATAAATTTAAAAAGTAGGTATTATTCAATTTAACATAAATAATTATAACCAATTATTTGTAATTCCAGTTTCCAACTAGCCTCAAAGGAATCTCCAAATTTTATCAGCAGAAATTTTACCTGCATATTATAAAATTAACGATCTCATTCCCCGAGCCTCAAGATTCACGCGAAAGAGCTTTATACAAGTTATTACAACGACCGGAGGGTTTTGGCTTCTTAACATTCAATCCTTTGCCGAAACTATGCGACTTCCCCTTATTTTTGACAGTAGGGGAGGTAGTTACAACTATTGCAGTAAATTATGCAGTTATAGAATTGAACATACAACTTTTAGAAGTGATTAAACAGTGAGTTTCTTATTATGTACATTTCTAACAAATCTGTTTATTAACATTTTTATAAACAAGTTTTTATAATGATTTCATTTTAAAATCTACACCAATATTTGCCATCTTGTGGTGGCGGCCATTTTAAAAATATTACAATATTACCATATTGTATTATCACCAAAACTAAAGGTGTATGTAAAATTTCAGCTCAATCAGATGCCAAAAGGTCATTCTAACACAGCTTGCAAATTCGACCTAAACATCTGATTATTAATAATCTAATTAATGAATTAATATACATTGGAAGTAAAATAAAACTTTATAAAAAAACATATCGGGTTAAAAATGTAACCTTTCAACAGCTCAATCTGACGGGATTCTTACCTCCTATCTTTATCCGCGGTCGAGTGTGATCACAGTGAAATGGCAAGTTTTCCAATCTCTTTCGAATATCAGGCAACATGAAGCGTTATCTACCGTGTATATGAATTTTGATTAATTACATATGTCCTACATCCTACAATTAGAATTGATTTTAAGTTCACTTTCTCTATGATCACCATTTTGTTTTATAATGGAGTGAATCGACCCAAATTCCATTTATTACAAAAAAAACTAAATTCCTTTTTCATCCGTATATTACTGTGAATTTTTTTTTATACTATGAATAAGAATATCTCCTACGTTTATCTTATTTTAAAGTTAATGTATTTTATTTTAGGTTTCATTATTTTATTTTCAATCAAGTGTTGGCTATTGCGAAACAGTTTTTGGTATATGATGGAACAGAAAACTGTATGTTTGTGGTGCCAATAAAAGCAGATAATGGTTATGATATCGATTGGGCGGTTATGCAGCAATATAATGAAATACCACCAGTCGGCGTGCCTTCCTTTAAGGTGAACACTTTGTTGATACAATAGCAGTTACTATCTATTATTATTTTAGTATACTGCTATTACAAATGATCGTAATATATTTATATTATATACATTTACAATGACACTGCTCTCAAAAATGGTATTGTTGATTTTTAAAAATATATCAATTGCTATACATAGTATTCAAATGTATATGACTATTTGTTAATATATAGTTTTTGACAAAGAAAACATTTTTTAGTATTAAATTTTGTTTCTTTTTTTGTCTATAGGAGAGAAAATCTCTATCTGTGACGAGGGAGAATTACCAATATTGTGTAGTGACACCTTGGTACAGATCCTCAATTTTGCCAGACAGGTTTGTTTATTTGCTGTTAATAATTTTTCATAATGCTTAAAAGAAAAGAATAGCCAATCAGCTGATGGAACATGGTAACCGTCTCCTATAGACATGAACAGCACCATGACAGAATACACTGTGATGCTGATGGAACCATCCATGCATTCATTCCCGAGGAATAAGGCGTTATCCAGTATTCAGTTATTTCATTGCCATATCCCACCCTTCGAACATAATCATGATAATAATGAAAAATACAAATTTTACAGACAATGCATGACTTCAGTTCGAGGATCCTAAAATAAAAAATCACAACCTAATGTATATTATTCAGTATCGTAATTTGTATTAAGAATTATTAACTACACTTGATATTTACTGAATTTTATATCTATTTATTTTGTTAATTTTGATGAGAAAATAATTTCAAGTAAACTTAAACCACCGCAAAATTTTTAAATTTTTAAGTATTTTGTGTCAATAGGAAAAGAACTAGAGATAGGATTTTTAAAGTATTGAGTCTCTGAGTATCAGTTCATTTTGAAAAAGGTGTCTCTTGTCCAAAATAGTTTGGGAATCTATGGCCTAAACTTCTTAATTTTTATATTTATATTTGAATTGATCGAAAGTTATTGGCACTTAAAATCGCCGGTCGGTAAATTAGGTCATTGGTCTTTGTGTACAGCGAAGACAATCTAAAAACTCGTGACAAAAGAGAGCTTCTTCATCATCAAATATTCATACTAAATTTCATCAAAGAACGTTAACCTATTAAATTAAAAAAATCATGCAGTATTTTTATTATAAATATTTTCTTAGTGAGTGTATATATAGTTATTGTATATTATACATTGTATATACACTTACGTTATATAAATTATATCGATATACAAATATTTCTCATGACAGATATATAGTGTCCGACGTATTGGAATATATGACACCACAATCTCAATTCGGGACTGATTCCTACGGCACATATGAAGATTACTACAGGAATAAATATAACTTGGAGATATTGGGAAGGAAGGATCAGCCCCTGCTTGAGGTATTATTAATAGAAAATTTCCCGCTGAGATATTTTTTTGTATAAACAGGTATCAAATATTTTGACAAGTCTAACAATGCTCAGCAAATGCTAAAATGGAACCTCATACATTTGAAATAAATAGACGGATCCAGTATTGATATAATATTAGTTGTTCTCCGCGGCTTTGCTTGCGTGAATCAGTATATAAAATATGTTTTAAGGTATAACCTACCTGTGTAACAAATTTTATTTAAATCTGTTTAGTCTTTCAAGTGATTGAATGACAAAATATCCAAACATCTTTATAATGTGTGTATATATATATATATAATTGAACCAGATGAAATCTTACTAGTACAATAAAATTTTAACTAGACAATGGTCTGTACACAGAAGATATTTAGCAGCAGAAGTCAAAACAGTAATTATATTATTTTTTGTCTGTTTGTCTTTTTGTTGTAGTAACACGCAAAAAAACACTACACAAAATTGAATGCGATTTTTACTGTGTTCCTGAAGGTCTAATTTAGAATCAGTTTTATGTTTTATCTAGTTATACTATGTAAAAGTGATTACTTATCTCAAAAACCAACACATACGAAATTGCAAAAAAAAAGAAATTAACTATATATTAAATAATAACATAAAACACATTTACAGGTCCGTCATATAACTTCAGGAATGAACTGCTTATTGCCAAGAGCGGCTACAATCAATGCTTTCACGGAGAGACAACAGAAAGCGATATCTGCTGCACAAGGTGACGATAACTTGAAAGGTTTCATAGAACAGTTCGTCCCTGAATACTGTATCAAATATGAGTTCCCAGGCGTTTTGTGGTACAAGGCCATGATGTTACCCAGTGTTTTGCATAGGTATGTTAATTTTTTTTTTTTTTTACAATACGATATGTGACCTCACCATCGTAAATGAACATAGGGATATTCTCTTTTCGGTTGCGATGGGCCGACAATGTTCAACTCAATCGTTGTCCGTATTATGCGAGATTTCTAAGTGCATGAAAGTAAGTTTTCATGCTACGTTTGAAAGATCTGATTTTATAGGACCTTTAAAAGAGCTTAATTTTTTTTTTTTTTGGGAATATTAAAATGGCATTTTCCCCTGAGCAAATTTTGTTCTTTTTGTATGAAACCTGTGGAAGTTCTCACTTGCCAAATGTACTAGTTTTTACTCGTTATTTCGATTTGTTGATTAATTATCAATGTCTCTCTCCGTCCCTAATACTATGTTTTTTTTTATACAACTTAGAATGGCAAACAAGCTAACGGCCCACCTGATGGAAAGTGGTAACCGTCGTCTATAGACATGAGCAGTACCATGGATATAACAGAGTGTACTGATTCGCCCATGATACCCCCCATGCGTTGTCATTCCTGAGGACTCAGGTGTTATTCCTCTGTACCCTGTAAATTCACGCCATATCCCACCCTTCAAACCGTAACACAGCCATGCAAACACAACTGCTTCACGGTAGAAACACAAATGGGACAGAGGTACCCAAGCAATCGAATTTTGTACAAATTCTCCCTCTGTTTCCGTTTAAGCCGTTAAGGTGCCAAAAAGTAATAAACAAATTTATGACATTAGTAAATATTCCAAATTCTACTAAACTCCAATAATAATTATCATTAATATTCTCTTATCAATTTAAATTTTGGACTATATCTTCGATTAATAAAATGCCAATATACCAGATTAACCTTAATGACTATTACAAGCTCATCCTCCTATCGTGTTGGATTCTGAAATGTTGAACGAAATGAATGCGTGTCAGGTGTTACGTTTCCCACGATTGCAATATTCGACAGACACTTCTGACTTTTCCATTATTGGTACCAGTCGTATGTATATTTTTTTATTTATATTAAATTAAATTTTAGGGTATCCCTTCTACTTGTCGCCAACGACTTGCGTGCTGAAATTGCTGAAGCTACAAAATACGGCCACAAAAGCCTACATAATAGTAAGTATTTTATAAAAAAAAATTTGTTTCTTTAATTGTCTTATATAGACAAACGCTAAAGACCTGTCAAGTATTAATAAATTTTGTATATACTTCGACACATCTTCTCATCTCCGAAATACCTCAAAGTTTGAAGCTTTTAATGTTGTATGTTGCAAGTGAGATGATCTACAGAACCGAAACATGAGGGCCTACCATGAAATGTTTTTCGAAATATCGGAGCCAAACCAACATTGATTTGATGTTAAAATTATATAATACATTCCGTTTAAAAATATTAAAAATGTTAAAATATTGTTCCTTTGGACTTTTATGATAGGATGTATGACGAACGAAATGTTAAACTTCATTTATTGGTCCGGTTCGGACTCAATTTCGTGTTTTTGTTTATACCAAATAAACAAAAACACGAAATTGAGTCCGAAATATTGGAATTTCATTTCATGGTAGACCCGCTGATCCTATACGGTTGCCCGTATGCAAAAGTTCCAAATTACACAGCGGGCTATGGAGAGGGATTTTTTTTTATGGGTGAAAATGGAATGGTAACCCCGCCTGCGCTAACGGGATACGCTGGAGGAGCACCAGTGAAGGGTGATAGATGAGAATGAAAACAGGCCAGTTAGCCCATCATGATGAATTAATCAGGAATTAACCATGAAACAAAAAAGAGGATTGTATTTAGTAAATAATTTTATTTTCTTTCATACAGACGAGAAATGGTTGCCCATACAAGTGGATTTAGAGATCGCTATAAACTCTTTACGTTCCCAGACGGAAGCACCTGTACCTATCAACGCAGTGGACAGGTAATTCGAAAGCAATATTATTTTCAAAACTTATGTTGATTATTAAGATACAGTACTGAATATCTGAAATTTAACTATGTTAAATAATAACTGTAATTTGACAACAGTTGTCGTTTCCGGCAAACACAGTAAGTGCATTAAGTTGTCGATACTGGACATCGTATAATTTAAAAGCAAATTATTTCTTACAAAATTATTTCTTAAAAAAATTATATTAGATCATTAGTTTTTCTCTACGACATCGTCTGCGTGACCGGGATAAAAAGTAGCTTATGTTTTCTCCATTGCAAATACTACGTATATACTAAATTTAATGACGATTATTCAGTTCTAAGATACTTAGGAGTGGTGACGAACAAACAGCTACACTTTTACTTTCATAATATCAGTAAGCATTTATCTGTACTAATAATATTATAAACCTGAAAAGTTTGTTTATTTGTTTAAATGCGCTAATCTCGGAAACTATTGGTTCGAATTGAAAAATTCTTTTTGTATTGAATAGTCCATTTATCGAGGTAGGCTTTAGGCTATATAACATCACGTTGCAACCAATAGAAGCGAAGCATTAGTAAAACATAATGCAAAAACGTGGAAAAATATTCATATTTGAGGGCTTCCGTTGCGTGCGCTGTGTAAACGGTTCAAGTTACTCAAAAAATATGCATGAAAACAATTATTCCTCTTTAAATGATCTAAAAAAATGTCCGCGACAGTATATGTCTATCTTTTAAAATTGATCCACTATAACCTTTTTATGGTAATCAAATTTGGTCGAAATTAATGTATTATTGCCAATTATGTGCTAAAGAGTTTTATCAACATAAATGTCCTAATGTCCCAATAAATGTCTTGTTAATAATATTCAACTGTGAACAAAATTGTCCTTGACATCACTTAATTAGAATTAACATCTTAGAAGATACTGCAGTTTTAAAATAACTTCGCAACAAAATTCACAAATAACAGAAATTGACGCGGACGAAGTTGCGAGCAACAGGTAGTTAAATATAAACGCGTTTAAATTAATAAATAATGATTGTAAAAACTTGAAAATTGTGCATTTTAAGTAAAAAAAAAAACTAAAATCAAAAGTGTGTTCTCATTTATTCAGATAATTTAAAATCAAAGAGTTTACCTTTCCGATAAATACCGTAGTAGTTTACTAAACATATAAATGTTATGTTTCAGAATAAACAACCCAAATGGTGAAACAGAAATTAAAAAAATTCCCATGAGTTCAATGAAGAAGGACTTGTTTGAACTACAGATAAAAAAAATAAACCAAGAGTACCCTTGGAATGTAAGTTGTTATATAAGTACTGGCTAATCTGGCAAAAGTTGTTTTTCATTTTTGATATTGTTCATTACATCTATTTTTTATCACTTAAAAACTATCCTATCCTATACATTTACAAAATTTCATTAAAATCGTAATTGATTGTGGAGAATGGTTTATATTAAATGATAATTCTCTGGTTCTCAACCATAAGTCATACAATTTGAAAGCTGTTGGGATCGGCCGCCAATGACGTGTTTGCCGCTAGGTTATAAATCATGTCGTTTATTAGTATTAATTAAGTAATTGTGTGTGTGTGTGTATATATATATATATATATATATATATATATATATATATATATATATATATATATATATATATATATATATATATATATATAATAATGAGTAGGGATAATATTTATATTATTATATGTATCACATCTCCCATATTTAGAACTAACAAAATTTTTCATCGTGCCTCCCACCAAATTGTTTATAATTACTCCTCTCCATCCAAAGGTTGCCTGGAAGAGATCGTTCTTAGCGATAAGGTCGCCCATTGTTTTTTATTGTGATTATTTCTTGTAATTATTTATATTTATAATAAGTTTACTATTGTAATCTTTTGGAGGAAACAATAAAGAGTATCTATCTATCTATCTAATTACATTTACCTACATCGAGAGTTCCGTAATTACTATTTACTATATCATGTTCTAGAAAGTATTAGGTGTGGTTTGGATGATTAACGTGAACAAACCTGGTGATATGGGATTTTTAGGTATACTAATATTAGGCTATGATTATGTTACAAAAAATTTGACTATATTGCAGTCTGTAATAAAGACTATTAATTAACAGGAAAAAATGGAACCATTAGATATTGAACGTAATCTGTCGACGGTAACGGTGATGGACATCGAGTGTTACGATAAATTCGTATGTGCGCCATTAAATGATACTTCCAACACTGATCCCATTCTTTCGCCGCAGCGAGCGTCGACCTCTTCTGCTATTCTGCCACCGCCGCCAAAGTGAGTGTATTAATTTTTTATTTTATTATCGTACATAAAATAATAAACAAGTTGGCGGCCCACTTAATGAAAAGTGTATAAAAATAATACACAACACTCAATATAATACATTTACTGTTAGTCCTGTGGTTTTCTTCATGCATTTCAATTCATTACCATAGTGTCATGTGTGTGTACCCTGTAATTTAGTTTTTTTTTTTTATGAGTGAAAATGGTATAGTAACCCTGCCTGCGCTAACGGGATACACTGGCGGATCACCAGTGAAGGGTGATCGATGAGGATGAAAACAGGCCAGTTAGCCCATCATGATGAATTCATCAGGAATTAACCATGATAGTTTCCAGGGGGAACCGCGAGGAGGTCGACCTGTTTGGGTATATTACTAGCAATGGGATTCTCAGTCGCCATTACTAACAATCCCTTTCTCCCTCTGTAATTTTGTTGCATTATGCCCATTATATTCTCCCTTATGGAATTATGCCTACCTTTCAAACCGAATTACGGCTACTTTACGATAGAAATATGGGTAGGACAGAGGTACCCATGCCAATGACTAGTTAATAGACAATAAAAAGTTATTCTGTGATTTAATTTTATACATTTTTAATGGATTGATTTAATGAATTTTTAATCATCATCATACCAGCCGTTAACTGTCCACTGCTGAACATAGGCCACCCCTGGGGGGGGGGAGGGTTTTGCCAGTAGTTGCCAGGCTTGACAGTCAGATTGACAACCGCAGTTAGGCTTTGGTCATGTTTAAATAGGAACGCTGCTGTCCATCCCTCGACCATTAAGTTTCCTTAGTTGCCGCTTGCGACACCCATGGGAAATGAATTGATGGCCAATTTTATGCGGAGTCAATACGTTATGTTATGGTATATTCCTTGTAATAGGGACTAACATCCTCATTACAAATGCCTTCTCCTTTTGCTGAAGGAGTTGAAGATTATACAACAATCTGCTCACTAAAAGTGTATGGAGGAATCTGTAAAAAAAAAACTGTGGCAAACTTTTAAAGCAACAAAACAAACTTTATCGAATAACGTTTTTGGTTGTATTGAAAAATTCCCGATACTTTCATGTATATTGTATATGCGTCTATAATAAAAAGCGTGTTGTATTTTTTTTTTTTCAATTACATTTATCTTTTTAACGTAGTATTTTGTACAAAAGTCGATTGCTTGGGTACCTCTGTCCCATTCGTGTTTCTATCGTTAAGCAGTTGTGTTTGCATGGCTGTGTTTCGGTTTGAAGGGTGGGATATGGAGTGAATTTACTGGGTACAGAGGAATAACATCTGAGTCCTCAGGAATGACAATGCATGGGGGGTATCACGGGCGAAACAGTATACTCTGTTATGTCAATGCTACTGCTCATGTCTATAGGCGACGGTTACCACTTTCCATCAGGTGGGCCGTCAGCTTGTTTGCCATTCTAAGTTGTATAAAAAAAAAAAACTACGTTATATTTCTTTTGCAGATTCAACAATAAAATTGTCTTACTGACAAAGACTCCCACCGGGCGGGGTCCAGAGTTGCGAGATGTTTTGGCGGCTATTACCACAATAAAATCTCATGACACATTTAATTTGGAACGTGCAGAGACACTCGGGGACTCGTTTCTTAAGTTTGCAGCCAGTTTGTATTTATTTCACAAGTTCCCAAAACTCAATGAAGGGCAGCTTACGAATATTAAAAGCCGGTTTATTGGAAATAGGTAAGTTATATTATACATAATTAATTATACATAATGACAGCTTCATTATGAGCACAAACATACTTACGTAAAATTTTTTACAAATAAATCTCATTTCTTTTAATTTCAATCTCGAATTTTAGAGTTGTAAATATATATGTATATATTTTTTTTACAGGAATCTGTATTACGCAGGCGCACGTGCACAGTTAGGTGGACGTATGAAAGTGGAACACTTCAGCCCAAGAAGTGATTTTTTGATACCAGGCTTCTTTGCACCAAAGAAAATTCAAGAAATTATTGAAATCCACCAGGTGTGTTTATGTTCTTTTAATATATTTCTTCGTATACGTATTTTTATGATTAATAATGTTGTTTTTAATGGGAGATAATGGAATAGTAACTCCGCCCGCGCTATCGGTATACACTGGTAGGGTAACAGTGAGAAATAATAGGTGAGGATGAAGCAGGTCAGTTAGCCCATCGTGATGAGTTCAACAAGAATTATTCACGTTGGTTTCCAGGGAGAACCACGTGAAGGTCGAGCTGATAAGGTATATTACTATCAATGGGTTCATCAGACCCCCATTACTAACAATTCCTTTTCCCTTTGATAATGTTGTTATCCATTATTATCCCCATATTTATAATAACGTCCAACTTCTCATAAACGTATTTTAGCTATAGAAGTGTTTTGTCTTTTTCTTTTCTACTAAAATCTTGTAAGGAAATGAAAAAACACTTTAATAGCTAAAATAGATTTGTAGAAGGTTAAGAATAAGATGGTTAGCACATTATTTTATATATTTATAAAAGCGTAGATTACCATTTCCAGTGTGCCACTTAAAGTGAGATAAATTACGGCGCTACAGTAAATTATGAACCTTCCACTTGTGAATAGATTTAAATATGTACGAGATGCCGAACATTGCTTATCTTTTCCAATTCATGTGTGCGGTAGTGTAAACATATCTACAAATAGATCATACAGTTTATATTTTTGGAGTAATAATTTCATGCGAAAAAACTAAGTAAAGTTACTACCCACAAGTGGTTTTAGAGGATTTAATTTCTCCGTAGGATATTTTACCTTATTAAAAATGGGATCTGTTGGTAATTATTACGTTGTTTACTTAAATTCTCTTTGTCTGTGGCAACAGGTTATTATTAATACATGACTACAGCAATTTTAGGATCTTTTAATTACCAATAATAGCTCGTATCTAAACTCTACTTATTAAACACGATAATATTGATATTATCGTTTTACAATGTTATCTACTAGTAAATTAGATATTTTTGTGTTTATCTGCAAGAAATAAAATCTTTGTTTTTAAAAATAGTTTATTTTATACTTTCACATTGTTCTGCATTTATACATTTATTCCTTAATTTCCTCTCGTATTTGACTAGTTGAACATTTTTTTTAATTACATTTTTATTTATAACTACATCAACTATCACTACTACAACAATCTTACCAGAGGGAGACTTTGTACAAAAATCGATTGCTTGGGTACTTCTGTCCCATTCGTGTTTCTACCGTGAAACAGTTGTGTTTGCATGGCTGTGTTTCGGTTTGAAGGGTGGGATATGGCGTGAATTTACAGGGTACAGAGGAATAACATCTGAGTTCTCAGGAATGGCAACGCATGGGGGCTATAATGGGCGAATCAGTACACTCTGTTATGTCCATGGTACTGCTCATGTCTATAGGCGACGGTTACCACTTTCCGTCAGGTGGGTCGTCAGCTTGTTTGCCATTCTAAGTTGTATAAAAAAAAATCTTAAATATATATATTGAATTGCCGTGTGTGCCCCTGTATAAAATGGGCCACATCTTCTTTTCACATGCCATAAAAGGCGACTAAGGGAGGGCAAGGAATAGGTAGCAGTGTCCCTCTTAAAACATCTCTTAAAACCTAACTGCGATTGCCAACTCGCCTGCCAAGCGTGACAACTACTGGCAAAACTCCCCTTATCGGGAAGGCTTATGTCCAACAGTGGACAGTTAGTGGCTGAAATAATAATAATATATATTGATATTATAAACGCAAGCACATTATATAATTCAAATTCCATATCAACTACCCTATTTTTATTATACAAACATTGATTTCATCACAATACTCAATACTTATTTTTAATGGAATATTTATTAATTTATTTATTAATCTGTATACTATTTTAATTCTTAGATATATAAAAGTTCTTAGCCTACTTATTAAGTACATTTATATAATAATAATAAATTAATAAAAATAAACCAAAATAAATTAAAATAAAAATTTATATAATAGCAATAAACAGATAATATCTTCATTAAAATATGTTAATTGGTAATAATTTGAGATGATATACGTCTTAGACTCAAAAGTTTTGGCTAAAAGTTTAGTTTGTTTTTAATCTTTCAAATATGTTACTTTAAAAATATATTTATTTTACAATTATTTAATGTAATTTGGCACAACAAACATTACATTATTAATACTCTATTATTATATTACATTATTAATATCATTATTAATACTCTGTATTCCTATTTATCTTTAGTTAAACTAAACTTGGTTGAAACATATTGGATAAAAAAATACTGAAAATAGGTTTATGAAAAAATAAATCCAATACAAAATTTGACTATGTTAATAATTTTATATCTGAATTCCTTACTGATTATCTAACATTATTTTTATTAATTTGGAATAAATAGCTTAATATTTCTGTTAATAGAGATGTATTATCGATTTTTTTTCGCATTGAAATCTAAAAACTTGGCGGTTGCTGAGAAAATATCGTCAACTAATACTTGAGGAGTCTGTAAAGCAGCGAAATGACCACCTAAATCCAGTGTATTAGATGATACTAAATTCGGGAACTTATCTCTTAATATCCAGTCTGGTTGGTACAATACTTCATATTTGAAGTTGATAGCAGCTGTTGGGACCGGAGTTGGTATGCTGAAATAGAAATTAAATTTAATTGTTATAGAATTTAATTGTTATAGGTAAATTCTTTACTAGAGATGGATTTTTGTACCTACAAACTCGTCTACTAGGCATATCTTATTTTCATGTTTATGTTATCGCCGAACAGATTGTTTGCTGAATTCCAGTAGGTAGTGTCGTTAATGTTTGTGGATTGTGGTGATTATTTATTATCAGGCGGGGCATAGGTTTTTTTTATGGATGATAATGGAATAGTAAATCCGCCTGCGCTAACGAAATACACTGGCACCAATGAGGGATGATAGGTAAGAATAAAAAAGCAGGTCAGCTAGCCCATCCTGGTGAATACACCTGCAATTCATTACGATAGGACCACGTGGAGGTCGATCTTATAGGGTATATTGCTAGCAATGGGACTGGTAATTCGCACTACCAATAATAATATTAATCTCAATTAAAATGTATTGTAGCAAACATACATAACAAGGCAGAACCCACAGATTATTAAGCGATTAACTTTTTTTTTTAATTATGGCTCCTTTTTTTATGGGTAAAAATGGAATAGTAACTCCGCCTGCACTATCGCTGTATGTTGGCGGGGCTAGCAATCAATTAATATGCGAGTTCATCAAATAATCTTACTTGTGAATAATATTAACTTCGGGCCAAGCAAATGCTTCTGCGTAAATTCTGCTCGATGTAACAATGCAGTTGTTAGTCCATACAATGGTAATGGTATCTAATACATCGTCCAGATGCAAGTTTTCTATACCACCATGGGGAGTATTTAGTTGATCTCGATTGCTCACCACTCCCATTTTCTCAACAATATAAGCAGCTAAACCAGCTGGCGAATCACTAAGAGCCACGCCTGTAAAAAAAATATTTACGTTCATAAATATTATTTGTGGGATTAAAAAGCCAATCCTACACAGATCATAATAGAATTAACTTTGTATAATTGTCCGAGGAAAATATACTGCTTTATTAATATTACGCCCTCAAAGCGTGAGATCTATTAAGCTCGGCAAGTTATTTTATTATTACATCTGCAATCAAAAGCTTATATCTAGAATAATTGAAATATATTTTCATAATACATTAGCCAATTACAGATTACCAATTTGTATACCAAAACAAATTTTATTATAATTCATGTAAAGTGGGCTTTTTAATTAATGCAAATGCTGATTGCCCCATCCAAAGAGAGATCTTAAATACCTCAGTTCATATCTCAGTAGCGTAAGAATGAGAACCGAACACAACATGTTTCCGGATATTCAATTAGTCACTGTTACAGGGATTCATATACATTATTTTTGTATTTCATTTATTTAGAGGCGCTATGAAAAGCAAATCGAACATATATACAGAGATAGATTTATAAGTGAGATTCCACGTACCGATAGTATCTGGCTTTGTGGCCTGTATATGGAAGTACCCACTCTCTTTAAGTAAATAAGAGAATAATTTTTTCAACGGATAAATCCTGTCGACGTATCTAGAATCTACGGCAACATCAGGGGCCAGGGACCCTAGCAACATCTTTACTGCGCTAACAGGCCTCGAAGAGAACGGCATATTTGTGTGGAAACTAAAACAACAAGAAAAATTGATTATAAAAAACAGAGTTCAACTGATTTAAAAAAGAGGCATTTTTTCCAGTGGCAATCGATTTCGATCATTCTTGTAAATCGTTTACTCCTTTGTGAATTTTTCATTTTTGTTGCGGTTTATTAAATATTATTATGATTGATTTTTTTTGCGATCTATTGTTTTTTTTTTTATGGAAGAAAATGGAAAGGTGACCTGATCCGCGCTATTGGTTTACACTGGTGGAGTACTAGTGAGGGAATCATCCCTCAAATATCAAGTTGAGGATGTCAGGTCAGTTGACCCGGCGTGATGGATTCACTAGGATTTAATCACGATAGTTATCAGAGACACCACATGAAGGTTAACCACATAAGGCATCTAGCAGTAAGGCCATTAGAAGGTGAAGGGATTGTTAGTAATGGATATCCCATTACTAGTGCCTATTGCTAACAATATACCCTTTCAGGTTGACCTCTACGCGGTCCTCCTTGGAAACTATCGTGGTTAATTCTCAATGAATTTGTCACGCTGGACTAATTGACCTCTTTTCTTTCTCAACTATCATCTTTCATTAATGCCCCATCAGCGTATACCGATAGCGCAGACGGGGGAGTATCTTCACCCATAAAAAAATTGAAAAACTAGGGTTCGTTATTAACAATCCTCTCCTGTACGACGGTATTAGACGATATTAATAACCTAATAATTTTAAAGTTGTAATAAATAGATACTTGCCCTAATATCTCATCAGGGAACATGGTTACCATGTGTGTGGCACATTGTGACCCCCAATCTCCAGCTTGTAGGTAGAACTTATCAAAACCCAGACGCTTCATCAGATTCCTCATTATTATTCCTATTTGCACTGGATTTAAGCCTGGCTTGTTTGTACCCTGTAAACAATCATTATAATCCAACTAAAATTAATAATTCAACTTTTAGACTTTTGCGCTTCATGTTTTATAAAAGGATGAGAACGTTATATAAAGGATAGTAAATTATCATAATTTGAATGATTGCGTTTATGTCTTTCCTATTGCTTATAAAACATAATAACTCAATGAATTAGATTCATTCGGATTTAAATTGATCTTACATTTTTATTGCTTTATTTTATTTTTTTAAATTAAGGCTCACTAACTGTAGGTATTCCGTAAAGTATTCGTGTATTATTATATCATAGTTCTCTTTATAGAAAAAAACACAAAAATCCAAACAAAAAGAAAGGTGAATATAAAAATATATGGCTATAAAAGCTGCCAGTACGTCGTCAACACTAGTATTTGTTCTACGTGTTCCAAATTTAAACTTGATTTTTATTTCTTTTTGCATCTTGACAAACGAACTGGACGGCTCACCTGATACAAACTGGTAACCGTCGCCCATAGACATGCGTAACACGAACTTCACAGAATATACGGTAATCACTTACCATCAGGTAGGCCGTATGCTTGTTTGCCACCTCAGTGGTATAAAAAAAATATGTCACCCATAGTACAATTTACAAGTATGTGTTGTTATTCCAGAGTAATACGATGTTCGGCCTTTATACCCTGTAATTTCACTGTATATGTGTCTCGCCTTTCAAACAAACAGCCATGTAACCAAAGTAGCTTTACGGTAGAAATCAAGTATCATTAATAAACAGACGATTTTTGTGAACAGTCGTTGCTGGTCTCTAAATATACAAATAAATAGAAAATTTCCGACATCTATCCCACAGGATATTTATAATATTATACATTTAAATTAAATCGTATAGAAATTATAAATTACATTGTAGATATTTGCTATATCTAATATTTATAATATTCAGAAAAAAAAATTCAGTACTAGGTATATAGGTAAAAAATAGTATATAGGTGAATGTATAGAAAGAACATTTAGTTTACCTCTGAAAATCCAAATCCAGGTAAATCAGCAGCGATGACTTCGAAAACAAAATTATATTTATTCCTTTTTGATGTGAGCATTGGAATAATTTTATCGAACTCCTTAGAAGAACTCGGCCAACCGTGTAAAAGAAGTAATGGCAATACTTTAAGACCCCTGGCTTTAGGTGTTTCCCGTATAAAATGGATATCCAACCCTTGTATCCTTGTTTTGTAATGGGAATACCTATTAAGGAGTTCGGCACGTTTCTTAAAATCATACTTATCAAGCCAATAAGTTATTATTTTATCTAAATATTTTGTATTTATCCCGTACTCCGATTGGATTCCTTCCAGAGATTTTGTGAATGGTCGATGGTTTTTTAATCTCTGCTTAAGATCATGTATCATCTGAAAAATAATACAATTATTAATTAAATTTAGCCAAGTCTGTCGTTACAATCTATATTTCTAAAATTCTATTCTGTCTATCTCAAAAATATATTAAAGTTTTCGTTTGATATCACGATGCCAGTTAAATATATAGTTTGAGTAATTAGAGTGACGTTAGGACGTTACAGTTATATACGCAAACAAATCCATTTTCGTATTTACAATGTTATTAATTTTTAATCGCACCTTTTTATTGTTACCGGAATACTTTAATAGACCCTGATAAAAATAACCTATGTCCTTGTGTATATTATATAGCATATTTCATGCCATTAAAGGCCGTTAAGGTAAACACGAATGCGGGCTTACATTCAATAATAATTATTTTGTTTTTCTTATAACATAATACTGTCGCTAAATTTAATTAATAAAAAATTTTATAGTTTTATCATCGTCAAACCAACTGTTAAATATTTACTGCTAAACATAGGCAGGTGGATTGGCAACCGTAACTAGGTTTTGGTGATGTTTTAAGATGGACGCTGCTGCCCATCCCTCGACCATTAAGTTGACATAGTCACCTCTTACGACATCCACAGAAATAGAAGGGGTAGCCCATTAAATGCCGGAACCACAGAACTCCATATAGAACGTGAATACTAAATTCTATAGTGATTGGTTAAGACGTTTAGTCTATAAGGTAACAAATAAACTCACTGTCATATTTATAATATTAGTAAGGATTAATTAAGAATATTTCTATAATAGGAAAATTCTTAAAAAAAATTACAATATTGTTATAAGTTGCAGTAAATATTTAAAAATATATATTCTAAATGACTGCATTAATTTACCGTATCGTTAAAATCAATATTAAATATTTTAATAGAGGTATCCTCCTCCTTTGGCTTCTCTCCAATGCCCCACCATTTTTGTAGATTTAGTTCGGGCTTTTTGGGTACACTGTGAAGCTTGTATGTTATAAGTCCAGACCCTATAGCGGCAACTGCCACTATTGATGATAATGTTATTAATTTAATCATCTGAAAAAAAAAAAAGGAAAACATATTATTTTTATTTAACTGAAAAACGTAGTTAATTATCGAGTTTTTTAACCATAGATATGACGATGCTGATGGTTGCTATGAATCTTATCTATCTATCTTAGAACCGTTCGATGATCAATCGAAAAATTCTATAACCAATCAAAAAATGTTATATGTAATGGCTTTTCAGCCATTAAACTTCTGCGTTTTTGTAAAAAATATTTGTTATCACTAATAAGGTCCTAAACGTTCACGTCATCTATATATAATCCCTTTACATACGAGTAAAGCTCTTAGATCCTAGGTGTTTTACAGAATGGGGTATAAAAGAATTATACTTTAAAACTTCAATGAAAATGTAAAAGAAGGAATAATTGGATAATTGACCAAAAGGTCTGCTTATGTCCAATAGAAGTACAAATAAAAATTTAATTAATTTGGTTTGTTTTTCTAATATTGTTTAGAGATAATTAGGAACAAAACTTGTTTACTGTTTCATTCCTATGTAACATAAATATTACATATTTGTTTAAATATATTATATAGGTATAAATGTAGTTTTAACTTATTACATTTTCTAACTAGTAGGCAATTACAATGTAAATAACAAATAATAATTTTAGAAACACAAATTGAAATGTTACATTCTTATAAATAATTTACTTAGTTATTGCAAATTAAAATATTGTCTAAAGGGACAGTATATTGAATTTTCAAATATTTATCTAGGCAATATGAACATCTATAATATAATATCTTCATTTCAAACTTAATTAATATTAATTATTAAGATGTCACTACTGAATGGCACACACCGTGGTCCTTTCGGATTATCGTAGTTAAAAAGGCAGCTTATTATAATTATACAAAGTACGTTTTACAAGGCGAGTTTTACAACAATACTATTACAACATATTTTATATAGGTAGAATCAAATCATTTAAGGTTTGGTTCCATAAAAAAATACCGACTTCAATTAGCGCAAAACCTTTTGATTTCAAAACTGGACCGATTTTGATAAAATTTCCATGAAACTAATCTCAAAATATATTCTTTCAGTTAAAAAAAAATCTAATCGGTTTATGAATGATATAGATTTACAGATGCAGATCGCTTATTCATAATTTACAAGTCCAGTTTCAATTAATTATGTCATTTCTATTGCAAATTTGTCATATATTATTCTAATTTCGAGAACATAGTGTTTTCTACATAATAATAATAATGTTTGAAAGTAATATAAATTTAAAACAATAATAATCATGTCACTGCAAATTGTTATTACATCAATAAAATTCAGCATTAGAGATTATGTTTATTTTAAGAAATCTTTAGTATTTTAGATATATATAACGTTGAGTTAACAAACATGAAAATACAAGTATAACCAAATCGAGAACCACTTCCAATTTTTGAAGTTGACGAAGCTTTTTGAAGAAGTTAAAAAAATATTACGAGAAAATGAAATTCATTGATACATATATCATTTACAAAATCTAACGTACTTTTGTATTTTTATTTTTTTAGTAAATGTTTTTACATTACTGTTTTAGTAATATTTATTATGTATTAATTAATGTATAATTATATACTACTCGTAATACGTAATTTGACACATAATTCATTAAAGAATGAGTGGACTTTATTGTTTAGTTAACTTAGAATGACAAATAGATCTAACAGTTCACCATAGTTATATCTATATTAATATTACAAAGAGGAAAGATTTGATGTAAAAAAAAATGCAGATAGTATTTTCTTCAACATTAAATACTTCTAATGTAGCAAACAAGCAAACAATTTTACCTGATTTATAACATCAATAAATAATAAGTACCTAAATATGCCCTTTGAAGTGATGCAACTAAGTGTCGCTGTTAAATTTTAAACTGCTTTCTCCATTGACCTCAAATGGTAATAAGCTATCTAAGTTTAAAAATATGTCTTTGGAAGCAAAAAAGGGGAAATAAATAGAATAACAGATATCCTAAAAATATAATTATTGTTATCTTTCTGCGATATCAAAAAACGATAAGTATTTTAAATTGTTTATACTGTGTCTTATAAATAATCCTTTTCTTAATACAAATAATAAATAATATAATAAATATAAATTTGAAATTATTATTCTAATTTTTTAGTAGTTCCGTAGTATTTCTATAATGGAAAATATCGCAGAAATATAATATATAATTGCTACATTGTTACTGCTACCCACTATAAAAACATGAATCAATAATAATATTTATTTGGTGCAATAAAGTGTAAATAAATAAATATTTTAAATAATTACCTTTTAAAAATGTAAACTAAACAATAACAATTACACATTCACTACTAGTTACAATAAAATCATGAAGTTATCTTCGTAAGTAACACACGTTCCACTTTACACTGTACTGTAGCACGTGCGCTTACGCGTATGTCGGTATCCAAAATATTTTCTCCGACCGTTCTGTTACTCTCACCCACAATTTTGTACGCTCTGTATGATCATAATATAATTCGGCCTCGACCTTACATGTTTATGCACATCAAGCTACGCTACGTTTTTCTTATACAAGCGATAAATTTCTTATTTATATAAAGGTACAAACGCGCCAATATCAACGTTGCCTTGCGTGGTATATTTTTATACAATTGTCCCAAAAAGGAATGTAATGTTTTCAGGGTTCACGTATGTATGTAAGCTTATTTATTATACTTCTAAATGAGTAAACAAATTTGGATATGTCATTCGCTGTGGTATCTCGTTCAAATCTTTCGCGATTATTGTCTTTTCCTATATTTAATTTACAAAACATGCTTATTATTTATCTATTTCAATAAATTTAATAATTATTGACTACTTGCCATTTTGTGAAGAAAGTTCTTGCAACGATGAATAAAAAAATTAGAATACATATTATACGAAAGGTTCGTTGTATTTACTTGTTACTGAACGATTCTACGAAATCGATTACTTTTTGTGAAATACCTTCAAATTCATTTACTACATATTTTCATTTACTGTACTACCTACTAAAATATTATCAAATCTAATATTAAGTAATTTCTATTTTATTATTCATGTTGAGACATTTTTATATTTATTTTTATACGATAATTAGAATACTAGTGTATAATAGGTATTACACGCACATAATTACATAAATGCTACGCATTCTTTATAAAATAATTATTGGTAGAATATTTAAAGCACCCCGAGTGACAACCTGCCTTTATATTTTTTTAATATAATTTGTATTTTGGCAGAGCAATCTTTTTTTTTATTTGCAAATCAAAGTATGCTTGTTTTAATAAATAACATCACTCCGTAACATTTTCAATCGCTGAAAGTGTGATATTTCTTAGTTTCATAATAAATAAAAAACTTTATTGTATAAAGGTCTTTTTCGCTTCGCTGTAGTCACAAAAAAATACATTACTTACATTACTTTTAATACGTCGCGGCATTTTTTTTTTTATTTTGCGTATATCTTTTACAAAAAGAATTGTGTTACCGCCCTATTTATAGCTATAGTACTTTAAATAGTTTGTCCAATATCTTGATCGGCTTCTTTATACTTATATTATGAACCTATACTATTTGGACAACTAGGTTTAGTCAGTTATTTGATAACTTTATCAGATTACATGCTAAGCGGATTATATTATTACCAAACCCTCTAGGATACAAAAGTAACGATAAAATAAGATAAAGAAAATAGGTACTTAATTGATATAATTGTATAAATACCAGAGCAAATGAAAAAAGGACATTGTGTTATCAAATTTATTGAACCAAGTACCTCCGTGTCACGTATGATCATGTAATTTGAATATTTGATTTCCATCATTTTACGTACAATAGAAACTATATTACCAGTTACTTAAGGAAAGAAGAACACTGAATAGCAAAGAAATGTTCTTAAATGGCAACTAGGTATAGTCAAACACAGTTTAGGACCACCCTTCAATAGAGGGAGTAAATAGTAGAGTATGTGGCTCAGGATCGTTCCTTATGACAGTCTGTTGGGAGGTTGATTAACAGTGACGCCAATGAAAGCATTAAAATTCTATTAGCGTAATAATTTCAAGTATTTCGGGATGAATTAATACGATCATGTTGATAATAAAATATATATTCAACTAACTAATAACAAATATTGAACTAATAAAAATATTCTTTTACACTAAATAAGAAACAATGAAACATATTATACTCGTAGAAATGCTGAGGCGACATATTAACTCAGTATGTGCAGTGCTAAATAAACGATTAACAAATATCTTATTTGGCAAACTACTTTTTTTCTGCACAGTACGCACTAATATAAATGTTACTCTCTATCAAGCAAATATAGATTCGTTATACCATCCGTTAACTGTCCATTATTAAATATAGGCCTCCCCGCTTGACAACCGCAATTAGGCTTTAGTGGTATTTTAAGAAGGGCGCTGCTGCCTTTCCCCCGACCGTTAAGTTTATTTAATTGCGTTTTACAACAACCACGCGAATGGAAAGGGTGACTCATCCTATGGCAGGGTCACACGGCAACATGTAGATTGTCATTAATTAATTTGTATTTACAGATTAGGCCAACGTTTCTCATCGGCATGCAATTCTCGCAAGCCGAGGCACTGAGTGGTTCACTATCTGAGGAGAGTTGGAACTCTGTTCAAAGTCGTTTCGCCAACTGTGATGGTGCTGCCGAACCAGAACCACAAGGGGAAGCGCAAAACTCCATGCAGTGTTATGTTCGCTCACAGGCTGTGTCCGACAAGGTACGAAATTTATTTTTTCATTCTTTACGGAATGGTAACCTCGCCTGTGTTATTGGTTTACTTCAGCGGGGTATCGGTTATAGGTTTGAATGAAGTCAGGTTTTAGGGCAATTGGTGTTAATTCGTGATGAATTTAACAGATATTAGCCATGATCTGCGCTAAATTTATCAATATACCTTATACACCGCGGCCTGCCTGCGACGGCTACAAGGGGCAGCAGATTTTGTAAATTTAGAATCCGAAGGACACTGCTGCCCATCCCTCGACCATTAAGTTCCTTTAGTCGCCTCTTACAACATCGAAGGAAAAAGAAAGGACGACACAATCTATAGTGGGACCACACTGCAATATATAAATAATAATATAGATTGTCATTAATTAATAAATTTATTTATTTATATTTAAAAATTATGAAAAGGTATTCTATGTTTTGTCACTTTATTGAATAAATGAATGAATTAGCGATTAGCTAATTCATTCATTCAATCATTTTATACTAGCTGCTTTATCTACACGTGCTCACCTAAACGTCTAGATAAGTAGATACAAGTTAGTGCCTGTTTATGTCCTATTTAGAGGGCGGCAGAACGTCAAGTGACCTATAATATATATCGTGGTCTATGATGTCATGTAGAAACTACGTGGGACCGTGTGGAAGTCGACCTCACAAATATTGTTAACAGTGGAACCGTCAATCTTGGTTTTTAACAATTCCTAATATAATATTTATTGTAAACCATTAATATTATAAATAAATAAAATAAATTTATTGCATGTTTGAGGCGGGGTAATGAGTAATAATACCTAATTCGATTATGTGTTTAAGCTAGACTAATATTATTTTGTTACTATCAAATTGTTCCTAAAAAAAAAAACAACTTCAATTGTGCCAAAACCAGTAATTTTGATTTAAAAGCTAAACTACTCAACCAATTTTGATAAAATTTCTTTGGTACCAGTCTGTAAATGTAGGATACATTCAGATAAAAAAAAAAAAGAATTTACCAAATCATTTTATAACTGACGGAGTTATGAGGTAACAAATATAAAAAAAAATACAACTGAATTAAGAACCTTATTTTTGAAGTCTGTCGATAAAGTTAGATATTACAGTCTTTAATGCTAGGACACGAGGCACCTGCGTTTCATCACTAATTAAAACGTATTTATCCGAAAGATGTTTTCGGCTGTATATTTGTACGCCGTAACGTGTTTTATATGCGGACTTTTGTTTGTCTTAATATTTTAGTTACTATTTCATGACGATTATATTAAAAGTCATTTTAGACTGTGACTTGAAATATACACACAGAAAATAGATTTCAATGTATAGTCTGTGACAGCGAGTAATAAAAAGTATGTAAACAAACGCATAATTCACCGGTCTGTAAAGAAAACGATCTACTAATGTCCAATAGTAATTGAAATAAAAAATCGATTATTTGATGAAATGTTTAAATTTGTTAAATATAGCCATATGGGGCCGACATAAAATAGGTCACCCCTATCTTTCCTCTGGTAAGAGGCAACGAAGGGCCCTTATTGGTAGAGGGTAGCAGCGTCCCTCTTAAAACATCTCTAAAAGCCTAACTCCGATTGCCAACCCGCCTGCCAATCGTGTCAACTACTGGCAAAACTCCTTATGGCGACGGTTCAGCAGTGGAGAGTTAACTGCTGAAATGATGATAAATGGTATATGAATACTAATTTCTAACACATCTTTAAATTTGCTATTTTGTTTTTAGTCTGTGGCCGATTGTGTCGAAGCTATTGTTGGAACATACCTACTAAGCGGTGGTATTCTTGGCGCGGTGAAAGTCCTGGAGTGGTTCAGAGTAATGCCTCCACAGGTGAGTATTTGTTTATAACATAAAATTTCAGAAAAGCCCATCAGCAATACAATCTATACTTATAAAAATCCTTTGTCTTATTAACGCACAGCCAATACTACTAAGTCTAGAAAGCTTAAATTTGGAATATAAATTTATTTGATAATGTAAGCTAAAAAAAGGTTTTTCAAAATTTCAACTTAAAGATAAAGATGGACAGAAATTAATACGACGCCACGCGTGCAATACCGCGGGTAATAGCTCCTGTTGTGCTAGGTAATCACGATTTGAGCTCTTATACTGTCAATTGATTAAAAAACGGTAGAGATAATCTAAGGAGACGATTAGGATTGGCAACGCATGAGAGTCACATGAGTGTACATGAGCGTCACAGCGTATTGTATGAAGGCCATAGTGCTATCTATGTCTATAGACGATTGTCATCACTTTTCATCAGATGGGCCATCAGATTGTTTGCTGTTCTAAATTGCATAACAAATTACCTTCATAATAATAATTTATTTACCGAAACATATTTACATATATATGTGTACATATATATTACTTGAGATAGAGAAAATCTTATGTGAGTGGAATGTTCTCCTACATGCCACCTTCCCTATACTTTCTGCTTGATGATACTATACTATAGAATAGTGTGTTATCCAACGAACATTGTCTGTTTTCAATTTAATACCATTTGTTACATGTTGTTATTGTCAATCTTTCAACCACCCCAATCGTATTTATCTGACATATATGTACTATGTTTGTATGCTTGCTTTTTTTTCTGTTTATTTAATTATATACAAGAGAGCAAAAGTTGATAATATTTTTATATAACTTGTCATAACGCTCTGGCTGTTTGATGAGTTCCCTGCCGAGGTTTTCCTTAGAGACAATATGGGGTTTTTTAAGGTTGTCAACACACACGTAACCTTTTTACATCGTAAGTGTCTATAGGTAACAGTGGCCGTTTACCATCAGATGAGCTGTATGTTTGTTTGCCACTTTATGGTATTAACAAGAAGCTTAACAGAAGTATTAAAAAACCAACTACAGTGTAATGATGTTGCCGATTTGAGTCAGTCGCTAGGAGAACGGCAATTGCTATTAAGCGAACTGATTTTTAAACGGTTATAACATATAATTAATTAGAAATGTTTTCCAATTAATCTTTTTTTACATTAAAGTTATTTTTCATTTTCTTTTGTTAAAGGACAATTTCGCGCAATTTCTGCACAAAAATATGCCAACAGTGATCAGTGAAGGCAAGGCAACTAAGGAAGACGTCAACTTCCTATTGAATAATTGCACCAGTGACATCGAACGTATAATAAATTATAAGTTCAAGGATCCATCCTATTTGCTGGAGGTATGTTCTACTTGTATACTCATCAATGTTAGCCAATGTATTAATCAAGACATTAGTAAACTGTCTACTACTGAATATAGGACACCTTGGGGTTTTGCTCGTAGTTACCACGCTTGACAAGTGGGTTGGCAACCGCAGGCTTTGATGATATTTTAATACGTTCGTTCCCTTAGTCATATCTTACGATATCCACGTTAAAGGAAGGGGTGACCCATCTATACTGGGCCCATACGGGTACGACATTACATGTGTTGTACATGGTTCCGTTATTGTTCTACGTTCGTATGGTATTTACTATTTAAAAGACAAAGGCTAAATAGATTAGTGGAAATCAATTGAGTACATTATTAACTTAGAAAATATCTAATAAGTTCCATTTAATATATATGTATGTTGTTTATTAAAAATAGTAAAATTTTGTTACCTGTGAAAAGTGTTGAATTATCCATATTTTACTGTACAAACTGCAATATAATTATTAACAAAAATTAAAGTTTCATCTTTCTTTCGTTTCGTCGTCATCATCATCATAATTTTAGCCACTCTTTCCACTTCTGAACATTGCCTCCGCCATTAGACTGCCATAGGGAACGGTCCTGAGCCAACTACATTCATTGACTGCCTGCAATGCATTTGAGGTCGTCACTTCATCTAGTGGAAGAGTCGTTCTACATTGCATTTGCCCGTACGAATTGTCGATTCTTCGAGTTACGAGTATATAACCAGCCCATTACCACTTCATCTTCTTTATGCTTCGGGCTATGTTAGTCACTTTGTTTTTTTTTTTTGCGGATAGACTCATTTCATTCATAGTCTCCTTTCGTTTATTAGAAAAATACAATAAAAAAATTCTTCCGATTATTAAAATCATTATCACTTCTTAAAAGAGTGTTCTACCAGAGGAACAGAATATTTTTTCTAAAGTAACGTGAGTCGAAGAACGATAAAAGCTTTTAAGCTTTCCATACTAATTTGTGCAGTCGTCAAATTAATGGTAGCGTTTCTTTGATAAAGTTGATGAGAGTTTTATCACTGAGTTTCCTTTTAATACATAACATACGCAAGTGTATATCTTTAAATGGATGAAAATTAAATAATTACCCTGCCTACGCTATCGGTAGTCACTGGCGGAGCACCAAGTAAGGGATGATAGTGAAGATGAAGCAGGTCAGTTAGTTAATCGTGACGAATTCTACAATTATTAATCACAATAGTTTCCGAGGGCAACTGGCTGTAGATCGACCTGACATTATTTTACCTTAAATTATTAACAATCACTTTCCTCCTGTAATTGTATATTGTGTTGTTTTCAGGCAATGTCGCACCCATCATACATCCGTAATCGCTTGACTCGTTCTTACGAACGATTAGAATTTCTTGGTGATGCAATCCTGGATTTCTTGATTACGTCGCACGTGTTCGAAAACTGCCGGCAGCTGAAACCCGGTGAACTGACTGATTTGAGATCGGCCCTCGTGAACAACGTTACATTCGCTTCTTACGTTGTCAAGCATAATCTTCACAAGTAAGTTGTTAGCATTGTTTCGATGTATACAAAGTGTAAAAGGAAGACATTATTATTAAAATTTGAATATAATTTTCCAATAATTAGTATATCCCTTCGCCCCATACGCGATCTATTAAGTTATTAATGTCATTGGTATCGACTTTGAAATAATGTTCACTGTCTCTTGAACTAATTTTGGATGTTACATATAACTACTTAAAGATCACTATGAACTAATGTTTCTGTTGATCAATTTATCCATTCACATTTTTTTATGTAAACTTATCATTTGTTTGAATAAAGCATCAGCTAAGTTTCTTGCTCGTTCTTAACTGAAATTGCATACCAGACTAGGCGGTAGATTCTTAAAAAAAATTTAAAAATGCTTATTATTGCATAAACTTAAATAAAAATATTTTTATTTACACTCTCACGAGTATTATCCATTTAAATAGTTTTTAAAGATATATTTAGATAGGGTAAATTCAAAATGAAACCTATATATATATTCAAACTTTTTTTAAGATACTTGTGTTCACAACTGAATCCAGTTCTTGACAAGGCTATACTGAATTTCGTCCAACACCAAGAACAACGAGATCACCAAATCATCGAAGAAGTTTTATACTTGATTGATGAAGAAGAATCTCATATTGCCGAGTATGTAGAAGTACCTAAGGTTAGTAATATTACATTAACTGTGATAGTACAATATACTTTTTTTTTATATATCTAGTTAAGTAAAACTTTATACTATATATGTAAAGAAAATAAAATTCTGTTGTTAGAGATTATTGACACTAGGTGGAACTTGGAATTCATCTTCACTTATAAAGATAAAATAAATATAAATTAATTAAAAATAACTTAAAATTTTTAAAATCGACTTAAGAATTTTGTTTTTAACTAACAGCCCTCTCCAGCTTCACACGGTTTTATAAAAATAGAATATAGCCTATATTACTCGCTGATAATATAATGTTCTATAGGTTATAAAATTGGTTAAATAGTTTGTGAGTTTATCCACTACAAACAAACGTACAAAAAAATCCTTCCTCCTTGTTATATTAGTATAGATGGATGAGAAAGAAATGGCGACTCCGTCTACGTTATTGTATTATACTGGCGGGGCACCAGTGAGTGATGATAAGTAATATTTAAGTCAGGTCAGTTACCCTATTCGAGATTCAAGATTATTTGTGAAACATGCGTATAAATACATGCAGATGTTAACAATACAATTATATTCGACATGTTAGCCTTTTAGACGTGTTAGACGCATACAAACTGATGTAGGTATACACAATATAATTGTATATTTTATCATAATATTTTTCTAGTATTTGGAGCCATTATCTGCATTTACTAATAACACCTTTCCCTGATTTAAGAGTCTATATCTATACTAATATTATAAAGCTGAAGAGTTTGTTTGTTTGAATGCACTAATCTCAGGAACTACTAGTTCGAATTGAAAAAATATTTTTGTCTTGGACAGTCCATTTATCGAGGAATACTTTAGGCTATATTACATCACGCTGCGGCCAATAGGAGCGAAGTATCAGTAAAAAATGTTGCAAAAACGGGGAAAATCATATTTGAGGGCTTCCGTTGCGTGTGCTGTGTAAACGGTTCAAGTTACCCAAAAAAAAAAATGTATAAAAGAATTGTTCCTCTTTAAACGATCTAAAAAAATGTCCGCGACAGACAGTCGCGGGCAACAGCTGGTCTTAAATAAACACATAATTTCAACTAGTATACAGGGGGAAGGGATTGTTAGTAATGGGAACTATTCGTTTATTGATTGAATTGATTAGCCTTATTACTAGCAATAAAGTCAGGTCATCTCCTTGTCGGCCCTCCTAGTAACAACGTGCTTAACTTCACGTGATTTCATTACGATGAGCAAACTGACCTCCCTTTTCATCCTCACCTATCTCATTGGTACTCCGCCTGCGTATACTGTTAGCGCGGGCGTTGTACCATTCCATTATCACACAATAAAAAAAAAAAAAACGAATATATAAGTATCACAAATGCTATAGAATAATAAATGTATATGTTATATTTGACAGGTGCTAAGTGATATATTCGAGTCCCTTGTGGGAGCCATATTCCTGGATTGTGGAGGCGATCTTCAGACTGTTTGGTCTGTAATCTATCGTATTATGTGGAAAGAAATCGAGAACTTCTCAACTTGCATACCTCAACAGCCTGTGAAAGTTCTTTACGAGAGGGTACACGCTTGCCCCGTATTTGGGTATGTATTATTTTCCTTTGTGTCGCGTAAATATATAATAAAATCATATATACGTTATAAAAAGGGGTTTTTACCCCTTTTTAACTGATATTGATGGCGTTCATAGGCTGTGGTAACCACTTACCATCATGTGGACCAAATATGCTTGTTTGCCATTTCAGTGGTATAAAATATTTACCTACCTGTACATAAAATTCTATTCAAATCCATTCAACCGTTCAAGCCTTTACTATTGGCAGCATACACTTTGCAATTTACCATAGATTAGCAAATTGTATATTAAAAATGTAGAAAGATTATTAAAATATTCCAATATGTAGAAGATACAAATCCAGTGTATTTAAAATTTTTTCATTCAAATAAAAGTTATTGAAAATGTTTTCCACATTTTAAGTATTTTTATTTAAAAAAAAATTGATTACAATTAAAGATTTATTAGCATTGTTAGACCTTTTTTTTATTTTAAGTATAAATGATTAAATAATTTTAATTATTAATAATTATTTGTTTACATTTCAGGCAACCCAAAGTCTTGGACAAAGACAATAGTTTATCTAAAGTGATCATGCCGGTTACAATAACCAAAAGGGGAGAGCAGTACACCGTTTGCGGTGTAGGCTCTAACAAACATCAGGCCAAGCGTGCCGCTGCCAAGTTGGCACTAAAAATACTAGACTTGTAAATTATTAGCTGTTCCGGCAACGTTCTTCGTGTTTACCTATGAACGTTTGGATAATTGCAATTGGATCTAAATCAAGACTTCAGTATGTAAATGAAAATAAAGATTTTTTCTTTGTATATTTGATCATACCATAACAAAGAGCACTCACCAATCATAGATATAAAAAAGGAAATATAAAGCGCCAATAACGTTACCGTCTACCGTCGTATAATAAACAGACTATTTATAAGGCGCGTTCTAAATGTATGTATTTGACTGATTTTTTTACATAAATAATGGCCACTTCCATTTCCGGGCAACATATTTTGCTGTGGCCTATCTTCCAATTTAATTACTATATATAGATAAAAAAAAATATTAAACTACTAGTTATAAGCATAGAAAATTTATTTTTAGTAAAAAAAAAAGCAAATAAATAGGCTTACATGCGAAATACCAAATGAGACCACATGACGAAACTTTTTTTTCGATTCTTGGAGGTTGTTGGTGCGGGTAAATAAAATTGCGGTTCGACGTAGTACAGAGTGGGTCCCTAAAACTTAAGTTGGCACGACTTTCTGGCAAAGGAAGTAGAACTGCCTGCGGAGAATGGAAAACAAAATAAAGACAGTTCAATATGTGTGGATGCACAATACCTTGTAAGATTGAAAAGCGGCAGCGGCTGACGAGGTCTCCGGATCTTCAAAGCTTCAGGATCTCTACACGAATCGCAGTCACAGCACTGGATCACTACGTTCTCAGTCAAAAGTTTTAAATGCGGTATTATAATAACACTTCACAAAATGTACGGTATTGAATCCATCATGTGCGGTACCAAAAAAAAGACATGCGGATAATGCAGGAGCTACTTGACAACTTTTTGCGGTATCAAAAAAGACCGACTGTGTTCACCAGACATGCTGGTGATGCGGGCGTTACTAATCAACTGTGTACACCAGACATGCTGGTGATGCGGGAGTTACTAATCACCTGTCGCGCCACCGCGCGGGCGAACTTTTACAACTTTCAGCAGGAACAAAGGGCCTTTCTTGCCCGTATGGGTACCAAAGGTATGTACGGAAATAGGAAACAAAGGAAGTAGTGTTGATTGTCGTGTCAATCCTACAAAATATAACGCGATAAATTTGTGTGATCCGATAGATGGCGCAACCAGAGGTTGTTCTCAGTTCCTTTGTGTTTTTATGCATTTTATACTTGTTTGTCTTTTATTTTGTATAATCCTTACTAATATTATAAATGTGAAAGTGAGTTTATTTATCTCCTGGCGCCTTAACGGCTTGACCAAACACTATGAAATTTGGTATGCAGATGCTATATGGGACAAAGAAGGGCATAGGTTATTCTTTGTTCCGGTCTGAAAACATATCTCTATTGCGCGGACGAAGTCGCGAGTAAAATGTAGTTAAAGTTATATATAGTATATATAACAGAGGGAGACTTTGTACAAAAGTCGATTGCTTGGGTACCTCTGTCCCATTCGTGTTTCAACCGTGAAGCAGTTGTGTTTGCATGGCTGTGCTTCGGTTTGAAGGGTGGGATATGGCGTGAATTTACTGGGTACAGATGAATAACACCTGAGTCCTCAGGAATGGCAACGCATCATCGGGGTATCATGGGCGAAACAGTATACTCTGTTATGTCCATGGTACTACTCATGTCTATAGACGACGGTTACCACTTTACATCAGGTGGGGCGTCAGCTTGTTTGCCATTCTAAGTTGTATAAAAAAAAAACCTAATTTCATGTAAATTTTTTATTCAATATTATTATAGTGAAAGTAACGACGAAGGATGCAAATAATATTCATCTTGCAAACAATTGGTTGATTTTTTATCCAAATAAGTGTGTGTGTGTTTTTTTTTTTACAACACAGGGCAAACGAGCATGCGGCTCACCTGATGGTAAGTGACTACCGCCGCCCATGATCACCCACAACACCAGCGGCATTGCAGGTGTGCTGCCGGCCTTTTAAAAAGGAATATACTCTTTTCTTGAAGGTTATGTTGTCGTATCGGTTCGGAAATACTGCTGCTGGAAGTTGATTCCAAAGAATGGTTGTGCGTGGAAGAAAGTGCCTTGAAAAACGCACGGTGGAAGACCGCCACTCTTCCAGATGATTGGGCTGAAACTTTAGTTTGTGGCGGGTTGTACGGTGGTGAAAATCAGCAGCAGGTATCAATCCGAACAATTCCTCAGAACACTCCCCATGATAAATTCGGTAGAAGATGCACAGAGATGCAACATCTCTGCGCAGTTTCAGTGGGTCAAGTCGGACAGCAAGGCGTTGACTATCGATAATTCGAGCCGCCCGACTTTGAATGCGGTCTAACGGAAGGAGTTGGTACTGTGGCGCTCCTGCCCACAGGTGAGAACAGTATTCCATATGCGGCCTGACTTGGGCTTTATATAATTTCAGGCGGTGTTCTGGCATGAAATATCGCCTCACCCTACTGAGCACTCCTAACTTTTTGGAAGCTATCTTAGCCTTCTCCTCCAGATGACCGCAAAACTGGACGTCGCAAGATATATCAACGCCCAGAATTCCTAGACTCGACTTTTTATCAAGGGAAGTGCCCTGAAAGTGAGGAGATACGACAAACGGCGTCTTTTTTGCGGTAAACGCGCAGACTTGTGTATTCCCCTTAGTATGTTATAACTTCTTGATGGAACTTAAATATAAAATAACATACTGATATTGATAGATACTTGTGCTTTGTTCTACTAGGTTTTTATTTCATATGCAAGCGAACGGTTGAAATGATTACAAAAAGTAGTGGAACAAAATATATTTTATCGTTTATGAAAGACAGAAATTAACGCGATCATTTAGATAAAATATGATAATGTATTGATGTAGGCTGTGGTCACTAGTAGACTGATGTAGCGTCGTCTCTTTCATAAACCATGTAACGCAGTTTTTCCCAACCTTTTAGTGCCATGCCCCACTTGAACATTTCTAAAATTTTTATGCCCCCATACATAATTTTTCCCGACCAAGTTTACTCTAATTGCCCCGTTGATATTTTGGTAATGTCAAACGACATTATACCTAATAAATATTTACAGCATATTTTTAAATTTTTTTTCTTAAATTTGGCATCGATATCTTTTTTTTATTGGTGAAATAAATCAAGGTGACATAATTCATGTTCAAAATTAAAAGAAAAATGGTTAAAAAAAAACAAATTTCACAGCTATGGTAGTTTTTCTGCAATGGACATTAAAAAGGTATCCAGACACGATCAATTTGATCGTGTCTGGATACTATTACTTTAATTTAAAGTGAAATTGTTCTTTTATATAGTTTTTGGGGATTCAACGTTGAACGGATTCAACCATTTCGGAATTTCCACCATTATGAAAAGAAGGGTTAAAAAAATCTACATATATATATATATATATATATATATATATATATATATATATTATATAAATTAATATTATAAAGACGTATGATTTTTTCTTTTATCATCTTTTTTTGATCAACTCAAAAAAATACTTGTCAAATTCTATTTTTTTAACTTATAGGAAGCTATATCAGCTAGTTATATGAGCTGTATTTTATTAAAAAAAAATTGTCTACCTATCTAGCCATGCGAAGCCGGGGCGGGTTGTTAGGAATCAAATCAAATTTGATTCGTTCATTCAATTTTGATGTTACAATTCCGTCACAAAATCGGTTTTTAAAGTATTAGGTGTTAAGAATATAGGAAATTAATTTTAATATTATACATTAATAGTAGTGGGTAATATTATATACGAATTTATATACATAATTAATTTTAAAATTATTTGCTCTTTTTTTTTATTTTAATCAAATTTTAGTATTTATTCATATAGTATTATGTTAATTTTATATAGAAATCCTAAGTACATTATAAGAAATTTTGTATTGTGAAACGAAATTATTATTTTATTTAATAAGTCTTTTATTCGAAGACTGCTAAATTACTTGTGATGGGAATACACAGGGAGTAAGGGACGGGTTAGCAAAAACTGAAACAGTGAATTTAGACTGTTATTCTGAACTAAAAACAAGTGGTAATTCTTTGCGCAAAATTTCAAATTTATTTCTTCTTGTTTTTTTTTCATTTCAAATCATGTAATCTGTAATATTATGTCATAGATTTCAAATACATGATGCGGCGTTAAAACTAAATATTAATGACTGGTGCATTTCTGGTGGGAAAATAATTTGCCATCTGATATTCAGACCATTTAAATCGGCTAATTTCGTTTCGGCCACAGTTTGGCACTGTCCCTTTCACCCTGTATATTCTAAATTGGATTTATTTGTAATTGGTACGTATGCATGGACGTACTCGTGGATTTGTCATGCTTGTCAAAAAATAAAATGTTATATTTTTAAATTTGTTTAATTTTTATTAATACCATAAATAGCCTTCGAAACTAACTTATACACGAATTATTGTTTTAATTTAGTTTTCTAACTCCACTAGCTTATTTAAAAAGTATTACAAGTTGCGATACTTTGACATGAATAGACATGATTAAATTATAAGTATTTCGTTTTACCTTTTTTGATACGGAAAATGCAAGAAAAAAAAAGTTCCGCTTTCTGTTACAAAATCTTAATAATCCGAAAATTATATTTTCGGTGGAAAAAGTTTGCTTACAGAATGGGTGTATTCTGGAAAGCTCTTTTCATGTGCCAACAAATGAGCAAAGGTTGCTACAAGAGAGTTAAAAAAATTAAAATATATATTGAAGTTTATCAACTTAATATTCGCTGCCTGTCCACCTCCGATTCGCGAGGAATAATTATCAGTTAAATTATAGATCGATCATAATAAAACTACCAGAAAGTGCATGCTATCAATGCTTACAACGCACATTTTACTATCATAGTAAAATTGTAACTAGACCATGTCTGTACTTAATAAATATTTAAGAATAATTTACATTAGGGGTTTTAATAAGACCAATGGATGCAAAACAATTTTTTTCTTACTGTCTCTACATTTTTTTCCGGCATCAGAAAAAAAACCCTGTTTTAAATTGTATCTGGTTTTCAAAATTATGCTTAAAATCTGGTTTGCCTTAAAATCTGGTCTTTTATCTTGATACGCTATTTAGAAGTAACCTATTTCATTAGTTTTTCTACTTTTTCCTTATAATATCTTATAAAACTATGATTTAAAACAAAATTTACTTCGTCTAAGTAGACTTGATATCTCCTGTCATCTTAATTTTATCTTACAAATCTAGTTTTTAGGATTCAATTATTATCCCTATTTTTCATCAAAATCGAATCGCCAGTTTAGCATGCATCTATAGTTTAGTCATTAAAAACCAAGAGCTACATTTAGGTATACCATAAATATTGTATGATGTACATAGCAATAAGGACCTGTGCAGACAATAATTCTACTATTCATTGCGCACAAGCGATATATAAAAGTATTTATACAGAATGTACATATACAAAAGGCGGCCTTATCGCTAAAAGCAATCTCATACATACGACATGGCATAAAAATTATTTTGTACTTGTTACTTATTAGTAGATTCGTTACTGTTGCGTAGATAAATGTATATAAGGATAAAATTTGCGAAACAATTATGTGGATAGATTAGTAATAAGACAAACACAAGATAGACTAGAAACAAACAGAGGGAAAGGGATTGTTAGTATTGGAGATACATTTCTCGTTAAATATGACAGAACCTAAATCAAACAACCAGACCCCTAGTTTCGCATCACATACTTTTCACGAAGGACAAAGGTCCTCCAAAGTCCTACTGCCCGGAGCCTCGCAATGGGTAAAGCCGCCGCTGATGGAAAAAGTGTGTTCACCAGAGGGAGGCTGTACAAAAGTCGTTTGCTTGGGTACTTTTGTCCCATTCGTGTTTCAACCGTAAAGCAGTTGTCTGCATGGTTGCGTTTCGGTTTGAAGGGTGGGAGATGGCGTGATTTTACTGGGTACAGAGGAATAACACCTGAGTCCTCAGGAATGCCAACGCATGGGGGTATCATGGGCGAAACAGTATACTCTGTTGTCCATGGTACTGCTTATGTTTATAGGCGACGGTTATCACTTTCCATCAGGTGGGCCGTTAGCTTGTTTGCCATTTTTAATTTGTAATAAAAAACGTGCTGAATTTCAAGTGTGTTTCATCACAATGCATGGTCTGAGTTGCTTTTTTCATTTTCATCAACCGCCCTCACTGGTGCCCCGCCAGCGTATACCGTTAGCGTAGGTTAGCGGGGTAACCATTTTATTATTGTCCATTAAACAAAAAGACTAGTAATAGAGATTTTTACATTATAAAGGTAAAAAATATAATTTAATGCAGACATCAATTATAAAAACGCAGAAATTAAAAAAAGAATGTGCATTCTAAGTCAATATTATCTATAATTTCAACAAAAATTCGTTATGTATGGTAAGTACCATATATATACCCACAAAATGAACATTTAATATCTTAATGGATGTAAATAATGGAGGAGTCCCTGCGGTGGTATTCATTGTCTACATAACAAAAAGTAGTGGTCCAGCCAAACATTTGCTTCTTTCTTCTAAAAACTAGCTAAATTTTACATATGCAGGATAAGGAAAAATAAATGAAACATTATAAATGATTCCACATTACATGGATTTTATTGTTTTGTCTCATATAATAAAAATTACAAGAAATATGTACTGGGTCTCTTGTAAGCGAATGTGTTGAGACGTTTGTGGTGGTGTACACGTTTTGGCAATGGGAATCTGATGGTGCTGTTGTGGAACTGTTTCACTTGTGGTCGCCGGCACGCTGATGCCTTTATTACTTCCACTTTGATGATCTAAACAAATTCAATATTTTATTAGAATTATTATTAAAGCATGTTTGTCGAGTAAGAATACATTGTGCCATAACTTCTTTTAATCCCTAGGATATTTTGTGAGGTCATTGGGAGAATTAAAATTCATAAGATATTTTTTAAAACTTACAAACTTTTAAACGTTTTAAACTTACAAAATGGGCTATACAGCCTACTAAGAAAAGCTAAGTTTGGATTTTGTGCATAAATTAGAGTTGAATTATGAAAGAGAATAAACAATTAACAAAAAGTGTCAGAGTCTACTAACACTGGATTTAATCTAAACTGCTAAAGGATCTACAGTGAAGTTATAGACATATTTTTATTAATGCACCTGCAATTTTTACATTAGCAATGTAAAATCTATTAATTGAACGATTTTTAATATCATAATTTTTACTTGAAAATAATTCTAGATTATATAAAATTGTGGCACCTGCTTTTTGTTTAGTCCATTAATGATCTTGGTGGTTTCAGTTTAGCACTATATTTTACCTTCTGATGATTATAGGTTTGATCACCATGCAATACAAACATTTTTATTCATGAATGTTTGTATTGGTCTGAGTTCTTTCTATGTAGTATTATAATATGTATTTACCACAAAAAAGTAGATACATCTTTCAGTTGTTCAGTATCTATGGTACAAGCTTTGCTTAGTTTGAGACTAGATAGCATTATGTTCAATCGTATTTAGAATTATTACTATGTAAGTACCTGTATGGAGTGCGCCCGCGCACGATGCCGAGCTCCCATGTCGCGGTAGCACTGCGTGACGGCGCCGCCGACACTCAGGTCACGGTATTCGCGGTACATGTTGTGTACACCTGATCGGGATTCATATCGCAGCCAGATGCCGAAATTCTTGATCTTGACTGGACTTTTTTCTGGGATTTCCTGAAATTAAACAAATAACATAGTTTTTCTTAAAAATAATGAAGAACATATGTCTCAAAGAAAAGTGAGGAAAATATTAGTTGATATCATACTGAATTTACTTGAATAATGTAAGCATATAAAAACAATATTTGATAGCACATTTCAAAAGATATAGTTATTTATTTAGAAAGTATAATGTCAGCAATTATTAATGTGGAATGTGTATATAGCTAGTATAGGAATTAGTAATTTTTGTATATTATGTAAATCTGGCTACACTATGAGTATATAAAATGTGTAAATTGTACTAATAATGTAACCAACTTTATTGTCACTTAACCAGCCATGTATGGGATAGAAATAACAAGAGTAACATTAATCAAATTTGCAATGCTTTAATGGATATGTATGCACTAGGTACTGTAGAGAGAGATTGTACATGATTGAGTAAAACTGCTGGGTATGGGAATAACAACACTAGTTCTCAGGAATGGAAACATTTGAAGAGTACTGTGCTATCAATAGTGTGCATGTGATTAAGAGCTGTTTAAATCTGTGGCCAATGATAGGGAGTTTTTATGTTAAATATATATACCTAATAAAAAGTGGTAAACATCACCCATAGATATTTTAATTTGTATAAAATACTAGCTGAACCAACAAATATTTTGCCCTCTTCTGGATTAATTATTTCTTATGAGTATAAAAATGCCAAAGTTAGAACAAATAATATACATTTACACAAGATAGATATTGAAAGGGATTCTTAATAATCTTTAAAAAATATTAAACTCCACATGATTGTCCCTGTAAACTATGATGGTTAATTATTGTTGAATTTACTATGATGGGCCAACTGACCTGCTTCAATCTAATATATAAGTTCTTATTGATACCCCACCAGCATTTATAATTAGCACAGGATATCATTCTGTTTTCACCCATAAAAAATACTCCTTTACACAATTTCATTTGGTGAAATTGGTTGAACAGTTTCAGAAATTAGTATGAATAAACATTGTGATAAGGGAAAGATCAGATTTCCACCTCCAGAAACCTACATTATCAGCAAAGATGATCTGTATTTTGAAAAAGATTGTTTAATGCCTACCTTAATAGAAACAATTTCACCCGTGGTCTTCTTGAACTTTTTCAGTTGTCTCAAGAAATACCAGAAACGGGACTTGGCTACGATAGGGTCTGGTGAAAAGATTCTCATTTTGTAGAGTGGAGGCTTTGGCTCACTCTCCGATGGGAGCTTGCGCCCAATGACTTCATATTCCTTCAACTGTAATGAAATGGAAATCAATATTTAAATGACTTGTATGATGATTATGCATTTATAATACTTATTTTCAAACTTACTAAAACTTTACAGGTTGATAACATATAGTGGGATTAGTATGTCACAATTTCAAGAAACAAAGTTGCATTTAACACTTAAGTTTGAACTTTTAACTTAATTTTAGAAAATCATACTTAAGATATAATAAAAGATATTGTGATGTCAATACGATTTAAAGATAAATCTACAGTAATTAGTTTGTTAACTTTCAAATTTATATTGTTATCCATAGGATAATACAGCTATATTTCTTGTTTTTTAGCACCGCATCATAACATGACATAACCTAAAAATGAGAGTATCTCATAATTAAAAAACTTGCAATAGCAAAATAAGTTTAATTCAATGAAAATCACTTTTAAGTGTCTTTATAGTAATTCGATTGATAACTGAAAAAAATATAACAAAACTAATAAAATAGAAGCATGATGATATAGAGACAACGTGTATAGCTAATACGCTCTATTGGCATAATTTTGAACTTGTATCAAAAAAATTGTAATTTGGACAATAGAACACGGAAAAAATCACGTTTGGAATTTAGATTGTACATTTTTATATTAAAAATCATTAAACTTACCTCTCCTTTTGCCTTCATTTTCGGAGGTTTTACCTGAAAGAAAGAAACGTCAACGGAAACGGAACAACGACGTAAAGAAAAAAATACACTTTTTAAAAATTGTGCTTATAATATTCTGGCTTTAGATTCAAGGTTATTTTAGTCATGGTTTTGAGAGGAAGTTTTAACACAGACATAGTCTTAACTTATATAGACTAAAAATAAACCTAGGTCAAAATGCAAGCAATTTATGTATATAATTATTTAATTTATAGCTTTTAAATTTTTGTTATAAGATATAAAGTGAGAATGCCAATTGCAATACAATAAAAAATATTCAATTTTAATATATATATATATATATATATAGTCAAAGAATAAAATGTAATTTAATAATTTTAAATAAAGTATAAACATAAAGTTGAAATCGATGAATGTAATCTTGGAAGCATTGTTTTTAACTTTAATTGTATGAAGGACAAAGAGCCTCGCAAAGACCTACCGTCCGTAGCCTCGCAAAGACCTACTGCTCGGATCCTCGCAATGGGTAAGGCTGCCGCTGTCTACTTGTATAAACGACCATAATAAAGCTTGCTAGTTAAATATAAAAAATGAAGGCAAAACTAATTCGTTCAATTGTATGTGTCTAAAGTGTTGTAATGATGCCAATGTGAGATTGTGAGAGCATTGCTAGATTGGGTATATTTTTTGTAATTTTAAATAATAATTATTTTATTCGCATTCGCAAAATTTTGTAGAAATGATATTCTTGAAAAAATTTTTAAAGAAAAGTATAATGGGTTTGCTGAAAATTGGATATTTTTTTGAAAATTTTGGGTAAAAGTACTTATATGTATTAAGAGAAACGGGTAAATAATAAAAATCTCTTTTATTTTATCTTTATCAGTAGGAAAACATAAGACTAAGAATGACAAAAGATAATAGAAAAATAATAGACAAATATAAAAGGCGTATTATGATGGTCAGTTATACGCCACATATATGTAAGAAAAATAATTACACAATATTATATTTGAAGATGGATGAGAAAGAATGGAAGAATGGAAAGAGAAAGAAAGGGAGAATTAAAAAAAGATGGAATGGCCTTTTTTATTTTATTGTTCATTTTGTGCTAAACGGCAAAGGTAGTAATAGCTGCTACAAATTTGTAATTAGGTAAAACCCATGAAAATTATATCAATTTTGAGAAAAGCATTTGACGTTTGGATGAAAATTAAAATTCGATACTGGCAACCCTGAAGTGTAACTTTAAGAAGAGGCTAAAAGGATATGCATTCAGAGCCGCAAAACATATATATAAAACAAAAAGTAATGGAATGACGTGTAATATGATTTTCTAAGTAGTCTGTGGTAAGTTCTTAAGTCTCTTTACTTTGTGTTCTGAAGTGATTATTGTGTCATAACATGGAATAGAAATTTATTTATAATATTATAATATATAATTGAATCCCCTATTAACTAGAATATGAAAAAGAATAAACTCGTTTAAGATATTAATAAAATGTTTTCAAGAAACATTACACGTATAGTCAAATACGGGTTATATGGTAGCGTAGCAGTCGGCGGTACAGTTAGTGCTTTGAAATTGCAAGATGAGGACTACAATTCTCTGGCTATTGTAAGGATTACGAGAACTGCTTTTACAGCTGTTGAGATTGGAAGGACTTACCAATCTATGTTATATAGCAAGGAATGGGATAGAACTTCCCAGGAATATTCAGAGGTTAAAAGTCAAGCACATAGAATAGGGGCAGAGAAACTTTTGGAATTATGTAAAGCTAATAAAGGTGTGTATATAAAAGTCGGTCAGCACGTCGGTGCGTTAGACTACTTGCTACCAAATGAGTATGTCACGACAATGCGTATTTTGCATAAGAATGCCCCACAGAATACAGTTGAAGAACTGTATAAAGTTATTGAGGAGGACTTAAAACAAAAGGTATTTAGTTTTTTTATTTGCGAGACTTGTGCTTGCAATCTGTATAATAATAAAACCTCATCCTTTGCTGAATGTATATTTATAAAAAACATCACTTACCTTTTACCGAATGGTTGATAATTATTATTACATAATAATAACTTACTATTTCATAAGTTAGTTTTGTAATTATATAAATTTGTGTTTTCAGAAAATTCTTAAGTAGCTATACTTTATTATTTATTTTAATTGTATTGTATTTTGTAACTAATTTGTGTTAATTTAAACATAATAAAGCAGCTTGATATACTTATGCCCTTGCATGTGGAAAACATCCTATTAGAATCTGGAGAAACTTAAGATTTTTAAATAAGAAAATATTGATATTATTGTCAATTTTGTCAGTCAATCAATTGTTAACAGACTTTGCTTTTCTCATAATATATATGTAGTGATGATTTGGATTGTGTATTAATTTTATCTTAGTAATACAAATGTGGAAGTTCATATATATAATAACTTTTGACTTCTTGATTAAATTTTATTTGTATTAATTGTAGAAAAAATATTACATTTGATATAATGTTGTATGCTTTTATTTTCTAATGCAGATGCCTGGTTTACTGTGGCATAAAAATACTTTTGCAATTGATATATTGAAGTTTCATCAAAAGATGTGATTAGTAAAGAGATGGTTCATATCCTATATTAACACATAAAAGGGTGAAGCTGCAGAATAAGGTCATTACATTCTGAACTTAAATAGTTTATTTATTTTCAGCCTAGTGAATTATTTGAAGAATTTGATCCAGAACCACTAGGCACAGCATCTTTAGCACAAGTTCACAGAGCAAAATTAAAAGATGGCAATGAAGTAGCAGTTAAAGTGCAACATCATTTTGTAAGAAAAAATATAAATATGGATTTGAGATGGATGGAGTTCATTATTACAACAATGTCCAAAATTTTCCCAGAGTTCCAAATGCAGTGGCTTGTAGATGAAACAAAGAAAAATATAGCTAAGGAATTGGATTTTTTAGAAGAAGGAAAGAATGCAGAGAAAATGGCTTCCATGTTTAAACATTATAAGTGGTTAAAAGTTCCCAAAATATTTTGGGATTATAGCACTGAAAGAGTTTTGGTTATGGAGTATGTTGTTGGTGGATTAGTGAATGATACCAAATACATTGATGTGAGTATAAAGAATATGCAAATATGTTTTTTTGTTATGCTGTCAATAAGTGCATCAAAATGTAAATTTAATGGAACATCATTATTAAGATTATTAGTCTGAATTTGGCTGACTCCAATGACTTTGTATAGATTTGAATTTGTGAATAACACTGGTGATAGAAATACTGTTATATATGACAACAGCGGGCTTGACCTCTGCTGTGTTCAAATATGCAAAATGTGTGTGTGTTGAATGTTAAGATTTTCACAATGATAGCAGCCAATAAATGCTAGTTGTGAGCATATTTATGTATTTTTTTTTTTATGTAATTTCTGTCCATAATAATTTTTTTTTTAATAAATTACTCATATATATTTTAAAATCATAAATCTTTACACTTTCAGGAACACAAAATTAATAGATTTGATTTGTGTGCAAAACTTGGAGATTTGTATTCTCACATGATTTTCGTTAGTGGGTTTGTGCATAGTGATCCCCACCCTGGCAATATCCTAGTGAAACAGGATCCAGGGGATAAGGAAGTGACAGTCTACCTGTTGGATCACGGTTTGTATGCTGTAAGTTATAGATACGCATTCAATTCCAGGAGTATGTAGATCAATATGTATATTTGTTAATATAAATTATTTTTTTTATTCAACTTACATTGGCAAACAAGTTGATAGCCCACCTGATGGAAAGTGGTAACCATCATCTATAGATATGAGCAGTACCATGGACATAACAGATTGTACTGTTTTATTCATGATACCCCCATGCATTGCCATTCCTGAGGACTTGGATGTTATTCCTCTGTACCCTGTAAATTCATTAAATAATTAATAAAATCTTGGTAGATTGAGCAATCTGTTAAAGATTTTGTATCTTCTTTAAGATATCTTGTTAATTTGAAAAATCAGGTTTAAAAATTTTATAAACAATAAAATTATTAAGTACATTCTTAAATAAGATTAAATTTTTTCCATTACATCTTTTTTATATCATTGAAACGTTTGGCATTTCAATGATATAAAAAAGATGTAATGGAAAAAATGGTAAGTACCACCTTGTGGAAAGCCATTACTGTGCCAGGTCATAGGCTATGATAACCATTTGGTAATGTATAATATTCATTTGACCATTATTTAATACTAGTGACTTAGTAAATGTTTTGTCGTAGAGCGTCACTTGCTGGGCCTATAGTTTTTTATACTGAAGTAAAAAGTATCAAGTTGAAATAAGTCTTTTACAAAATTTGATGAAAATCAGTAGAGCGGAAAATTAGTGTGAACAAATATCGTAATCATGACAAGGGATTTTTATATGTTAAGAATTAGTACTAATAAAACAATTTATCATTTTAGCAATTAACAGATAAGTTTAGATATCACTATTCAAAGTTGTGGTTATCAATACTATCTAGAAATCGTGAAGAAATGAGAATCCACTCTGAAGAATTGGGTATTCGTAAGGAGTTGTATGGGCTTTTCGCCTGTATGGTTACAGGGCGTCCATGGGACTCCATCATGAAAGGCATTGACAGGACTAAACCAACATCAGAAGAGGTTAGTGTTTAATAAGTAATTGTCATAATAAACTTTAAGAGTATAACACATTTTATATTTATAAAACTCCATCTATGCAATGTATAATTTCAAACTAGCATATAGCCATCGACTACTTAGAGGTTACAATTGTGAACATTATTTTTAAAAATTATTATTTCAGAAATCTACATTCCAAAACGAATTACCGAATTTTCTACATTATGTTACGCAATGCTTAGAACATGTGGACAGGCAAGCATTGTTAGTACTTAAAACAAACGACCTGATACGTAGTATAGAGTACGCGCTAGGAACTCAGGACAGGATGTGTGGTTTCATGATGATGAGCAAGTGCTGCATGCAAAGTATATATCAACTTGAATATAAGGTAAGTGTTTAACCCTTAATAATTCTAATACGTATTCATAATAGATAATGTCTAGGCATCTTAAAATCTTATGGTAGCAGAATTAAACAAAATAATCAACTAAACAGTAACAAACAGGATTAATCTTAACCCATATTCTTTTAAATTAAGAATTATGTTTAAAAGACAGAGGTAAAACATTTCAATAGTTATATTTTGATGACTAAGATTTTTATTATGAAATAAGATTATTTCCGATTTGTATCGAATGTATAATAGATAACATTTCTTTCGTTTCTTTTTTATTTTTCAGAATTCCAACTCTGTGATCAGCCGGCAGTTTCTCAATTTCAAGTATGGATGGTCATTACTATTATTGTATCTGTATGGAGTCTATTTAAATTTACTTGACAAATTTGTATTATTCTAGTACAATTATTTTAGGAGAAATGTTCATGTCACCAAAGACGTCTTATTATCAAACTTATTTATTAAAATTGTCTTTTATCAGTTTATGGAAATCGAGAAAATGTAATTAATTAACAAATAAATGACATTTATACTTCATAAAAATGACGCATGTTCAATATACAATGTATTAGGTGCTTTATACTGTATAGAAGTTAGTAAATAGTAATAAATATAGATCCTAGTCAAATATCCCAGAACATAAAATACCTCTGAATTATATGAAATAATATTCGTATAATGAAAATCGTTATCAACTATTTTGTAAATAGAATTCTATTCAAAACGTAAGATGTATATCTATATGTTATTTATTTACGGTTATTATATCAGATTAGATATTAAGCGTTATTTTGGAATAAAATAAAATTGTGTATTTTCATAGACATGTATTTTATTTACAACCTATGATTTATAAAATAAACAATAATTGTAATTTACATTTAAATTCTGTTTTCTAAATTGGACAATTTATTGCTCAGTGTAGACAGGTCGCTCTGTATCTTTAGTAAAATATTGGTGAAGCTGTCGCGGTTCTTGTTTTTGTGCAGCTTGAATAAAGAATTGCTGGAGATACGACAAGATAGATCAGACTTCTTATAGTCAGAATACAAATAAGTAATTTTGTTATCCGTAAAACGTAAGTTTTTTGTGTCGGTCGATATAGTAGGATTTTCTGAAATAAAGTATTTTTATAAATATATTTCTTTTTAAAATACTGCGGTAAGTAATAATAAAAAACAAGAGATATTTTTGTTACAAGAAAAAAAAACTCATTTTAATTTTTTATAATAACCTGCAACTATCCTATAAAATAAAAATAGTCTACGATTTTAGTCATAAAAATATTCCTACTATAGATAATTTACGAAACCTCTATTTTATTTTTTCTGTAGTTGAACATCAAGAAAGATACTTATCTATGACAAAATGAAATAATAGTAAGAGGCAATATACTCGCTTTCGAATATTCAATTAAGTGAAAATAAAATAATCTACTAGAGTATTTTCCCATTAATACTTATTCATATTTAGATGCATCATATATAGATAAGTGTTAGTCCAGAAGAGGTATTTGGAGTAATTAAACTATTTTAACACTTACCATTCACGCGATTTCCAATAATCTCTTGATCATCGGCAGTATTTATTGTGGAAATAACATGTTTATCAACGTGTTCATTTTCACCCATCGTTAGCATATTCTTATGTAATGTCTTCGATGCTGTAGTCAAGGCGAAAATGAAATTTAATAGTGAATTATGTAGGTACTATAAATTCCTTTTACAATACACAGATAAAATAATGAAACCGCCTGAAGTTGTTATACCTATGTCATATATTATGATGCTGGCAAACGAGTATCTGGCCTGCTTGATGGTAAGCAGTAAATCGTTGCCCATGGCAGTCTGAAACTACGTTTACGTTTTAGAATGAGAATTATGTCATCGGATGGGACAGAGGCTCATTTTTTTTAATGGATGATTATAGAATTGATATAGGTTACCTTGCCTGCACTATCGGTATACACTGCCAGGGCACCAGTGAGGGATGATTGGTGAGGATGAAAAGACAGGTCAGTTAGCCCATCATGACAAATTTAACGATAAATTAGTCACGATAGTTTCCAGGGGGAACCGCGTGGAGGTCGACCTGATAGGGTATATTAATAGCAACGGGGACTAACCTCCCATTACTAACAATCCTTCCCCCTCCCCTCCCCCAGAGGCTCATTTAAAATATATTAAAATCATTAAAATGCAACAACTGCAAATTAAACATGTTCCTCAAAGAAATTCGTCTTGAAATACAATGGAAAATATGGTTTGGTATAAGTATACAGTTTCCTATATATGATAACTGGACGCGCCATGTCAGTATCGAGACCTCAAAATTTATTTGTCGTTTATGCACAAATAAACATGGGTATTTTTGACCCCTATTTCTTATTTGAGGTTTTAGTTTTTATGAAAAGCTATCTGCCATTCCTGGCTTCGTATGAGTGATTAATGAAGAAAATGAGATCAGATCTTTCTTGTCACTCATTCTCTTTTTTATATGGAGAAATTTTACTTTTTTCGTACTATTTTCAAATATATTCTTTCATACAAATCTTCCATTGTTTCAGCCTACCCTAATGGGAGACAGGCGTGACAGGTATGTATATATGTATGTACAAATCTTGTCCTGACAATTATAAACATAGGAAAAAGAATAGGCCATATAGGCGTAGCTGTCCTAAAGTAATGGGCTCGTATATATTCGGCAATTCATTTTTATTTATATAGATTTTTTTTTAACTTACAAACAAGTCGCGACGCGGGTAACCAAACCTCCAACAAATACGGATGTTGCGGATCGTTGCCTTTACGTAACTCTGTCAGGGCTATTTCAACATCATTGCCACGTTTTAATATGACAATTTCTTCACAGTAATCTGGTAAATCTAGTAGATGCCATATTTTTTGACGTAGCATTGATATGGACGCTGTAGGTTTCACAACTATATAACGGAGTTTTTCTTCAACAGCTGTTGGTATTGGTATTGGAAATATTCATAAATAAATAAAGCTCTAATACATGTACGAAGTCATTTATCTAACTTGTAAATTTATTGTAAAATTGTCAACTGCATTGGAGTCCAATATCTTCCGACGAAATGCGAGTAATAATGGAATGTCCTGTGTGATATTAGACTTCAGTAATAAGAATGTGAGTGACATCTATAGGATACAGCAACTGTTTAACATCAGTCGAGCTGTATACTTGTTTGTCACCTTTGTAGCATTGAAAAAAAAATTAAATTAAACACATTTTATTATGTTCAGGAAAGTTGGAGCATTTTTTCAAAGGGTACCTGGTCCTTTAAAAAACGTTGCGTGAGTCATAGTGTACAACGAAAACTCTATTCTCATCCTGTGGCGGGCATAAGACAATTTTGGGGTAAGCACGGTCCCAAATGTCCTTAAATACGCTTACTAAAATGAATGGTGACCCCTGGTTACTACTAAATGACAGAGTACCTAACATATGAAAAAAAAAATACAATTACCACCCAAATCATGTCGTCGAACAATCAGAAAGGTGATGACATCCTTTTTGAATAATTTTATTGGTACCCTGAGAATTTTCGTTAGAGACATGGCGATTTACTTGTTTCAATGGATTTTGCATGTGCTCAATATTAGCTTTCTAATAACATTTCAATTTTGTAACGCGAGTTTAGATCGCGATCCTATTGAAAAAAGCATATTGTCAGATTATATCAATCAGAAAATTCTGTCATTATAACATTTTTAAAACGATTATTTTCACAATAAAGTATATATAAGTCACCGTAATGGGCTTCCAATACTTTAATCAATTGATTATTCAGAATATACTTTCCTTCTAGACAAATGGTAAACAAATCCATTGATAGAATAATTTCAGTTAGCGTTTGCAAGAAAAAGATCCACTGCATACTGCATATCTACTGATACGTTATCGCTATTGCATAAGATAGAAAAAGACGCCGATGTTCAAGGTCTTTATTTTTGTTTCGTTCATCACGAAAATATTCAACTAATACTATTAAATACCACATTAGGGTTATAATCGTAGGTATATTATTTAAGATAAATGTTTTTGACCTTAGAAAAATTCTTAATTGATTTCAAGAAGATGTATCGTAGATTTTCGTAACAATTTTGACAATTCCTTTTTTCAATCAAAAGGGTTTATTCTCCTATTGGTTATATATTAATTTTGTAATGATTGAAATTGGGGAATGTTTAATTAGACACCTATTTACTTACTTTTATAACATTTGGTTTCAGATTGTATATGATTCACGATTTCCTTTTAGGTTTCAACTTATATCTATAATTAGAAATAAAACATACGTAGGTATTTAAAAAAATATGGAATAAACGAATGAAAAATCTTTATTGTTCCCTTCAAAGAATGATACAGATCATAAAAAATTACAATATGTACACAAACAAAATGAATAATTAATTACATGAAAGCTAGATAAAAAAGCAACAATAGACGGTCTTTTTGCTAAATAGCAATCTCTTCCTGGAAATCTTAGGATGGAGAGGAATAATTAAAATTGTGTCTGGTGAAGGTGTAAAAGAGAAATAATAAGACTAAAAAAGGGAGAAAGAAAAGGGTTAAAGAAAAAGTGAAACACAGTATAAACAAGATAAATTAAAATATACTTACACATAACAATAATAATAAATATAAACAGATATTATTCTAATTTAACAGCTTGAAGAGCAAATAATAATTGTTGTGACCTAATCAAGTCCCATTTGTTTGTGCAAGGATTATACACAAGGCCATTTATTATTTCTACATGGCAATTATCTGAAATAAGAATACAATTATGATTTAAAATTATTATCAATTATCCGGAACTTTGCTCACGTACATTTGTTATTATTCTACAGGACCATACTGATTGACTGAGTCAATATATCTCGGACACGCTCATGAATCCTGGTAAAAAATACTCAGCAGGCGGTTAAAAAAATATTTTTCGAAATTAATTAGGATTTTTATAGAAACTTCCTGTAACCTAGCGATTACATTTACTTTGTCATCGTCATAACACCAGAGACATCTCTACTTCTAGTTCTACCTATCTCTCAACCTCATATTTTAATTAGATACTTTAACAAAATTATTATTTTATATGATTATATTTTCAAATTTTTAATTTTAGAGATAAAGTTAGAAAAATGGCAGTGTTATACTTCGCTACAAAGTATGACGATACAACCGTTAACTGTTCGCTGCTGAAAATAGGTTCCACCCTTGTGTCTATAGTTGCCACGCTTGGCAGGCGGGTTGGCAATAACAGTTAGGTTTTGGCGATGTTTTAAAAGGGACGCTGCTGCCTATCCCTTGATCATCAACTTTCCTTAGTCGCCTCTTGCGACCACACGGCCACAAAATATAGTTCTGTGCAAATTATATCTATCAACTCCTTGCAAAGATTCTTTACTTACTTCTCTCCAACAAAAAGGTTAGTTCTATTGGGGTCATCAACATGTCATATTGGTGCGTTCCTTTTGGTATCGCATTCATGACATATTCTGCAATCCATATGCCGAAAATTTTACATAATCGACTTCTTGTTGGAGTTGTGAAAAATATCCTACCCTCTGGTTTAAGTGCTTGTAAACACGACTTCACAAATAGCTCTTTGTCTTTTATATGCTCAATTACTTCTGATGCGACTACACCATCGTAGTAATTACTAAAGTCCTTTGAGTGGTCCTGAAACGATTATAAAATTTTGATTGAAACTGCCATGGTTATCTAGGTAGCAGTTAAAAAATAGTTCTATATGATATTACCATACATTCAATATTTTATTTATATCCTTTTGAAATTACCATTTATGTAATGTTCTTGATAATTTTCTAAACTTTAGGAACACTTAATTAAAATTACGGGCAAAAAGTTGACACACAAAGTAAATATAAATCTCGTCTGAAGAATTGTTATCTTTTACAATGCTGATGGACGTACTTATTATATTTGTGTATTATGTATAATATAAATATATTTATTTATGTATATAGCGGGTTTTATTTATATATTTATAAATATTTGTGTTAATTTATTTAGTTTTAACAATAACATTTAAATTGATTATGTATGCCTGTAACTAAATAAATTGTCAGTTTATCTCATGTATAATTATTATTCTATAATGCCTTTTGTGTATAAAGAAAATATACATAAATTATAAAAACTGGCATTATTTTCTGTTTTTAGATTTTTAAGTCTTTTTCTTAATATAATAATTTTAACTCTTTGGTCGCTTATTGGGTGTATCACATATTAATATAAGGTGGCAAAATTATGAATGATACAAACTTCAATGGTAGTGTACTGGTATTTTGGCTTTAGATTCAACTCATCATTCATGTTGCTGTGATATTGGGCTAACTGGACTAACTCTTTGTTTGCATCTATGCCTGTAACCTCTGCACCAAGTTTACTTAAAGCCTGAAAATAAACATTGTGAGGTGTGAATCTATAGAAAAGAATAATAAGATTTATCAAAAATGCATTATTTGTAAAATTTTCACTCACATTTCATAACTTGTTTCATGTATACACAAAATATTAAGTAATTAAGTTAAATGACTTCTACATTGTTATAAGAAAGATTAGATTATTTGTTTGTAACAGATAACTACTTAACCGATGTTAAAAGTTCTCCTGTCTATAGAAAGCTATATTATCAGTGAGTAAGATAGGCTATTTTTTATTAAAAAAAAAAAAAAAACCGTGGAAGTTACAGTGCGTCACTAATATTCTAAAAAAGAAAGACAGGATTTTATACAGATAATATACAACTTTATACAAAGTCTCCTGCTTGTAAATTGTTCAACAAATTAGTCAATTGAAATAATCAATTACCCACTTCTGATAAAATCCCACCGCCGCAACCTACATCCAAGAGCTTTTTGTCTTTTAATGGCTTGATATTTCTTTCATTTTGTGCACATTGTATTAGACCATCTCTGACGAATGGCACCCTGAAATAACAACAAACAGTACATTTTGTAAATTGGTATAATGATGATTAATACATAATTTTAAAATTTTGCAATCATATTTAAAGAGTTCAATAATAAATAAATAATTTCTTTCCAAATTAATTATAAAACTTAATGCATCCTTTTAAATATATTTTGATTAAGGAGAACTGGTGTCTGAGCTAGGTAGGAATAAATCAACCTTTGTTACACAGATCATCAATCTCCCTCTGCACCTTTTGGGCTAAAGAAAAATCTAATACAAAATATTATACTGCCTACTTCAAATTAAAACCTATTTTAGTTAAGAGAAACAACATTTGTATAAGGAACCAATAGTTAATATAAAGAATCTTTGTGGCATGGAGGTGAGCATGTTGCTTTGCATAAATGAGATTCAGGGTTTGCTTATCAGTCAGGCTAACTTAGGAAATGAATGTTTCTTGAATTGACTTGCATCTGGGTGTTCTCTGTGGTGTATTCACAGGGTATCCTAGCTTGGGGACTAGACTATTCATTCAATTATATATAAGTACCCACATACTTACCGAACTAAATTCATAGCATGAAGTGCTTTTATAGGTCCATTTGGATCCCACCATTCTTGTAAAATCTTTGTAAATTTCTCGACATTTGGTTTGTCAATAGTTGTGCGTTTTGTATTTGATGATGACTCATTTCTTAAATTTACAAGCCTGTAATAAGTCACTTCATTAATTATTTCATTTACGTAATCTATAAAATATCTGTTATAAATAAAAATAGCATTGATTTACCTATAAATTTTACCTATGTATGGCATTTGGTGTACAACATGTATAATAAATGTATGATGCAATGGAACTTTTCATTTACAAGAATTGTATGGGTCCCCATCATATATCAGCTATGTTGCTAGGAATATACCTGGTTAGTTTGACCTTGTGGTCTCCCCAGGAAACAAGTGGATGAATTATTATCACTGAAGTTTAAAAGAAAACTATTAAAAATGAAAATTAATAGATTCCTGCATCCTGCCAAGTTTAATTTCGCAAACTTACTGAAACATTCGTCATTCCTGAGAAAACTAAGATAAGAGATGCTTTCTAGTAGTCTCAAACAGAAATAGAGATGGGCAGGGCATATAGTTAGGCATAAAGACATGAGATGGATCTGACAGAAAAGATGGGTCAATGACATCATAGAAATAGTAGGAAAAAAACTGGATGAGTATTGCTACAAATAGAGATAAATGGAATAAAATAGAAGAGGCTTTTACTCATAGAGAATCATACACTAAGAACTCATAAACTTGTTAATATTGTAAGATTTGAACATCTATAATGTATGAAAAATAAAGCTGTATAATAATAATAAACTGAATTAACTTTATCCTCATTCATCATCAGTTAATTAACCATTTAAAAAATTGTTTACTTAGTAATAATAAACTCACATATTAACTTTCTTGTACAAAAAAGTATTTATAGTTCTTGTTTTATTCAGTAATGTTGTATTCATCTTTGATCTGAAAAAAGTTGTGTAGATATTACATTAATATGTTAGAAAATGATACACATACAAAATAGTTGAATTATAACCAGAAGTAATTTATATAACTAAAGACAACTAATACTATCTTATTCATATCCAATATTGATATTGCTTTCTCTAATAATCAGTCTGTAGTCTCAGTTTCTCATGACATAAAATCAAGATATAATAATGTTAACCTTCATATTCTAAAGAGAAAGCTTTGTAATCTGAAAATTTCTCCTATTCTTTTAACAACTTTATTATAAGTGTGTGTGTGTAGTGCTTTTTTATTCTAATTGTTTGACAGCTCTAGTGGAGAAAGGCCTTCTGTAGGGATCCCTGCTCAGCCTTCCCTTATACAATATCTACATATATGATTTAGAGATATCTATAAATCACAATAATTGCCATAGATAAATATTACTGTTCTTTAATATTCAGATAATTTATTAATGAACTGTAATGGAACATTTAGTTCAAAAACATATTTCCTTGTTTTGTCTTATTCAGAAAAATTAAATAATTAGATGGATTTAAATGGACTTCAAACATCTGCCGCTAATTCTATTGTTGTTTTGTTTCCCCATATAAGAGTATTTACTCTTATAATTATTTCTTATAATAATAAAATCATTCTAATCAAGACATGTTACATTTTTAGGTATAATAAATGTTGGGCTCAAAATTGTCTGATTTACCCTATTATGAATATATATTAGCTGAATGTGAATATCTCCTTAATATGCTTAGGCATCTTTCTGGAGTGTGGTGCAGAGCACATCTTTCCCAGGTAAAATTAATATAAAATGCACCTTTAAAAAGTGTTCTCAATTACTTTTCTGTTAGAATCTGTTAACACACTCAGATAAAAAAGTTTGGACAGTTTACAAGCTAAAGCATTAGGGATTATATGACGCTATGAAGTGGAGCCCAATTAATGTGTTGCAAGTAGAATATTATGAGCCTCTTCTATCCTTAAGACTTGTTCAATAGATTTTTATTTCGTGTTTTATAGTTTTCCAACCATTAATTCCCAAACTGCAATCCTTTTCTGATACCATTTCATCTTCTACATATTGGGCTCAAATCTCTACTTTGTTTAGAAAATATTTACAGAACTTATATTTCTGTTTCAATATTCAGTCCGTTATACGAGTTACTAAATCTTTTCTTTATGTTCACTTTGACATTAACATTGAAAAAAAATGTAAAAAAAAGACGATGACATATAACTGCGTAAAAGATTAAACCCTTTGAATAATTACTGAAAATTTGTACAAAATATTGAAATATTACATTTGTCAGTGTTTTGTAAAAGATTCTCAATTTCTCAAATTCATAAGTATAAAGTATATAATTATAGTGTATAAATTAAATTAAAACTTACAGTTAGATTATATTTCAAAAGTAGTAAACATACATTAATTTAATTCCACTTAGAGGTAAAAAAATCATACGTAATACCTTAAATTGTACAGTATAGGTTATACAAAGTCTATAATACAAAAATTTTACACATTTTAATTATTTATAAAACAAGTAATAAAATATTTTTATTTACAAAATATAAATAGATTATTATTATTACAAAGGATTTTCCTTTTCATTGCATAGATTAAGTATATGTTTGGTTTTTGGTTAGACTATTTAGTCTGTGATAGTATCTAAATAATAAAAAAAATCTTTTTCTTAGACCTAACCTGATAGGTACGTTTTTTTTTTAATATAAGTAAAGGACTAGTATTGTTCGTCGTATCAGTAACAAACGGGAAACGAGATGGGTGGAATATTAAAAAGGAACGGTGAGGATTTTTATATTAATAATAGTTAAAAATGATTTATAAGGAATAAAGGAAGCTGAGAAGTTATAGATCAAAGGGTAAGTGTTAGTAGCTCCCCTACTACCATAAAATGGGCTAAATAGTAAATTTTTTGAATCTTTGACATAAATGGTCTTATTATTTCTAAATTAACATAACGTATGAAATATATTATTATACGTTTCTCTAGATTTGTTTAACATTTTTAAATTTGTCAACCTACAATTTCTCTATTGACTTCTTTCATCCCCATTTATACTAGCCCCATAATATGTATCTATTCACCTCATTTTTATTCACCCCTCTTTTGTTTTTATTTACAAATTTTTTTTTATTATAAGTCTAATCATTCTAAAAATTGCCTCTTTTACAATTTTCAGTCATACTACTTAAATATTTTACAAATGTGTTTTTGCCTTACACGTTTTCCGGAATAAATTCTCAATTATACATAAATATCTTCCTTACCCAAATATTATATGAACCATTAGATTTAGTTTGAATTTTGAAGGGCTTAAAAGTAATCGAGGTAGTGAAGATTTTCAAATATATTTTTTAAATAAAATTTCTGACTGGTTTTTCTGCCAATATCTGGTTATTTTCTTTAGAAAAACTTTCCCAAAACCTTTTGTATTCACCCAATGAATTGTATACATCTCATTTTACGATACCTGTCGCAGGTTTACTGTCAAGTTGACAATTTGAAGTTAACAAATTAATTTGACAACCGACACAGTGTCAACCGTCAAATAATTTGTTTTTTATTTTCAATCAATGTTTTTTTCCCTCCATCGTTTAATATTTTACCGATTTTATTTTGAATTTAATACTTTTTTAAAGTCAAGTTAAAATGAGTCTTTGGGTTGATAAACATCGGCCAAGAGACTTGATGAAGTTAGATTTCCACAAAGACCAGGCAATACGTTTAAAAAATTTGGTTCAACAGAGCGACTTTCCTCATCTGCTTGTTTACGGTCCATCAGGTGCTGGTAAGAAGACTCGTATCATGTGCTTGCTAAGAGAGTTATATGGATCTGGGGTAGAGCGATTACGGCAAGAAACAATGACTTTCACAACTCCATCAAACAAGAAAATAGAAATAATGACCGTAAGTAGCAATTACCATATAGAGGTTAATCCAACGGATGTAGGTATTCACGATCGTGTTGTTATAATGGATCTAGTAAAAAATGTTGCCCAAACACATCAAATCGATTCATCTGGACAACGAGAGTTCAAAGTAGTAATATTAAATGAGGTGGACGACTTAACTAAAGATGCACAACATGCACTGCGTCGTACTATGGAGAAATATGTAGCTACCTGTCGACTTATACTAATAGCTAATTCTATATCACGAGTAATTCCAGCAATAAGATCTCGTTGTTTAACAATACGTATACCTGCACCTACAGAAACAGAAATTGCTTCAGTATTACATTTGGTTTGTAAAAAGGAAAGTATAAATATTCCTTCTGATCTAGCAATGCGTATTGCCAGATCTGCTGATCGTAACTTGCGACGTGCTTTACTTATGTGTGAGGCATGTAAAGTGCAGCAGTACCCATTGACAGCTGATCAGAAGGTTCCAGAACCTGACTGGCAAATTTTCATTCGAGACACAGCTTCTACGATATTGTCTGAACAGTCCCCTAAAAAACTTGGTGAAGTCAGACAGAAACTTTATGAACTAATAATACATGGAGTGCCACCTGATATGATATTTGCGGGTTTGCTCAAAGAATTGGTGAAAAATTGTGATATGGCAATGAAATGTCAAGTTGCAAGTCATGCTGCACGATTTGAACACAGAATGAGATTGGGAAATAAACCTATATTTCATTTAGAAGCATTTGTTGCTAAATTTATGGCTGTATACAAGAAATTCATGGAAGAATCATTGGGTGATGCTTTTTGATAAATTATCTGGAAATTTTAGTAACTGGATACATTTTAATAAATTGAATATTAAAAGATTGTTTGAAACATACATTTTTTGTTTAATTTTTAATTAGATCAAAGGTCATTATTGTTACTGCTGGACAGTATAGGAAAATAATACCTGTATCATTTAAATTTTATTATATAGTATTATATAGTGTCTGATTTCTTGTAATGATAAATTACAGAATATATGGAATTTAAACAGAAGCATTATAATATTAATATATATATATTATATGACTTAGAATGGCAAACAAGCTGATGGCCCACCTGATGGAAAGTGGTAACCGTCGCCTATAGACACAAGCAGTACCATGGACATAACAGAGTATACTGTTTCGCCAATTATACCCCCCATGCGTTGCCATTCCTGAGGATTTGGGTGTTATTCCTCTGTACCCTGTAAATTCACACCATATTCCACCTTTCAAACCAAAACACAGCCATACAAACACAATATATTAATATTGGGTTGGAAATGCACACATGGCATTTATGGCTATGGCATAGTATATAGCTATAGTAACCTCGTTTACCATCAGACAGGCCATATGCTTGTTTGCTATTATAGTGGTATAAAAAATCTTTTGCTATTATACTGTGTGGCATTTATATGGCATAAATATTAACTGTAACTACCATTCTACAAATCACAGAATATAATTATTTTTTCAATAAAGACATTGATTTTAATACAATTTTGAATAAACATTCGATCAAGTTTTTACTATTGCTTATTTCTTTGACTTTTAATTACCATTAATATTTTTTAGTTTTTTTGTAGGTAAGTTTTTCAAGTAATAATATTTTTCTTATAAAATGTTCAGTAGTGAAAAAATAACAGCTAAAGTAATGGTGGTGAAGTATCACCATTGGCCAAGTGACCAGATTTTATCCTCACCTATTATCAGTCACTGGTATCCCGACAGTGTTTACAGATAGTCTAATGATTTCTCATTCCATTTTCATTCCATTAAAAATGTACTTAGCTCCAAATTTAATGAGTGAGTTTTGTATGACGCTATGTTGTTTTCTGTTATTATTGAAAGAAATAAAGTACCCTCAAATTCAATCGGCTAGCATTGTATAAGCTTTTATATTACAAAGTTTTTATATGTCCATAACTATCTTTTGGCTCCATCTTGCTCTATACTAGGTAGGATTACATTATTACTGGATTTCAATAAGCACACCTACCTATATAAATAAATAAATAATAGAAAGCACCTACGGCCCGCCAAGCGTTTGAAAAATGGACTACAAATTTTGAACCGGAAAGATGTACGGAAATACATGCTCACGAAGCAAGTGTAATAAAAACTTGTAAAAAGATGGATGGATTGTCTAATGGACGACGGCTGATAAAGAAGGGTAGAAAAGGAAAACGTGATGCGAGTGCCTATTGATATGGTCTAAAGTACATATTGGGGTACGGTTATGTAAATTTATTAAATATAATTATATAAACTTTTATAATTATCAAACTTTACGTACGATTTTATGAAACGTATTTTTGGTAATTTATGCACTGTCATGCATCAGCCATGGATGTCTATATACATAGTAATTACCTACATTCCATTTATTTTAGTATCATAACCACGATTTTGGAAATGTAATAAAAAAAAAAAAAACATTGAGCTAATAATTATAATAATACTTTATTGGTACTTTACTAGCAAACAGTCTAAAATTATCAACTACATCGTGCATCACGGCTGCTGTTATTTCATTTGATATATGGTCTAGAATTGATTGTTTTGATTGTAACATGTGTTCAATGATGCTGGAGTCTTCAGAGTCTGTAATCAATGAGTAAGTATAATTTAATACATTTCGTGTAACATTACCCGCGGTTGAGCGGGCCAGTCTTTGAATTTGGATATTTAGAGTTTTAGGTGCGATAAAGATCAAGCGTTAAATATCTCGAGCAGTATCATGCTCGAACGGTTTGATAAAACAACATGCATGACCTGAAATTCAACAGCTTGAAAAAATATGGATTTGATTTCGTATTTCTCAGCTTCCTGGAGTGATTACATCACCGGACTTCACACTTGATCGGATGCCTCTAGTTACATCATGGAATATATTATTATCATATATCTTACTTGGTTGCAGGAAGAACGTTGGAAGTCGCATGTTTCTTACAGCTATTCGCTCTGGTCCGATAAAGATATAATCTTCTTTGTCTATTCTACGCTCACTGAACCAATTATATGTGATATTGGTTTCAACATTCTCTGGAACAAAAATTATAGATTTGTTCGTATCTGTAAATATTATCTTAGTTAAATAATGGTGAGTAAATGATGAAGGCACATTTATATTGATATTATTTATTAAATCTATGTATATCATCAGCATCCTTTTAAGTACCCTATTTTTATATTTTAATTTACCTGACGCTGAAGCTGACGGCGAAAATAAGTAAATATACAAATAATAGGTGCTGTGCTTCCCAGAAAAACTTAGTTTCACTGTTTTATTAATAAGATAATCTGGTATCTTCATCGTTTACTATGTTCAATAGGAGAAATAATAGAAAACATATTTTGTGAAACAACTTACCTATATCCATTGTTAAATGAGCGATGTATGGTTCAAGTCGTGAAGCCATCAACATAGTAAATTCTCCAGTTACGTGTAGGTCTGTGTTGAACGTGACTCCACTTTTGCCGCCGCGTAAGTAAAATCTGCGAAAGAAAATGCAATGAGTGTGCTGTATGTTATGCATCGTCTGTAGTTATGAACATTTTTTTTCTTTTGACTATTTTAATCGATTGAATTTACTTCCGCGTCAGTGTCATATTCATATTCAACCTTCTTAAAAAGAAGGAAGTTTTCAGTTCGGCTGTATTATTTTTTATGTTTGTTACCTCATAACTCCGTCAGTCCAGTTTTCCTAAATCGATTAGGAAAAGTCTTTTTTTTATTCGAAGCGATATGCTTACAGATTGGTCTCATTGAATTTTTATCAAAATCGGTTCAGTAATTTAGTTTTTAAATCAAAATAACTAGTTTTGTCACAATCGAAGTCGGTTTTTTTTGCGTTTAAAAATTATGTTAAATTGACTTGCTGATTTTTACAGAATAAAATTTTTAATAAAATGAATTTGAATAGACAGTATATCTAATACTTAATACATATTTAGATATATGATTTTTATGAGTTACAAACAGGTAATATTTTTATTATTTTAAATGTCCACGACAACATACACTTTATCACTTTTTGTCTTTGAAACACCTGGCATTTTCCTTTAAATTTGTATCATAAATATTGTCACGAGCATGTCAAATAGGTATAATATATTAGACTTATTGAAATAATTTTTTCGTACAAAATGCGTTCGATTGTCAAGATGCTCTTAATATGTATAACAGTTGTTTTTTATGATCTTGTATAGACTATAATTATTGCATAGTAGTCTAATTGAATAAAATTAGTCAATAAACATAATATGTATTAATTTCTGTCACTATTTAAGTATTATGAAGCCATTATATTCTTTAGTTTTATACTTTTTTTTCGAAATTAAGTATCTAACTGTTTATGATAGTAATTTTATCCATTCATATTTTTATCATAAACTTGCTTGTTCTTTTTACCTGAAATTGCATTCCGAACTGGGCAGTAGATTCATAACAAATAACTATTAAAAATGCTTATAATTAAATTTACTTGAATAAAAAAATACTTATTATTATTATAAGTTATATATATATATATATATATATATATATATATATATATATATATATATATATATATATATATATATATTTATATATATATATATATATATATATTTAAGGTATTTTAATATTAAAAAAAAATCACTCCAATTGTGCAAAATTCTCTTTGAAATTGGTTTATAATGACGAAAATATCGAATAATACATATCTATGCATAGAAATACAGTTGCATTTATAATATTTAATCTTCATCATTTTTGATATTCACATACGTACTAACAAAATTGTCTGATATGGAAATCGGTGAAATGCATTTTTAAAATTCCGTATTTCTTCGCTTAACCCGACTCTGTGTTACGAAGTGTTAGTTTTTCCAAGAGGTTTTCAATTCCACAGCTCTCCAAATACGGAAAGAGGTCGCAACGTGATTTGGCTGCATCATCGTATTTCCTCTATTTTTGTACGTGATAGTCGCTAACTTTTTTATTTTATACTCGCATTTCATTTTCAGAACGTTCATGCATGCATATCCTTATTAAAATGTGAAAACGTCGAATATATGCCAATTTTCCAAAATAGCTGAACAATTTCAATATTGCTGATATTTAAAAGTGATCTGATAGCGAACTAAAATGTCAATCAAGCAATATTATTTTTATTCAATTAATATTGTTTTGTGGCAAAAATTTTTCAAAAACTTCAGAAGTAAAGCATGAAGTAGGTATGTGAAAACATTTTAAAAATCATAGATTCCTCATGCCTCAGAACTCCGTCATTTATAAACCGATTTGGAAAATCCTTATTTTATCTACAACTATATACTTCCAGATTTCCTATTATTTCCACAGAAATTTATCAGAATCGATTAAGTACTTTGGTTTTTAAATCAATTTTGTAAAACAAAACTTATTTGTATGATTTATATCTTAGTTCGCTATTAGAGTATTATTTTCAGAAATATTGAAAATTGTTTAATATTTTTTGAAAATTGAAAGATTATTCCGACGTTATCACTCTTCGGTAAGTTTTAGTGTACGCAGTCAGATGCAATAAGCAGGGTGAAAATCAAAGAGCGTAATAATGTAACTCAGCGATTTTCATGCAAATAAACAACTTAAGGAACATGGGTCGAACATAATACGAATTTTTATTGCTACCGTATTACATTCTAATTTAACCTATACAAGATTATTTTTAAGGAAACTGTATTTTTTTTTTTCAGGAATATAATTAATGCTAATTCTTCCGAGATATAACGTGAAATGTATACTTTGCGTTCTATGTGCATAATTATATAAATGTGCTCTATCTAGACAAAAGTTTTATTTATATACGTAACTTGAAATGGCACACAATGACTCGCTAGATGGGAAGTCGTAATCGTCGCCTACATAGATCGTACTGTGGACATCACATACACTGTGACGCCCATGAGACACCCCATGCGTTGCTATTCCTGAGAACTAAGTGTTATTGTCTTCATACACTGTAATTTTATTGGTTTCAAACTGAAACACACTATACAAACACGAACGTCATATGGCGTAAACAAGTTGGACAGAAGTACTCTGGTAAAACTACAGGTTGGAGACTTGTTTGTGAATATTTATATTAATATGGAAGCAAAAGTATTTTAAAATAAGACTGAAGTAAAGCGTAGGTATCAATTCGGGGAACAAAAAGAACTCCATCTTTGGAGGTGCTGGGATTTGAACCCAGGACTTTCAGCATGCGAAGCAGACACTCTACCACTGAGTTACACCCCCTGTAGTAAATATAGTTGGAAATGACTATACGAGTATATATTGCACTGAATTATAACTGGTACGAGTATAATCGTATTTATTGTAAATATTAAAAAAATAATCTTACTTTCTATCAGCTAACCGCGTCCACTTCGTTCCTGTGACATTAGCTCTTCGTAATAAAAAGGAGGTCTGTTCTTCAGGAAGAGAGATTGCGACACTGTTTACGATGACCGGGTCAATAGGCTTCATACCCACGTAACCACTGTCCATTAGGATGAAAAAGGTCCGTAGCCCTCGTCGCAAACACTCGATGTCATTGGAGTTGCAAGTGGGGAACGGCAATGCGGGAGTTGCTGTAAATTATGTACTTTATGTTACATTTTCAACAAGTATATATTGCTCTGTAAAATATAACGATTATCTGAATATACACACACCGATAAATTACGAAGTGAATGAAGAATATTTTGTAAATAGTTGAATTTTAAACGCGGAATCGCGCGTTTATAAATTTCCTTTGCAACGAGCAGTGTTGCGCCCGATTTTATTCCGCAAAGATAAATGTTTTATCACAAAATTAATATTTGACCAATAGGAGAGTGAATACTATGGATTGTAAAAAAGAATAGCGAAAATCGGTACAGAATTGGCGATGTTATCGCGTAACATAGTCGCAAAAAAACCAAACAAAATTAGAATTTTGGAAATCGCTTAAAAAGGAAGAGGTTTTCAATACATCCGTATATGTATTATATATGCTTATGATATTGCATCTGTAATGTTATCATATTAATTTTTTTGTGATCAAATTACTTACCTACCTGTTCTTCAGAGTAGAATCTTAAATTTACTCTATCATCAACGAGTGGGCACGATTTTAATACCACGATATAATAATAAGAAAGCAAAATGTATCCAACGGAATGAAGACATTTTTAATTTTCCGTCAGTGATTATGTCATAATTTACACGCGCATGATATTGATTGTTGATGTCATGTGTATCTATAGTACTCAAATATCTCTAGATACATCATTTAAGACCTAGAAATACAATTTCTGTTTGGATTAAAGACAAAAATCTTTGCTATGTCACTATGATGTTAGGGTTTGTGAATGTAAATTAGAATGTGAAAATCTAGGTCTACAAGCAGTAATTTTGCGATATCTTCACACGTGTTTCGCTCTATATGTACATATATAAGTAGATAAAACCATAACGGACCTTTATGCGAATTTCTCTTTACAAACAATGTGAATATTTGACTGTGACCCTTTTTAACGCACACAGAATATTAGATTTTTCCTTCAATTCGTGTTTTTGGTATGTTGTCCTGTTCAATAGATACATTATGATTTTTTTGTATTACAACAGGTTTATCTGTTGTTGCATATTGTTATAATAAGAACTAAAATAATTTAGGATTCTACTGATCGATTAAAAAGTAGACTTTAATTTTATCATACTTCATAATCAAATATAGAACAAATTAACACATATGTAGGTACTTTCTAGGTATTGTAACTAATATTGTAATGGGAACGAGAGAGATAGACATCCTATTAGGACAGAATTAGAGGTTTTTAATAATCTAACAATATAAAAAATCTAATACTAAACTTATTTTCATTTGCTACATATGATGGTAGTTTTTTATAAATTTATTATTATTATTTTCGATATTCAATAAAATAAACATACCAAATTAAGAACCTTTACCTTTTTAAAGTCGTTTGAAGCAAATAGTTATACAGTACAGTTTATTGTTTCCTTCAGAAGATTACATTAGTAAACTTATTAAAAAAAAAAATACAAACAATTATAAGAAATGATTACACTGAGAAAACAATGGGTGGCTTTATCGCTAAGAACGATCTCTTCCAAGCAACCTTTAGACGGAAAAGACTATATAATAATAGTTTGTCCGGAGGCACGAAATTAAGTTTTTATTTAATACATATAGAGATATAATACGTACAATAATGTGTATATATAAATGTACATTTTAACTTACTTATACATACAGATAGAGATTTGTAGATAGGAAAGCTATTTGATTTAAAAGTTTACTACTACGAATAATGCAGTAATGAGCATTATTAAATTAATATATTTATTCACACTAATTATTGAATTTTCGATTTTTTTTAAGATTATTTATTCATATTTTTATTGTTAAAAATATTATTTATATTATAAATAACTTTGTCAGTGAATTTAAATTTTAAAGATTTTAAAGCGGTTCACTAACAATGGTAAATACCATTAAACAAACAAATTAATGACTAAGATAGTGGTAGACTGGATTTAAATGTAGTCGATTGTGGTTATTATTGGAGACAATTTTCACGACAGTGTTACAATAGATTATTATATAATTGCGTTGCTGGCAATATACCCTATCAGGTCGACCTCTACGAGGTTTCCTCTGGAAACCACCGTTGTTAATTATTGTTGGATTCGTCACGATGGGTTAACATATTTGTTTTTATCCTCATCTATCATCCCTGTTGTTGCCCCGACTGTATATACCGATAGCGTAGGCGAGGTTATCATGCAATTTTCAAACATTAAAAAAGTCATATACTTTGTTATTATACGTAGTATCTACGTTTGATTTGTTCCCTTTTCTAAATAGATTAAAGTTTATAATTGTATACACGATAGGTACTGAATTATTTACTGCAACAATATTCGAATATAAAGCAGTAAATAATGTAGGTTAAAAGCTGATAACGAATGGTCAATTTAATTTAATATACAGTGAATGCTTTTATGTTATTATTCTTTTAAATAATTATTAAATGTAGTTGAGTCCCTTTTTATAAAAGCTATACGTGTACTAACTAACTTGTAAAGTTTTTATTTTGTGTGAATTTGATAGTAAATGTAAAAATTCGTCATTGATTTTTATAATTTCACTTGACGGAAAGTAATTGCTTAGTCCAGTCAGTAGGTACATGACCAATAGAGGAGTTGCCGATTACCGGAAATTTAACAAACCTGTGTATTAGTTGGACAAATCGTAGGAGGTACTGTTGAATGCAGACATCTGCTATCATAATAAGTCATAATTAATGTTTTCCTTTTACGGATGACTGCTAAATATCAAGGTAAATATGACGTTATTGTGATTTGGAATGCATATTTTTTTTTGTTAGAGCTTTTTAATGCAATTTTATTAGAAGATTCCATGATTAACTTGCGTGATGATATTTGATGCTGTCATTAGTTTTATTGATTGCTACGAAATTGGATAATTTGTTGAAGTCTTTAAATATATCATTGACTAAGCTAAGCTAAGATTATAAATTGTCTGACGGTTAAGCAAGTGAACGGATAAATATTTTGTAGGTATATTAATTAATACAACCTTCGCACACAGAGATTTTTCAAGTTTAAAAAGTGACGCTAGCGATTAGTTTAAATGGGTTGTAAAAATAAATATTTTTGAGTTCACATTTTGATTTAGATTGATATCTGTCATACATGTTATATATTTCACCTAAATCTACTGAACCACTTATGCGTTATTGTGCAATAAATATTAAAACGACAGTCTGTAGAATATGATAGGATAGAATAATCAATTAGTACTTGTTTTATACAGTGGGTATGATATAAATATGCATATTTTTCTAATTGGATATCTTTGATTATAACAGCCATGTGGTCTCGGCATAGAATAGGCCACCCTTTCTTTTCCCGTCGTTGTCGCAAGAGGCGACTAAGGGAGGGCGAGGGATGGGCAGCAGAGTCCCTTTTAAAATATCCGTCACGTGACAACTACTAGCAAACTTCCCCCAAGGGGGAGGCTTATGTTCAGCAGTGGCCAGTTAAAAGCTGATATGATGATGATGATTATAACACTATCAGATAAAAAGGTTTAAATTGAATTACACTACTGTTTTATTTATGAAATTAGGATATTCTTAATAAAAAAATAAATATTGAGATAGCTATGGGTACTAACCTGGCTGTTCTGAACGTACATTTTGACGAAAAAGTACATCACAAGAGGCACCAACCACTACAAGGATAAGAGTACAAAGAAGGAAACGTATGCACCGTAGTAGCATCTCGTTAGGCTTGCTCTCGTAAGAAAAGGACCGGTCGGTAGGACCGCTTTATATATTGTTTATTAAATAAAAAAAGGAAAACCGGTAAAAAATGTAGCCTGCAGCCATAAGCGCGTTTTGAGAGAGACTGTTCGACATTTAAATTGCCTAGTTTTAAATTTAAATCGTGGCCTCGTATGTTTAATGGATTATTAATATACATTGATATATCGATAAATAATCGTTATTATTGAACAGTAAGATTAAGTAACAAAATCGAATACTCAATATTTAAAGAAAATTGTTTTTTTTTAGTATTTGAAAGATAGATTAGGTTCCTACTACACTATACTATTACACTATTATATTATATTTGCAATAAAAAATATATAAATGTTTTCGACTATTTGAAATAATACATTTTCACATTCATAATATTACCAAGTGAGTGTGGTTTGTGGCCAGATGTAAAAGACAGTTGTTGTGAAGCAACATCTGTCTAGACAGCAGATTGCTACGAATAGGCATCTTACCACAAATGAAACAGCACAGATGAATTATGATGTTACCGTTGTGTGTTTATTATAAACTAGTTTATTATTTTTGGTAGTATATAACCACTTCTTGATGAAGTATCAAAGTAAAACATGAGATTTTAAGTTAGGTCTTCAAAAACATAACGGTGAACACCGCATTCATTTTGATGTAGTAGTTCTTGTGTGATTTCAGAGTAAAAATACAAATAGACAAAAATACTAAAAATGATTGTTTTAACCGTCTCTCTCTTACTAAGATCTCTCATATCAATATTTCTTAAATATTCCTCATGTATAGACATGGTATAGATACAATTATATTACATTAGTAAATATTTTGCTGTAATACATTTGATTGTTACTATGTCTACACGTGAGATCACGAGATGAGGGCAATGTTCCGTAATTACTTATTATATTAATGTTAAAGAATAATACACGTACATTCAAATTTAGTTTCATTCATGAATGATAATAATACTATACCTATCATTAAAAAACATTTCGACAATCGCTTATTATTTATACTAGTGTATTTAATGGCTTAAATTCAGAGATCCGCAAATGGTATAGATGTGTTTATAATGAAGATATGCAAACCGTGGATGTTATTTCATTTCATCGGAATAATGTAAGAATCAGGCATATTCTAGATAATTTCAAAATATTAGATATAAGTTTATTAGCAACCCAAAAATGAATCGCAATTTTTAGTTTAAAAAATGGGATTGGCTCATAGTATTTATGCTGACGAAATAAGAAATTAAATGAGATGAGAAAAGATGAGATGGGATGAGAAGAGATGAGACGAGTTGAGTTGAGATGAAATGAGATATATATATATTTTTGTTTAAACATCGTGATGGGTTACAATAATAAGCATGTGGAATTAATATTGTCAGCTATTTAATTGCTTATTAATATGTAAGCATTCAAATAGTAATTTTAAAATTTAAATGAATATGAATTAAAGAAATAAGGACGTTGGTATTCTAAAATAGTGATACTCAAATGGACATCTATTTGTTGCATTAGTTTCCGATTTATATCATTATACTTATGTCACAGATAACATAATTGGTTTGGATACATACTTGAAATCAGAAATTGGAAGACATTTTATACATGTACCATAACAATTTAAGAACAAATCATACGTTATGCTCAAAAAACGAAAAATTATTCCTTATTTAGATAGTTATAATATTTTAGCACATTTTTTTTATATAACTTAGAATGGCAAACAAGCTGACGGCCCACCTGATGGAAAGTGGTAACCGTCGCCTACAGACATGAGCAGTACCATGGACATAACAGAGCATACTGTTTCGCCCATAATACCCCCCATGTGTTGCCATTAATCAGGTGTTATTCCTTTGCACCCAGTAAATTCACGCTATATCCCACCCTTCAAACCGAAACACAGCCATGCAAACACAACTGCTTCACGGTAGAAACACGAATGGGACAGAGGTACCCAAGCAATCGACTTTTGTACAAAGTCTCCCTCTGGTAAATAAACATAATAAATTTAAAATAAATACAATTCCTTTTATAAGATTTTTGAACCAGTTTTATAATACTATTCATAAAAGTTAAAAATAAATTGTAATTGATAGTTTCTTAATATGCAAAAACTCATTCTTCGCATCCTTCCACATGGATCGACATGGGCCCAATAAATTTCACAGGCATCGAGCAAAGAAGCTTTATCTTTACGATTTACGCGGGTCCAAGCTTATTCTGTTGACTTAGGTTACATAAATGAACATTCAGGCTATAATTCGAAATAGATGGCCTTTAATATTTTTCAAATACACAAGGTTTTTTAAATGTACCAGTACCAAAATTGTGTTCTGTTGTACGGAGTGGGTCCGATTTTATATATTTTACATTTTATACAATATATCGTATTTCAATTGTTTATGACACTTTTCAACTTTTATATTGAACATTATTTATTACTTATTTATTTGTGCAGCAGTTAACTCAAACATACATTTCTTGGTTATACTTGTATTGAATCTTATAGAGGTAGGAATCCGTGTTTAGAAATCAAGCTTCCGGTTTTCTTGAATCGAGTCAAAATAGCCTTTCAAGGCGTACTACTAATTATTACTAGAAATAATTGTTTTTTTTTTATATTGTAAATAACGTATAGTGTACGAGTTATGTATGTACTAATAGTAAAATTATTGTAGAAATATTTTTACTTATATATTTTAGCTAATAATATAAACAGGCCAATGTAATGTAGGGCGACACCCCTCTAAATGGAGTAACGACCTCAGATGCATTGCAGGAAGTCAGTGGATGCAGGTGACTCAGGACCGTTCTTTAGGGATGTCTATGCGGGAGGTCTATATTCAGCAGTGGACAGATAACTGCTGATATGACGATGATAATGATGACTTTAGCTAAATAGTGTATATCGGTTAAGTACTAGTAGACAAAAGATTAATTACTATCAGTTAGTCTAGAAAAAATCCTACTGATCTTGTTGTGGTAATAATTAAGACTGTATTGCATAGAAAAAAATGTAATCTATGCCAGATTGCAATTTTTTTATTATAAAAGTGGAGTAGCTCAATTTTGTTTGAAGGAATAAAGGACTCTAGAGCTATATAGCAGTTTATCAGGTCCATTACGGAGTATGTAGGAAATATACGAGCCATTGCAGCGAACACTATCTACGGGCTTTTAGTTTCATACACTGTAAAAATATATTCGAACTATTCAGTTTTGATTATATAGGATTCTTTTTCTCAGAATTTTTAGGTTAACCTTTTTTTATAAAACGTTTGCAATGCCTATATTTTCTCAGAATTTACCAATCGTCTTATTCACACAATTACATAAACAGCTTTTAGCGTTAGACAGCTTTTAGGTATAAACGATATTTACATTACAAATATCAATATCGGATTTAGTTAATTAATATAAAAAGTCAAAACTAACCTAACCTACCTATATAATCACGAATATGAGCATCACGCAATAAATATGTCTCAATTTTATGTCTATTTTTGACATTTTATAAATCTTTTATGTAAACACAAAAATTCAAATATATATTTCAAATAATAAAAAATTTAGGTGTTATGGCACATAAAAATAAATATACGTTATTTAAAATTAAGATTTATTTTTTAATATCGTAGCTACTGATAGTGTTGTGAGATTGCTTTTCTTTTAATTTTATGAAAAATTTTTGTGTTCATGAAATTTTGGAGAAATTTAATTGTCGAAGAAAATTTTGGAGAAAATAAAAAGAGTGTAGAGATTTTTGGGTAACTTTTTGTCAAAAATTCATAAAATAGTCACAGTAGTTATATGTAAAACATATTGAAAATTAACATAAGATTCTAACTGCATAAAAGTGAAGTAAATTGTAGTCGTGTGGTCCCGGCATAGGATAGGCCACCCTTTCTTTTCTTAAGACTAAGAGAATTTAATGGTCGAGAGATGGGCATCAGCGTCCCTCTTAAAACAATATCAAAATACACACACAGTTACAGGGGAGGCCTATGTCCAGCAGTGGACAATGAAAACATTATATGAAGATGATGATGAAGTAAATTGTATAAATTTGTCGAAAAAATATTTGGAACTAGCTTTTTCCTGCTGTCTCGTCCGCGCAAATTTCAGAAATAAAAGACTGATTAAATAGATCAAATAGAAATGTCGACGTATCAAGATAAAATCTTAGATACAACGTACCAAACTTTCAGATAAATCTTCAGGAACAAAATTGTAACCATTCTATTTCGCGCAAAGTTTATGCCTTATTATTAACATTACCTTCAATGTTTTTAAACATTTCCTGTCTATCCCATCATTAGTAATAAAAACAAAAAATTCTAAACATAATTTAATAAATAGAATATAATGTCAATCCAAACAAAGAATAAAGACATAAAAAGCTTATACACTCAGTAAAATATCAAGTAACAAGCAAATAGAAACATTCACGAATGAAAATTAATATTCTCAGAATCCTTTGTAATTTTAAATTTTGAGGTCGATTTTCTAGATATTCATACCAAAATAAGGTATAAATATGGGGTTTCGTCCGTTTGTTTATCTATTGGTGGTACCGTGATATCTTAGCAAATGCTAATGCTATCAATTTAAAAATGGGTTTGTATAAGACATATGTCAGGTAGACTCTTCACGGTTCATCCTGGCAACCATTGTGTTTAATTCTTAGTGATTTTGTTATGATTAACCAATAGCCATACTGCTACCTTGCCAGCAAATAGCGCAGGCGGGGTTATCCCATATTATCTTATAAAAAAGATACAAGCCGAAGAATTTGCGGACTCAACTAGTTTTTAAATAAAATTAGCTGTCTTACTCGCAGTACCGACAACTTTGTAAGTCGCAAGATGAAGAAACCAGCCCACTACTCGGGCTCTGAGCCTCCTCTATGTATGTACTTCATAACAATATACTTCCGTAAGTCTATTTTAAATTGAAAAGAGTTTCAAAGATTCAGCGACTATTTGTAGTTTCTGCAGAGCGCTGAACGTTCGTGAAAATATTTATATTTATACGCAATAGTTATTAGTTTTTATCAGGTAGGCCGTTAGTTTGTTTACCATATCTAGTTGTATGTAGGAAATATATTATTTTTTAAACAGCAAATTATTCCATGTATGTATGTATGTATGTAACCATGCAGGACAGCTATTTGGTGACGTATAGAAATCAAAATATTTTATTTGTTTTGTTCGCTTTGTTTACTTTTTTAGTTGCTCAAAAATAATAAGATGAGGAATTATTTATATTTAAACATACTTGAAAAATGTCAAAAGAATTTTTTTTATCAATATATCGAACGAATTGCCTTAGAAACTGACGTCATCGACGTTTACAGACATCTTTGATGGGATTCATTTATTTTTGGGCTGGCTTTTACGAAATAATTGACTATCTACTTGAATTTCCTTGAATATCAAGAGAATTGTTTAGTGACAGCGAGTCCGAATTAATTTATACGCTTTTATGTCATGTAATACTTTTTCAGAAGATATTCAATATTATTCAGTACATGAATATTATATTTACAGGTAGGAATAATGGTCTTAATAAAAAGTGTGATGATTGTTTAGCAGTGCACCCAATAATCAATGTAATTACTTCATTTTTTAAGAGACATCCAAAAGGAGGTGAATATGAATTGATCCATTTTTCTTTGCATTAGTTACACAATTACGACATCAATTTTAAATTCTTTATTTAGTATTTATACTAGTTGACTCGGTAAACTTTTTCCGGATAGGGACACCCTAATCACCTAGCGATATAAAATATACTTTACAACTTTTACAATCAGTCTGGTCGTTTCGGCGGAGTGTGACTATAAACACTGTGACACAAGATTTACGAGTATACATACATATACAGAGAAGAAATAGTTACTGCATAGCTAAATAATTTTATAAAAATTTTACTGGGTTATTTAGACATAAATTTATAACAAAAAATATTGTAATATGAGTTTTAATATTCCTCGTATACATACATCCAAAAATGATTATAATAGTCTGCTTTCATACACAAATGGCAAAAAACTTATCGATATATGTTATCGCTGTTGCGTTTATGAAATTTAACAAGAAATCTAGGTTTTGTGTCTTTATTGTTGTCATGTCAACGAAAACGCACCTACTGATGTATTTCTACCGTGAAGCAGTTGTGTTTGCGTGGCTGCGTTTCGGTTTGAAACGTGGGATATGGGGTAAATTTATAGGGTACAGAGGAATAACACCTGAGTCCTCAGGAATGGCAACGCATGGGGGGGGTATCATGGGCGAAACAGTATACTCTGTTATGTCCATGGTACTACTCATGTCTATAGGCGACGGTTACCACTTTCCATCAGGTGGGCTGTCAGCTCGTTTGCCATTCTAAGTTGTATAAAAAAAAAAAAACCTTAGGAAATCGGTTATATAGACGCGTTTTGCATAAAAGAATATAGTCAAGGATTAAGCTTCAAAATAGTATTTGCACTGGTTTATAGCTTTGTAATTTGCATTAATACAGTTGTGGATATAGCTATTGTTATTGCTATTGAAAGATGGGCTTTTTCCATAATCTTTTGTGCTCGCCCTTTTTGTTTAAAGTTTACTGCTAATTCTTATCAGTGACATGAATTATAAAACGGTTTTTGTAGCGATTTTTTTATCTTATCTCCTCAGGATATAAAGTGTATTTTCTAAAGGGGATATATTGTTTATGTATGAGTGGGCTACAGCTACAAATTAAGTGCGGTGACGTTTCTTCCTCATGCAGGTACACCTAACAGAGACAAAAATCTTTAGAAATTGTTTTAACTTATTTTTAGGCGCTTAAAAAGATATATTTAAATGTAACATATGTGCAGATCTCGGTCAGTTTCTTTTATTATTATTTAAACATAAGAGTACTATAGCATTAATGAATTAAAGCATATTTTTTTATTATTTCTTAATATGTATTATTGTTCTCCTTATTATACTCTTCGTATTGTAGTGCTGTCGCTCGGATATTTCCTATGACAGTGCTAAACACAGTTTTAACAATGTTGCAGCCGATATCGTCTTCAATAGTGGTATAGACTTCTTCTTTTTCTGTAATATTTAAGTAACTATTAATTAAATATAACGTACAAATTTAATCCTTTGAGTTTCCCAATTCGATTTAATTTCTTTTTGTATATCTTGTAGAAAATGTTTTCCATAATTTTATTTAGAAAGTATCCATTAATTTAGAAGAGCGAATACGAAAACTGATAAGGTCTCTTAGTTGGTAAGAAAATAAAAAATGACAACATGTTTCTATTTTCTATCAGATGCATTGTAAACTTATTTGCTATTCCTTGCTGCATTAAAATAAGACAACGGATTGGCAACGGACTGTCTATATATAGTCATACCGCACCCAATGTTTTATTCGAACGATCGATTGCATCTTTCAACCAAAAATCTTCGAAAACATCTGATGTTATTTAAAAATCGTTCGACCATATACGGCTGTGATAAATAAGATACGATCAGCCTTTAGCTGCAGTGCTAACTAGACACTTTTTCACTAAGGCTGTCAAGTTACAGCCATAGATAGGAGACTAATCAATTTCTCTTTTCATTAAAAATATTCTTTGAAATCGATATACAATTGTTGGAAAAGTCACTTAACGAATATACAAAAATATAGTCCAATTGAGAATTTTGTTAAAAATATTACAATACCTTTGTTCAGAGATGTTTGTTCTATAACTGGAGTATATTTGAGTTTAGGTTTATTGATAAGTTGGCAATAAATTGTTTCAGGTCCAATTGTATAGCCTTGAATTTCATTCTTACTATTTATAATTGGTGTATAATTGTAAGTAGCTCGGGCGACTGCATCTGCGAAGCAATATAAAATTTAAAAAAATGACTTAAATAATATTTTTCACTTATTATTTAAAAAAAATTCTATTAGACAAAATATTTTTTTATATATTAACAGGCCAACTGTTTAGTAAAGCAAATAATTTTTAATTAATTTATTTGCATTATAGTTGGGTCATTATTATTTGAAACTATACCAAGTTTCGAATAAAAATTGATAGCATTATTACTAAGATAAATTAATATGAGTGATAGAAGGATAGACTGATAGACGATGTTGCTCATATGTTTTTCTACTGAAAGGCTTGCCATTTTGCTAATATTTGTTTATATATCAAGCCGCTACACTAACACTGAAATTTTTAAAAATATTAATTCAGAATTTCACAGTACATATATGTATGCTTTTATATTATGTACAGATAAGTATGCTTTTAATAATTATAATGGTAACTTACTTGCTTGAATTTTCAAGGTATCGATGTAAGTTGTTCCAGATTTGATGAAGTTAATTTTCGCAGTGCCTGTGGTAGTAAAGTCGACTGTCGTATTTAATTCTATATCATGAGTATTGACATCTAAGCTGTAATATAATGAAATTGATAAATATACATAATATAAAAGAATTTATAAAATAATAATAATTAGTATAATATTATTCCAAAGCAAATGTATTACAGACATCGCTTTTTTATTGTCGAATTAAATTTAGGAAATTTAAACAGCTAATAATAAATTCTGAAATAAAGGCATACTTGAACTTGGAAATTTTCTGGTACTTAAATCCAGTCACTATTAAATCCTCGTAAGATAACTCCGTTTGATATTTATCTAGAGTGAATTGAAGTTTTTGGATTGTGAAAGGGTCCGTTGGCTTCATAGTCAGGTCAGGGGTTCCTTGGCTTGATTCCTCTAAGAATTTTTGTAGCGCTTTTGTTAAGCATTTTGCGTCAGTTAAAGAGCAATGATCTGTTTTTACAATATCTGAAATCAAGAAATGAGTAGGTACTACATAATTATATAATTGTGTTAAACCTTATCTTTTTTCGCTTGAATTCGGTTTAAAATATTCTGTATGTCTATCTATGTAACAATTTGTTTGGTTTTATTTATGAACGTTATACATTTAGATGTACAATATAAAAAAATAATAGAAAAAATAATGAGAAAAATTGATTCATTTTAATTATTCTTTTTTTATTGAAAGAGTTCATCTTTAGATACTTTTAAAATATAAAAATATTGACAGAATTTGTTTAAAGTTCAATCAAAATTAAATATTTTTATAAAGAAAAACCTTGAAGAAGTGGAATAAAATCAAAGTCAAAATTTAAATGAAATTTATTTATAAATTGATATTTGGAAAAATGTATATTATGCAGTTTTTATTCTCAGTTTAAAAGAATATTATTTCTTTATATTTTTTGGGTTACAAAATAAAATTTCTGTGGCTGATTTTGATGTTTTATTTATTGATAATGCCATATAAAAACTAAAGAAAAGCAGTATCTTTATTTGGAAATTTAAAATAAAAAAAATTTACGAACATTAAATTATTGGTAGAAAACTTGGTATTCACCTGACATTACTAATTATTCAGTTTTAAATTAACTTACCTGATACAACAATTTGAGAAATTAAAAGTATCAAAAATATTACAAGTATTTTCATTTTTGATAGAAAAAAAACTTGGAACGGCTTCCACAAAATCAGAAATATAATGAGCGTAACTATGATTGTTTCGAATTAATATTGTAATTTGTTATCAACAGTTGTCAATTATTAGGGGCGACTACACACGGATATGTAGTGAGTGAGTAAGGTATTAATATTTCACAGCATATCTTAATATTTCATACTAAAGAACTAATCATAGTTTTATTAAATGAATGTGAGTGAAGAATTAATTTCGGTTGTGCAGTCTATGTTGAATGACAAAATGATATGAATTGATGCAATGATAGGTGAAGTTGAGTCAGGTCAGTTAGTTCAACGAGATGAATTCATCGAGAATTTACTTACTTTACGTGAAGATATATGTAAAGTTTGACAGATTAATACAAAAACTAGCAATGAAATCGCTATTCTGTATAATTAATAGTACAATCTCTTCTCAAAAAATAATAGGACTTACAATATGACTAACTAGAGAAGGAAAATCAAAATAAAACAATAGAATAAAGTGATTCCTAGCATGGTACGATGGTACGATGATATACATTTTCTACTTACACATTAAGAGAGATCAATGCCCACTTTGTAATGCAGGTTAATATAAATGTAAAATTTTGTAAATATCATGTTTATCTGACTTTCTTTGTGGTAGTCCACCTGAACAGATATTTCTCGCCTTTTTTGTTAGTACGCTATCTTTTTATTCAACTATGCTCGATATACATGTTTCATCATATCCAGTCATATTCACGCTCGATAAATCTCTTTCAAAATCCATCTACTCGTATTCTTTTTCAATGGTCGAACCGATACCCCCTTTTCATTTTTGTGACTAACGTTTTTCCTATTACATTATTTTTTATTTTGTTTTTAATAGTACAATAATAATATAATATATCATATACATGTTATTTTTACATTTACATATCTACTATATATAATATATAAAGTGCAGAAATATATATATATATATATATATATATATATATATATATATATATATATATATATATATATATATATATATATATATATATATATATACTTGTAAATTAGATTGTTAATGCATATATAAATAATGATGACGATAGATTAAAATTAGATTAACCGAAGAGATATTTCTGCCTTATGTACACTTACATATAATATAGCGGACAATAATAATCTTAAATTACCATTTTGAAATATCTTGTATGTTACAAGATATTTTAAAATGGTAACATGATTTAACAGGAAAATAATGACAATGTTCTTTAATTTCGAGTTTTTATGTTATTTCAAGATACAAAAAATTATGAGTATTGTAATTGGAATTTTTGGTTTTTATAAAGTTATTAAAATAAATTTATGTACTAGTTGTAAATGGACTTAACTAGCTATATGCAGCTTTGTCTACGTGAATTAGGAGGCTTCTCTGTTTTTCCTATAAAGATGTTTGGCCTAAAGTGGGATGAAAGCAATAAAGCAGTAAAGGATTAAAACAATATGTAAAACTAATATCTGTAACTGCCCTTAGGATGGTGTAACAAAAAGCATATAATTTTTATATTGTCAGATATAGAAATAATTAGGTAGCCTAAAATTTACCAATGCCTGTATACATTAATAAATGAGACTAATTAAGCGGTTATTAAGAATAATGTTATCTGAAGGTGAAAAATTAGCCTTTCACCTATGATAATGTAATGGATGCAGATAATTGACCAGCAGTAGTCAGTGTTTATTAAGTTCGGTTGTTGTTACCCACAAACGAAAAACATATAAAACAAATCATAAAACTTTTAAAATAGCAACTTTAATAACATTTTGTTTTAACTAATATATATATATATATTAATGGATGATAATGGAATGGTAACCCCGCCTGTGCTATCGGTATACACTGGCGGGGTACCAGTGAGGGATGATAGGCGAGGAAGAAGCAGATCAGTTACCCCATCGTGACGAATCTAATCACGAGGAGGTCAACTAATATATTTGTTGATTGCGAAATGTACACGTTGTATTTCAAAATAAACTTCTAATTTTTGAAGTAAATATTTTTTTTAAAGATTAGCTTTAATTTTTTACGTAATGTAGGGTTAGAGCCCCGATATGAAAAGTGGTAATGCATCAATCGCAGCCGTATACTAATTATAAAAGTTTTTATATTTTTTGTAAGCTTCAAAAGATTGGAGGGAGACTCAATGAATTTTTTTAAACGTTCTTATGAAATTTTTTTTAAAAGTGGCATGTCTAATCTGATTTTTAAATGTTTTTCTGGTTCAGGTCAGCTTAATCGCTTATAAATGTTATATACTCATATAAAGATATTTCGTACTCATTCATTAATTTTTTTTCGAATATTATGAATGAAAAAGCGAGTTTATTTTCGCTGGCTGTATCCCAGTTTTGTATTATAATATTGTATGTTTTTTGCGTGAAAGGGTTACAAACATACACCCATCGTTATAAACAGTCGCATTTATAATATCAATGGGATAGGTAAATATAGAATAGTGCACTTATCTATGCTAACGATATACAATATCGGAGAATCAGTGGAAGATGAAGTCAGGTAACAGTGATTGTTTTTTATGACAGTATCGCTGATGTCTGCAAATATGAAAATAATACATTAAATGTGTTTAAGTGTATATATTGCACAAATTTGCATATGAAAATGATAGTTTAAAAAATAAAAATATTAAAACGAAAAAAGGTATATCATCTCTGCATTCTCCATCAGTATCTTCACCAACAACCTGTAAATACCAGTGTAATATATATGAATATTGAACTCGCCTTTTAACATCTCTTTTTAAATCGTCACCATCAAAGTCACCTGTAAATAGAATCAAATCAATTAGTAATAATTTCAATTACCTCACTTTTACCTATTCATATATGTATGTGTGTATGATTATATCCTATGTATAGAATCATATCGTCAAATCCATTCAGTTATGTCAATCACTCCAATATTTTATTTTTCTTGATCGACTCTCACCGTATCAACCTGTTAAAATCGTCTCTATAGATTCATTTTTGTTTCTCTCATATTTCGAGTTGACCTGTTGTTTGTATCCAATAGCGAGGACGGGTTGCTTTGCCATTTACGCATTTTTGCATTTTAGAAGGTGTGGAAGTCGAGCTGACATGGTATGCGTTTTTTTTTGATGAGTGAAAATGGAATGGTAATCCTGCCTGCGTTAACGGAATACGCTGGCGGAATACCAGTGAAGGGTGATAGATGAGAATGAAAACAGGCCAGTTGCCCATCATGATGAATTCACTAGGAATTAACCATGATAGTTTCCAGGGCGAACCGCGAGGAGATCGCTCTGGTTGGGTATATTGCTACTAATGGAATTCTCAGTCTCCATCACTAACAATTCCTTTCCCCCGACATGGTATACGTTAGCTACCTTTGAGATTCTAAACATATCATATGTTTATGAAATGTATACATACACATATTGTATGAAATGGACGTGGATATTTAGTGTAATTTTTAGAGTCGATCAATTAAAACGACTCGGTTATGTGGATGAAATCACGAGCACAACTCGTTATATGTTCATATTTGATCTAGTGAATAATTGCGTTACGTAGTATAGCAGGCGTTATTTAATGGCAGACACATTTATTTTCGAATATATTTTTTAAATCAAATACAGCCTACGTTTCTCGCTGATAATGTACTGTTATAACATACATAGATGAAAGAATTTTGAAAATAAAATCTTTTATTTATATAATATTATTTTAAATAATAATATCAGTTAATAATAATAATAAATAAATAGCCTTTGTTACCAATTTCTAATAATATTGATTGATTGATATAACAAAGGAAGATGAATGGTTATACTACTACAGGCAACCTTACAAGTGCAAACGGGAAGGATACAAAATTAGGCAAAGAAACCTAACAAGTATTGAAGGAACAGCAGTTTATTTTGCAAATCTTAAATGGGTTATAAAAATTATTATTTTATTTTGCTAGTTGCTAGTTGATTTTACCTTCAACATTGTACGTGTGAATATTAGAAGAAAGAAAAAGAATGGAGTACGCCCCTTCTAGGTGGTATATTAAAATGAAACTTATTTTTTAAACATTCAGGTAAAAATCTTACTTATATAATTAAATTGTAACAAGACAATGTTTTAGTATTGTGTCGGATTGTTATAGATGTATATCTGTGGATGAGGAATTGAATACGTATAATTGGTATCTGGATACATGAATATGGATATTTACTTTATACTCAATTGGTATCAGACAGTATTTTTTACCTCTTTTGTGCTGTATACGTTGGTGGAGCATCAGTGAGGGATGGGAATAAGATGAAACTAGGTCTGGCTCATTTTGACAAGTACAATAAAAATAACCAAGATGATTTCTAAGAGGAAGTGAGTAGAGATTAACCTATGTAGCATATGTATATGTATTCCTGCTAACAATATCTTATCCTTTGCGTTAGTAAATCGACATTGCAACTCGTTTTGTGCGAGTTTTTTGGTTTTTTTTTATACGACTTAGAATGGCAAACAAGCTGACGGGCCACCTGATGGAAAGTGGTAACCGTCGCCTATAGCCATGAGCAGTACCATGGACATAACAGAGTATACTGTTTCGCCCCATGATACCTCCCATGCGTTGCCATTCCTTAGGACTCAGGTGTTATTCCTCTGTACCCAGTAAATTCAGCTATATTAAAGTTTGTATATTGGTTACATTAAAATAATAATTAATTTAAGAAAGTTATGAAAAGTTGTTCAGGGCTTTATCAATTGACAAAGGTATTTCAGTTACGAAATATTATGACTTATATTAAGAAATTATATTATGTAGTATGAGGAAAAATATTTTCCTTTAGAAAAAATATATATCTGATTATGTATTGAGACAAATATCAGAAATTGAGATAGTTTCTTATTGATTAAAATTGAGTAAAGGCCTGTTATAGTTAGGTAGACAAAGGGTAGTATCACTGTGTAATATGGTAGGTGCTATTCTATAAATATAAGTTCCACATAATTCCGCTAATTGTCTAGTCTCCAAGAGATATCCAAAGTTATAAGAGACTAGACAAAAGATATTTTTGTACGCCACTCAAAGTCGAACAAATTTAAAAATAAATTAATCGAGCCACCCGAGAATTGCAATTGCGAACTCATTTAGGAAAAGCAACGTGCCCATCTTCTGTTCTTAAATTTTTTTATTTAGAATTTATTGATTTGTACTATTATTATCGCTGCTAAGGTTTACTTTAAATTCTCTGAGCATTTATACCGCAATAAAAAGTCTTTAAAAGTTTCTCCATCTGTTATTTTTGCCTATTATTTTTTACGTTTCAATTAGGAAATACTTAGAATGATATTAAAATGTTCACAAACCAAAGTCTCATAAAAATTGTGTATTATTGCTGCAATATGTGATTAAAACTCGGCAGTAATTTTAAATAAAGATAGATGTACGGGTGTAGGATATAAGGTAAAGGTAAAGTGGTATGATTTATGCAACTTGTTATGGCAAATAAGCGGAAGGGTCTCCTAATATTAATATTTAATAAGACTAGTTGTCAAGTACTCTATCTTATTAAATGTCCCAGTATCTTATTAAATGTACCAGGAGGGAGACTTTGTACAAAAGTCGATTGCTTGGGTACCTCTGTCCCATTCGCGTTTCTACCGTGAAGCAGTTGTGTTTGCATAGCTGTGTTTCGGTTTGAAGGGTGGGATATGGCGTGAATTTACAGGGTACAGAGGAATAACATCTGAGTCCTTAGGAATGGCAACGCTTGGGGGGTATCATGGGCGAAACAGTATACTCTGTTATGTCCATGGTATTGTTCATGTCTCTAGGCAACGGTTACTACTTTCCATCAGGTGGGCCGTCAGCTTGTTTGCCATTCTCAGTTGTATAAAAATAATTCTTTGGTAAATATCGTTAATAAATTAAATTACTTTGTTTAAGTCCATTACCCTAAAGTTGACTTTGTTGTATAATACGAAAAAAGTATACTTAACCTTTAATTCATTTTACTTTTTTATGTTTTAATACACAATCTCTTCGACAGGACTCGAATTGGACTCAGTGTATAAGTACTATTTATTACTTTACCAGGGGTGTAGTTATGCCTGATATTTTTATAATTGTATAAAGTAGTAAGTACACTACCAAGCTAGGTTACCCTGTATTTTGAGAAAGTAGGCAACAAAAACTCAAGACTATATTTCTAGCATTTACAAAAGTTCGTTTCTTAAATTGGTCTGACAGGTAGTTAAAACTGGGACCACATTTACACAAAGAAATATGCTTAGCATTCATCTATGATTTAAAGTATGGGTTATATTATTAATCAAAAGCAAAAAGCTTAGTAGAATTAAATTTAAATAATTAGGCAAAATTCAAATCCAAGGCAGTAAAACTACTTTTTGATTTTAATGATTATAGTGTATTTGGATTTAATAATGACAGTGTGTCTGCTATTTGTATATTACTATATATTTTTAGCTACGTTTTTTCCCGCTTAATTTACATTAAGATATTGCAAGAATCTTAGTAAAGATATTATTTTGTTTAAATGTTTCAGTATATGATATAGTATAGTATGAATAAATATAAAATAAAGACTTCTTTTGGAAGTTACTCGGGGACACAGGAGAACAAATTGAAGGAGTAATTTTATATAGTAATGCTTATCATTATTATATATCACAGGTTAAACATTTTTGAAGTATGCACTCTTCGGTAATATTCTTGCCGCTGCTCTGATGTTGTGTACAGACACAGCATAAACTGTTTCGACTATCCTGCAAGCTGTTTGTTTACGACCCTCCGTTAGTTGTTTACCATATTCCGTGAATATTTTCTTAAAATCTGAATCTGTAAATATAATAGAAATAAATATATATTTAAATATAATGCAACATAATTATAGTTATTGCCCGTTTATCTTGGTTTTTTAATTACTTAATTAATATACTATATATGGCAATGAAATTATCGGGTGTGGAGGTATAACACCATCGTTCTTAGAAATGGCAATGCCCGAGCAGTACCATGGGTATCCAGTGTATTCTGTGATGTTCATAATGCTGCCCATGTTTTATGTGACGGTTATCATTTTCGATCAAGTAGACAGTCAGTCAGTCAGTTTGTTTGTCATTACAAGTGTCATAAAAACAAAATTAAAAATATTTTAATAAATAAGCTTATTTATTTTTCTCTTGTTTTTTTGCTAATCGTTAGTTTCATTGTCTTCGATTTATGCAAATATATGTTTCGATTTTTTATTTATTAAAATGATCAGATTACAAGTATTGATTGTTTAATCGGTGTAATGTGAGAGGATCCCGAGATCGGAGCCTACTTCCATATGTTAAAGTCTTTCTGATCGAATGTAGCGTAAAAGTTGATGCAAGCGCGTGCTGTTTACAAACAATTTATAATTATATATTTATAAAACGTTCACGTGGTTCACATATGGTTGACATGTGGTGAACATAAAATAGGCCACTCCTTCCTTTCCTGTGGGTGTTGTAAGCGGCGACTTAAGAACTTTGAGAGATTAACTTGGTAGATAGATCTGCAGCAGCATCTCTAAAAGCCTAACTGCGGTTGTCAGTCCACCTACCAAGCGTGGCAACTACTGGAAAAACTCCCTTTATGGAAGGCTTGACCAGTTAATGAATGAAATGATGAAAGATGATGAGATATATAAAAAAAAGGTAGACGTCATACCAAGTTTCAAGGCATCTTCAAGGGTAGAACTCACACTAAGCGTGGGTTCACCAAATATTTCGCAAGAAATCGTTTCTGGACCAGCTTCATAATGCTCCACCCCTTTATCATCAGTCTTCACGCTATAACTATAAGCAGCTCCACCTTCTGCGCCTGTAATTACAGATATGCAATATTTTTAATTATGTAATTTTTTTATTTAATTCGGAATGATCTAGGTATTAAGCGCTAATTTGATAGAAGGTGGTAATTATCACATATAGGTGTGAGCATCATAAAATATGGGGGGAAGGATTTATAAATAATGCAGACCATCAGTCCCATTGCTAGCAATATACTCTGTCATGTCGGCTTCCAAGTAGTCTCCCTGGAAACCATTGTGTTGTATTTCAGGCGTATTAATCACGATGGGCTAACTGACCTGTCTTTTCATTCTTACCTATCATCCCTCACTGGCGTCTCGCCAACGTATACCGTTAGTGCAGGAAAGGTTATTATTGCATTATTATCCATTAAAAAAAATACACTATGACGTCTATGTTATGGTAACCTCATGTGTTTCCATTCGTAAAATACCATAAAACCCTTATAGTCTGCAACTTTACAGTTATATCTTACCTTTCAAACCGAAATACAGCGTTTCAGGCATAGTTACTTCCCAGAAAAAAATACGAGTGGGATGGACGTTCTTGAGAGGTTGATGGTATTTCGTATAAAAAATCATTACAAAACTACTGACATACATCCAGTAAACGACGTAAGTGTCTTAATTTACACAAAAACAAAATGTGTCCGGAGGTTGATATTATTAAATATAAATTAAATGTAAATTAAACGTAAAAATGTATGCGAATTTCGTATTGGTATAAAACAATGAGGCTTTATTGTAAATATGACATGTAACAAGATAGTTGAAATATCTACTTATTTCTATATATGTGATAAAAACTGTAATTTTACTGTTCTAGATGTTTATAATGATCACATCTTCTGATATATCCTTATGAATGCTAAATAGAGTTTGTATATTTAAGGCCAAATATTAATTAAACAGTTAAAAATAATTATGGTATATATTTAAAGTAATTAAATTATCAAATCAAATAAGAATTTTGTAAAGAAATTGCAATTAAATGCCCGAGAATTCTTGGTTTAATAACATAATAATATTTTATTACCCTCGGAGCACGCAAAATAGAGTAAGTTATATCTGTCAAGTTATATACAAAAGGAAAATAAAATATATACTTACTAGCTTCGATTGTGACTTCTCCTGTGTAGGTTTTTGATGACTTAGGCAATTCAATAACTAATTCTCCTTCTGCAGTGAAATTTACTTTTGTTTTGAAATTTACTGCCTTTGTATCTCTAACTAATCTAAAAAAAATAGAGATAATTATTTTTAATTTATTTTATGTTTTTAGGTATATAAAATATAAACAGCCAAAAATAATACTGAAAATAGTGACCCCAAACAATCAAAAACTAGGCATAAAACAAAATAGCTATAAAGTAAATTAAGTGCCAATATTAAAATGAATAACTTAATTTTAAATCAATCTTTAATATTTAATCAAAAGTTAATGATGAAATGTTATTGAGTAGTTACAAAGCGAGTTAAATAAATCCTGTTTCTCACCCTATTACACACGAACACACACACACTATCGTTCATTAAGAAGGTCAATTTTAAAAAGTGTACAATAACAGAATTCTTTCCATTATTTTAATTAATTTCATATTGTTATTTTTATTTTATTTTAATATTACATCATACATTCCAAAAATTATTCTCAATAAATTTAAAAACACAAATATTGTATGTTGTTTTTTTTTCATAGTTATATAAAAAAAAACTACATTATAGTTTTATTCCCTTAAGCCTTATTAGTATTACCAATGTTTTGACGTTTTCACGATTTAATCATTCGTCATGAGATTTCATGTATTTGGAATGGAGAGAGATAGAAGATACTTTTTATTTCGGTCAATCAATATATCTTAGTTATACTAAATAAGATACTAGGTGTAAATATAGCGAAGCAATAGGTTAAACTAAACAGCAGACTGACTTTTAATGCCATCAAATTAGGATCAAATCTAAATTTTCCAAACATACTTTATATGGGCGTTAGCGTAGCTATCTATGTGATTTCTTTTTCAAATTTCATTCTATTAAAAGCAAGACTATAATATAACATATTACTTAAAAAATACTAGAGGTGTAAATTTTTAAAATTTATTATATACGTTGTATCCTATTATAATGATGTTTTCAAGATATACCATACGCAACTTTCTATATGGAAACTTCGTTATAAAACTTGTTGAGGAGATATTGTTACCGCTATTAAAAGTTCCAATACCTACTTAGTGTTTGGAATGTTAAACATAAGAATGTATAAAATTAATTTATATTCAAGTGAACTTAATTAAAAGCATTTTTAATAGTAATTTTTAATGAATCTTACCGTTCAGTTCAGTATGCAATTTCACTTGAGAAGAACGGGCAAGAATCTCAGCTATTGCTTTTTTTAATCAAAAGTTAAGTTTTACAAGTTATAAAAGAATGTAATGGATACAATGACTACTAATACTATAATGAGACCGGAGTCTACTTTCATATGTTAAAGTCTTTCTGATCGAATACGGCGTAAAAATTCTTGATACAAGTGCATGCTGTTCACACCCAATTGATAGTATCTAACATATTAATAAAACGTCCGTGTGGTCCCGGCATAAAACAGACCACCCTTTCCTTTCCCGTGAGTGTCGTAAGAAGCGACTAAAGGAATTTAATGGTCGAGGGATGGGCAGCGTCTGTCTTAAAATATCACCAAGGCTTAACTGCGGTTGCCAACCCACCTGCTAAGCGTGGTAACTACTGATAAATCCACCTAATAGGAGGTGGCCTATATTCAGCACCTACCTACCTAATACTTGAATGATAATTGAAAATAAAAAAATAGTGTGTCTTATCAAAAGCTTCCGCAGACGAGGGATTTTTGTGTGCTAGGAAGTTTTTGTTTTTTATAGCAAAAAATTGTCACGGACTTGTTTGCATTAAAGACACTCATATTTAAGTCTTACTTGACAATAAACGATGAATGTTACTTACTACCCTGATAGATATTACCAATATAAGCATTTCCATTTATTTATTTTACAAACAGTGGATTTAAAACCTAATAACAGAAAAGTTGAATAGACCATATATTGTAGATTATAAATTTTGTTTTCCATTAAAGTTTAAAATTTCAGGTATAGTTTTACAAGATTTTTATTGTATGATTAGCGTGTTAGCTTACTATGATAGCACTTTTTAAATAAAAAAGTCAGAAATATTGAAAATATTTGTTTTTGACAATTGACAGATAATGTAGATATCGTTAGACTTTATTATTAAAGCTTTTAAGAAATTTTATTTTAAAGGTCAATAAAAAGGCAGATGATTGGAGTTAGTCGGCGTAAGCTCTTATTAAAACAAATATTACTTAATAGTTTTGTCTGGAAAAAATACGTATTACATACATATTAATTTGCGTATATACATTTTATTACATATTTTATAAAATATATTAGTAAGATAATATAGTTAATTATTCATATATATATTAATTATATACAAAATTATATATATTAAAATATTTAATTTCTAAATTCATAGTTTATTATGTGGTTAAAAACTTACGTGAAATGTGAAATCTTCTGATTTTTAAATCCGGTTACCTTTAAATTATTGTACCGAACATTCAAATTTATTTTTTCAATAGACTTTTCTAAAGAAGGTATAGTAATAGGGTCTAGTTTTTTTATATTATATTCTGGTATCCCTTGATATGTATTATCCAAAAAAACTTGAGTTGCTTTGCTTATGCATTCTATATCACTGACATCACAAGGCTCTGTCGATAAGTTGAGTTTACTCCCATCTGCAAGGAAAATAAATAAAGGTTTAAAAAAAACAGTGTAAAAATTAATAGCCATATAACAATTGATAACAAACAATTAATAATTAGAAGTCTACATTCGCAATCATTGTTGAAATTTCTTCTTCTGAGTGTCTTCTGAAGAGTCTTCTCCATAGATCATTTTTATATTTTGGTTATTCAATATTATCTAGGTCACGAGGTCAATGTCAAAATTACCCATAATTTACTATATTATCAATATAATACTTTTACTTATAAAATAACCTCCCTGCCGAGGTTTTTCCAAGAGACTATTACATGGGGTTCTTCAAAAGAGGGGTAAAGACGTCTTCAGCCCTACCCCTAGTATAGCAGGCGTTTTTACCATAAGCTACGGTAAGCGTTTACCAACAGTTGGGCCGTATGCTTGTTTGCCACCTTAGTGGTATATAATAAAAAAAATCTTAAAAGATTTATATTCACTCTGATAAGAGATTGATGATTTGAATATTTAGGATGCTTTATACGATAAAATATTTATTCTATCTAAAATTAATATTATTTATTTATTTACTTTAGGGTGTAAATAGCAATTATAAAAATTAAATGATATTCTCGAGACTAGAGCATGGGGTTCTTCAAAAGGGGGGTAAAGAGATTTCTTCAGGGTCGGCAACGCGCGCGTAATATCTCTGGTATTGCAGGCGTTCATAGGCTACGGTAACCGCTTACCATCAGGTGGGCCGAATGCTTGATTGCCACCTCAGTGGTATAAAAAAAAATAGAATGATATAATAGGTATATCTGATTATAAACTCTCAGTTATAGTAATACTTATCATCATCATTATATCAGCCATTAACTGTCACCTGTTGAACATAGGCCTCTCTCTATTGGGGGCATAATACTAATATACTATAATAATTAGGAAATGAATTTAATTTCATATTACATATAAATATAAATGTTTGCATTGTATTTCATAGGCCAGATTAAGGTATCCTTATAAGAATAGTATTTATTCTTAAACTATCTCTATGTTTTGTCACATAAGCATATTAATTAGAATCTGTGTAATGACATCATTCGTGGAGTCCACTTTTGGTTTTACAAATTAACTATCACTTTTATACGACCGTATTATAATAATGTGACGCTTGTTTATGGATTATGTTATCACTCGTTGATAATTTCATTATTATAATTATTAGCACAATTATATTTGTTTTTGTTGTACTTGTATGTTTATTAATCTAAATAACTATTCAGTGATTGTCTTGTTACACAAGGTAATTCGTTTTAGTATTATTACATAACTTTCAGAAATGCGGTGTTGCCCGCAGAAAATGAAATAAAAAGGATCCTTTGTGATCTATCTATCGAATTAAATTTAGACCAGTTTAGCTATTTGATTGTAATTTAGTCATATATATTTAAAAAAAAACCTGCAATGTCTCCGACTGATTTATACATTTCAATATCTTTATAAACATTCATATTTATATTGCTAGTATGATTAATCCTACTTTCAAATATTGTTTTTATATACATACAGTTATATACTTTAGTATATAGGTATTAAACGTTAATCTCATTTCGGATTATAACTATCCATGCGAGAAGCTTTCGGCGCACTCGTTTCAGCATGTATATTACTGTGACGTGTTTCTATTAACTTTAATTTTAAAATGTTTTCATTACATTTATGATTTACAAAAGCAAAACAATAATTAAATCTTATTTTTAAAATTATATAAGGTACTGTACTAAGGTACTTATATATTACATATGAAATGGACTTTATCTACATTGCACACAAACATAATATTTAATTAATATGTACGCTGACTGACCTCTATTAGATAATACTATCATATACCTATATATGGTGTTATAATATTAGTTTTGTATATCCTATCCGCCTACAGTATGCAGCATTATAAAGTTTAATCTGTTTAATAAATTAATAAAATTCACTGTCCGTATTGTGACTTCTTGAAAGAACTCCATTATATTAACAAAGTATAAATGAACAAATTTCAAGTACTTTAAATAATATTACGTGATTGATAAAATTATAAAATCTTAATATCTAGTAATGAAAACAAAGTCCAGTAGGTGACAAACGACCAAAAAAAAAAAAAAAACTTTCCAGAAACATTATTTGAACGGTTAACTGCGTTCGCTTAAAATATAATTAAATAATAAAAATATACTTTATTACTTAGATTATATAGATAGTGTCTCCATACAAATGCTTCGAGAAAAGCGGGTCAAATTTTTAATACAATTTTGCGTGATAAATAGTTGTGACTATTTCCTTTATAAATTTTATATTTATTTTGCTTCATACTTTTTGGATTTTTAATGCGTAAAACCTCAGGTTATAAATACGTCAAGATAGATTATGTGCGTAAGTATCTGTATACTTTATTACTGTATTCTTTAATACAGATAAAAAAAAACGAGCCAACTAATTTGACAATAAGCTGACAAAAGTTGAACTGTTTTTGAGACTCGATGCTCTATCTATATAATTTCAGGTTTACTATTTCATTTATGGATGAGCACCGAAAATTGCATATTTTTACTAGACATACTCGTACTAAATTGGTAACAACTATTAACAAAAAAAAAAGGCATTCCAGCGATAGGGCTGACTCGGCTACGTTCGCATCAACTCGTGCATGAACAACTACTACTGAATGATTCTAGCAATTAGTAAAATAATCGTAACATGATCGTCCACTGCTGAACATAAGCCTCCCTTTAATAAGTAGTTGCCACCCTTGGCAGACGGATAGGCAACCATAGTTAGGCTTTGGAGATGTTCTAAGAGGGACGCTGCTCCTCAAACCTTGCCCTCCCTTGGTCGCCTCTTACGACACCCACGAGAAAGGAAGGGGTGGCCTATTCTATGCTGACACCACAGGGCCAAAAACAAAAATAAAGTAAAATTAGTAGTTGAATGACTTCAAAATCATTCGAATAATTCCAGTGAATTGCTCAGTCGAATAATTAGAAGCCGTTTTACTAAATTCGCGTATCGTTACTTTATACACTTTCACAGTTATTATTATCATCATTATTATCCTCTCAGTAATTATCTCTCCACTGCTGAACATAGGCCTCTCCTACTCTTCTTTGAACTATATGACCAACTCCTTTCCAATTTCTAATTCAGTTTGCTTATCCTTCGTGCTATGTCAATGATTTTGGTTCTTTTGCGAATATCCTCATTTTGGTTTCTGTCATACAAAAAAAAAACTGCAAGCATAGTTGTCTCCATAGCCCACTGAGTAATTTGAAGCTTTCGCAATCACGGGCAATCGAGTAGAACCATATTTCGGTTTCATAGGTCATCACTGGCAAGAAGTACAACTTAAAAACCTTCGTCTTCAAACTCTGAGATATTTTTGATGAGAAGAAGTGGCACAGTTTTCCGAACGCTGCCCAGCCGAGTTGGATTTATACTTATGAACTCGTCATAATGAGCCACCTGACCAGACTTCATCCTTATCCAATAACATTCACTACTATCTCGTCAGTAAATATTGATAGTGTAGATAGGGTTAACATTCCATTTTGATTTACTAAAAAAAGATCTCTAATTCGTTCTCTTAGAAAATATTATGGTATATTTCGAGTGAATTCTAACTTTCAAACTATGGGCTAAATAACTTAACTCTATCCTTTTCGTTCAATTTTTCACTAGTGTATGTCATTATCACTATTAGTTACACTCGCTATGCATCTACTCGTCACCTATATACAAAACTTGGGGGGAAAGAGACTGTTAGTAATGGAGACTAATGGTCCCATTGCTAGCAAATCCTGTCAGATCGACCTCCACGCGGTTCCTCCTGGTAACCATCGTGACTTGTTGCATTTGTCACGGTGGGCTAACTGACCTGCTTTCATGCTCTCCTATCACTCCTTACTGGTGCCCAGTCAGTGTATACCGATAGCGCAGGCGGGGATACCATTCCATCATTATCCATTAAAAAAATATACAAAACTTAGACAGATCTTATTCAGAAATAGATTGATAATTACGCAAAATAAAGTTGTCATATCCTATCGTAAATAACCGTGTTTATTAGATGTTCCGCAGGGATAATATTTTAAATTATAAAAAGAATGTGAAAATTCTTAAACAATTTTGAGAAACATGTTTAAAAACAAGTCAAGTATTTTAAATTGAATATTTATAACGGTGAGGTGGTTCTTTTATAATATCATATCAAAAAGTAATATTATGTAAATTATAATAAAAAAATATAAAAGAATATACTCCTAAAAGTGAAAACTGATTAGTACAAGTATAAGCAAAGGTTACATTTTAAAGGGAAAATCTTTTCAAAAAGAGTCATTTGGAATGCAACGAATTCGTACGAAGTTACATAAATTAAGAAAAAAGTTAAAGAATAATAAAAGACTATAGTTATTAGTTTTTCTTAATTTTTTTTAACTACTAAAGGAAAAATTATCTTTAATGTATAAATGACGTTACACAGTTATGAGTAAAATCATAATCAATATAATGTTTATTACTTACCCGAGAGGGCACATTGATATATCACTAAAACAAGGAAGATATTTAAAGTAATCATTGTGGTATCCACCTGTGTGATTGACGGCAATATACTGAGAACAATTCTGCTGTTTATTACAAATGGCTCTCAAATTTATATATGAACATGATAATCTTGTGGGCAAATATTATGATAAGGAACAAAACGAAAGAAACCGATGTCACAGGTCAGAATTTATCATCGTTGTTATATCAAGCACGTAGCATTTACAAGTAAGAGTTATTGTTAGTATTTATTTATTATTATTAATATGTTGTTGGCAACTTATCAATATACATACCGATATTTACACATAAATAAAAGTAAGACTGATTGACTCACTGATCAAAGCGTGTTTGAAATTGCAGGAAAATAAATGAAATTTATTTAGCCTCTTCTGAGTGTACATGTAAATCGCACACGGATTTCTTATATACGGTGAAATTCCTCTTTTAAACGAGTTTTTTTCTAAAGAAAGAGAAAATCACGTATATTTTATATCGACTTGATAGTTGAACAGTTTGTTGATCTAAAAAGGGTGCAAAAGAATTATCAGTGACCATTTTCAGCCTGTATAATACAAATCAATGCTAAGACATCATTTCTTAAAATTCTTAGGAATAAGAGACAGGCATGGACAGAAAAATCTAGAGGGAGTAGTTACCTTGTACATAAAAACGTCTACTAGTACTATAAAAGTTATGGAAATGTTCTCATTCTTAGTTTTTTTAAAGTAACATCTAAAAGTATCTTACGTCTATAAATTGTTTAAATTTTAAGTTACGCGATACACATTTATTTTCAAATCGATACAGATTACTTTCGTGTAGGTACCGTATTAATTTTGAGACAATTGAATCTGCTATAGCTTTTTTGTAAAGTAAAAAATTGCTTGTTGTGTAGTAAAATGTATTTGTAAAGATGGGACTCGGCTTTAAAAAAATATTTTCAATTGTTTGTGGTTGTTTTGTGGCGCAACATGTATTTGATTACTGAAAAGGTATAGTCAATTAATCTGTTGGTAATCAGGAGTTATGGTAGTGACCCTACCAATTCGCGTATAGCTCTATCACCATTTTTTTCCCGAATCATCGTTTTTTCGAAGACATTGTATTTTATACTCAGTAGGTACTTTTGACCCCCTGTAACTTCATTATGGATAACGCAAGAAGTTTGAATATACCTAATAATATCTAATAAAGATGTTTAATATGGATACAGTCACTAAAAATGTCGATAGGCAATCGATTACATAACAATTTATAGCAAAGTTGCTGAATAGCCGTTACCATAGATACTAACTAAAATAACTGTTTTGGTTTTAAATTACAAGTTTTTTTAATGGAAGAATTGCAAGCCTAAGCTTGGCATTTTTTAAATTTTATGTTTCTGATGGAATGTAATAGTTAGCCCATGGACGATTTGCGATACCAGGGACACCAACGTGAGTGTTACCTTCTAGAAATCTTATGACGTCCTTTTTGAAGAATCCCAAGCTGTAGCTGCTGCTGTCTTTAGAAAAAAGATCCGCTGTTCAAGGTTTTTACGAATAAAACAGTTTTTTATAACTATAACTTTTTGTAGTAGTTAGATAGTATATTTCTTCTTTCGTTTTTTTGTATTGGTATGTAGATTTATTTTACCGAGTTACAGTTAGTTAATATTACAATTACCTAGAGCTGTTTCAAATTGAATAAATAGTAATGAGATATGGAATAATTTCAGTATAATGCTATGTGGAGGTAGATATAATGCTATGTGCAGTCATAATATAAATATGTAATCAATATACCTATCTTCTTTGCAATTAAAAGATATATTTGTACCTAAATTCCTTAAGATTGAACGCTCGATGAGATCTTTTACTGTGAATTTCTATACATACTATCATGTAATTTTTTAGTCTTTTTTTATGCAACTTGGAATGGCCAACAAGCTGACGGCTCACCTGATGGAAAGTGGTAACCGTCGCCTATAGACGTGAGCAGTACCATGGACATAACAAAGTATACTGTTTCACCCATGATACCCCTATGCGTTGTCATTCCTGAGGACTCAGGAATGACAACGCAACTGCAAACACAACTGCTTTACGATTGAAACACAAATGGGATAGAGGTACCCAAGCAATCGACTTTTGTACAAAGTCTCCCTTTGGTATGTCAATGTCACAAAAATCCTATCTTACCTCATATTCGTATATATATCCGAAGATTGAATAGAATGGAGAATCTGCCTGCACAATTAGTTACGCTAATGGGGTGAATGTTGAAGGTAGATTCAATCTTAACTACATAGATATGACAAGAGGGGAATTGTTAGTGACATCTACGTGGGCTCATCTCTACAAACATAGTCTTGTCTAGCTACCATTTTAATATATATTTATATGGATATTATACATAATAATATACGCATATAATTTAATAGTATTGAGCTAGTTACTTGAACTACTTTTTTATATATAAAAGAGAATAAAAAAAATATATTGAAACTAAATACACGAGTAAGTACAGATAGCAATCTATATCGGAAACAATGTAATAAGGACAACAAAATGAAACTAATAATCGTTCCCTTTACAAGGAAAGTTGTAGGCGACAGCAATATTGTTACTGCTTATTAGGTTCTTATCTCTGTTGTTTTGTGTGTAGGCTGTAATTCGTGTGTAATCGGACGATCTGGTTCCGATTCGATGCACCAAAAACTTCTCAACAATAAGATCGAAGCCGTGTACGGCAGAGTTTTGGTACACTGGACATAACAGTACTAGATTTTTTTATTAATGTCAGTGTTAACGGAAGTGATAAATGTAATGTCGACCAGTATATATTGTTCAAAAACAAAATCACCAACTATTAAGGCAGGTGTTTCTTTCGTAGCATAATCAGTTATTTTGACTTAAAAACGAAATTATTGAACCGATTTTAATTAAATTTCTATGGAATCTATTTGAAAATAAAATCCTTTCAGATAAAAGAAAAATATTCCAAATCAGTCTATAAATGACGGAGTTTTGAAGTAACAAGTATAAAAAAATACAATTGAGAATATTTATAATTGTGATTCTCCTCCTTTTTTTTAACTCAGTTGATAAAATTACTGATGCCAAGTACTAGTCGATTTCATCACCATTTATTTGATTAAAGTGAGCTACAGAAGTTAATAAAAACTAATTTATTTCTTGTGGATTGGTGACTTAGAAACATATTAAAAATAAATACAAACAGTAAAATTTCTTGGAAGATTAAAGGACACATTTATTTTATTAGAATTTTGGCATTCATATATATATTATCTATGGACATACTGTGTAATATTAGGTATATATATTGAATTTATTATAAAAAGAATGAGAAAATTGAAAAAGAGACCATTTTATTTATAGTTATGTAATATACACCATAAACGTAGTATACTACGTTTATGGTTTATATTACATTTTATTATATTTTATTACATTTTATTAAATTTATATTTTTTTGGACGTTCCCCAACTAGATGGAGAGACGACCTCAAATATATTTGTAGGGAGTCAATGGATAAAGGTGTTTCGGAACCGTTCCTTATGGCAATCTATGGAGGAGGTTTATTGGTTGTTCACCGGTGGATAGATAACAGCTGATATGATGACGGTGAATGTAAACCATATTTTAATTTGTAGTCAAATGGCTAATAAAATATATATAAATTTGGGATTAAAGAAACCACAATATTAACAAAGTAATCGTTAATGACAATGAACATAATACAATGTCGAATTTATAAGGATCATAATTAGATATGTCATTTATGTTTAAATACAAAGTAATTAACTAATGGTTTGAATCATCTACTGGTCTCTGTTGATCGAGTGTGTCAGGACTTGCTTCAAATACAATTACATTTGGTGTAAATTTTCCATTTATTCTACATCAACATTGAAGACGACGTATATTTAACAAAGATAACTTTTAGTTACTTTTGTAGAGAAAGAGAAATAAATACTATAAACGAATGGAAGTATTTATGTAAATGTATTTATATAAATGAAAGAGCTCCCAGCTGAGGTTTTCCCTAGTACAGTACAGTACAGTAAACTACAATATGGGGTTTTTCAAAAAGAGTACTCGTATATTAAGGTTTCTTTAAGATCGGCAACGCTTACGTGATACCTCTGGTGTTGCAGGCGTCCATGTAATATAGTTCTTGTACAATGTATTTGAGGTCGTCACTCCATCTAGTGGCGGGTTGTCACACATTGTGCTTGCCTGTACGGGGTCGCCATTTAAGAATCTTTCTTTCCCACTGGTTATTGGTTTTTCAAGCTATGTGAGTCATTGCTACTTCAGCTTGATTATCCTTCAGCTAGTCTATATTAGACTATGCCAGTCAGATGACTATATTCATTTCTACTGGGTTCTTCATTTCGATGTTATATATATATATATATATATATATATATATATATATATATATATATATATATATATATATATATATATATATATATATATATATATTTTAATGGGTGATAATGAAATGGTTACCCCGTCTGCGCTATCGGTATACGCTTGTGGGGCACCAGTGAGGGATGATAGGTGACGATGAAAGCAGGTCAGTTAGCCCATCGTGACGAATTCCACTAGAATTAACCACGATGATTTCCAGGGGAAACCGCGTGGAGGTCGACCTGATAAGGCTGTATTGCTAGCAATGGGTTTATTAGACCCCATTACTAACAATCCCTTTCCCCCCGATGTTCTATATTGGATAATCGATATTTAATATATCTATTATTGGTCCAATATATAATAAATAAAATGTATAGATATTGTTACATATTACCCACTCCTATTTCTCATATAGAAAATACGATAACTAAGTTTATTATTGAAGTTAGTGTGTGTTTGAATATTGCCACTTGAAATATATTAATTTGGTCGATAAAATAAGATATACCATAGTCTAGTACTGCTGGTCAAATAATCCGAATCATAAATAATACACGAACTTTTAAAAATTAAGAAATATTAAATTTTGGAAATAAATTATTTTAACTTTACAATTAAGACATTATTTCTGAACTTAACAGTCACATTGCAATTGAGTCGTACAGTGGTTATGTAGTTCTTTTAAGTATTCTTCCTGTTTCT